ATATACATATATATATATATATATATATATATATATATATATATATATAATATATATATATATATATATATATATATATATATATATATATATATATATATATATATATATATATATATATATATATATAGTATATATATATATATATATATATATATAGTATATATATATATGTATATATATATATATATATATATATATATATATATATATATATATATATATATATATATATATATATATATATATATATATATTATATATATATATATATATATATATATATATATATATATATATATATATATATATATATATATATATATATATATATATATATATATATATATATATATATATATAGTCCCGCTAAAACTCGAGAACGACCGAACGAATTGAAATGTTCGTGGAAGTCTAGGGAAGGTTTAAAATGTGAGAAAAATTATAATAATTGCCGGAAAAACCCTAAAAATAGCCCTTTTCTTTTTCCCATATAAACGCTTTTTTTTTAAATAAAATGTAGATTCATTTTGAACTTTATTGCTATTCAATAAAATTCATATTAAATTATAATCATTTCCTGTTGTCTAAGAAATGTAGACAGTACCAAGTCTGTCAGGTCAGCTAGTAGTTTATTATTTTTTTATAATAACATTTAGGACACGTAAGTTTAATTTGCTATCTCTAGACTTTCGATGAAGGCATGAACGTGCTGTCTAAGAGTTTTGCGAATGCGAATCCATTGCCTCATCTCAGTGTGTTACAGTTGCTCCTTGCAGTTTTTTCACTTACATTTTTGTTACTATCCCATAATTTTGAAAAAGTGAAAAAAAAAAGTGTCTACCGGGCTTTAGAGATATATTTCATCATTTGAACTGGTTAAAACCGGATATAATAGATACGAATATTCGTCGCTCTGTCTAGACGCTGGATTCTTATCTCAAGCCGAAATTTGTCGTCAGAAAAATTTATTAAAACAAACCATTTCAAAAATACAGATAGCACATATAAAGCTTCTGGGGGCTCCAGATAATAAATCACTATCTAAGGAGGACGTCGACTTCGAGAATTGTCTCGTTTTGCTGAAGTGGTTATTACATATTTTTCCTAGAGAGATTGTTACAAGATATTGTATTTTTAGTTGGATAGAGCAGACACAAATTTAAACAAAAATCCATTTTCTATTTTACTTAAATCTCTATCATCCCATATTATATATTGTCTCTAAGGAAAATTTTCTATTCGATTTAGAAAAGTTTATCTACATCCATAGCACACTGAACACCTTGCGAGCGTACAAGTTTGTAAAATACAAATGTCCCCCAATAGCAGAACTACTTCGTAGTTATTTTTTTTTTCGCAAATCGAATATTTGCCGAAATAATTTCGATTCATCGTTCGCAGTCCGAGACGGATTTCATTCAAAATATCGAAAAAAGTTGTTATCGGTAAAAGCATATTTTGTCAAATAATTACTTGCCTGAATTGTATACGACTTATGACGCAAGTTAATTTCCGCTAATGTAAAATTGAGCCTATACGGATATCCATCTACTCTATGGCTGAGAAAACCTATAGCATAAGTGTGACTGTCCTCAATTATCGGTTCGATTGGTTTGACCCAAATGTCCACCTTGTCTTTCTGAAATAATGATTAGTTATACAAACAATCGCCATTAAAGATACAGATCCGGCGAAATGGGATAAAAGTTGTATATTATGAACTGAAGCTGCCAAAATTAAATTATTCGAGGTGGATTAAGAAATATTTTAGAAAAGACATTTTTTTATTTTAATATTTCCTTCTTAGCACATTGCCTTTTTTGTACAAAAAAAATAGAAAAGCTGTTTTGAGATTAAACTTAAAACTTAACCAAAACTATTTTAAAAGCCATTTTTGGCTCCCTACCGCTTACATATCACACAAGTTATGCCTTGAATATAGAAAAAAATAGAATGATAACACAATCCGAACTTACAGTCGTGATTAGTCGTCCTTGAATTCCAAGCGCATCTTGGTTAATGCCGATTATATCTTTATTTAAAAGAATCTCCCTGAATTTTGGCTCGATGGTCCTCAAATCCACTGACATTATCAACGGAGCTGCGAGAATCGCCCAAATTGCCATTTGCGCTTTGCTCTGTTCATAGCTCAAACCGTAATTTCCTATTATCAACTGAAAAACACCAATTTAGCCGCTACTCCAAAAGCAGTATAAGGTTGTTTCAGAAAAATTATTAGTTGATTTCTTGATTTGAATAAATTTAAAAATTGCAGCTCAAACCTCCTTCAAAAAGAAGAAAAGATTTAAATATATTTCTATGACACTTATTTAGAACATCTTTCAACCAAGATCCAGTCGTTTATTTAGTCGTTTCACTTGGCTTCAAGATGTAATCTCGAGTGCAGTTGGCAACCCGTTCCAGAGTTTATAAAATTATATAGAAAAAAATATATATAATATAAAATTATATAGAGAATGTATGTTAAAGAGATTAGAGCATAACTTATCCACCATAGAGCAACAGTCAAAACAAAGAAGATTTGTTTAATACATTTGGCGGAATATGTTGGTTGTTGAAAAATATCGAGAATTTTCACACGGATAAAGATTTATAAATCCTTCCATTCACATAAGGGAAAATAACCGACATCGCAACATATTGTCCACAAGTCGCCAAAATTTTTGGACTCTTGGAAATATTGTTGCATTTGTACGTGATATATTTTTAATTTAATAATAGAGATGCATCACTGGCTTAAGTCTTGGAGAAAAACTTGTAGATAAGTTTAGATGAAGGTAAATAATACCTGTACATAAAGAATATATTATTTTGTTAAATAAAGAATTGACCATTTCGAAATTTGTTCTTTTGCACTACGAATTGGCTTTTAGGTTTTTTTTTTTAATCCAGGTTCGCTTAAGATCATCCAAAAATCTGCTAAAGCAAAATATTACATTGTATTCATTTTGCTATTCTCTTTCCTTTAAGGCAATATGAAAATAAATTATATTTGAACTGAGTCAGGTGTGGGCTGCGAATTAAATATTATAGATAATAGAAGTTCAAATAACTCTGTCAAATGCCCCAAAATTATACACGGACATTAATTAATCCAGCTCTAACTTAGAGAGATGTTCTCAATTAATTATTTAAAATATATGGGTGACAAATTGAAAAAAATAAAAACATAAAATGAAACTTCTAATCAATATTTATATGAACCTTTTTTTCTATTTGAAGCTGAGGAACATGCCTCTAAGTCGGGGCCGTCTATTAATGAATCGCTCTCTATATTCATTGACGCCAATATTAAGTTCAATTCGAATTCAGCTTACAATTTTCGTCAGCTACAGTTTAAACGAGAGCAACGGATCCCCTATCTCCAAGTCCTTTGGGACCTATAAAAAAAAACGCAGTTCCTTCTTTGTGCTTGACGCAGAAGGTAAAATATTGGGTTTATCTCTGACTAATATAAGTCTAACAATACACAAAATCAGCTAAACAGAAAAAAACGCAGCTAATAATTTAAAATATATAAGTTTTTTGCAACTGGGGAAGCAACAAGTTCGAAATGGAACAACTAGAGAATTTAATGAAATGAGCCACGAAACAGCCTTGCAACCATGGCTAAAATTTGATATTGTAATTTTGTAGTTTTGGCGGACTGGGCTGGCTCTATGAAGGAAATAGTTTTTAATTTTCTGTGGCTTATCTACATGTAGGTATCATGGAGCTCAGGTCGTGATAGTTCGCGTAATTTTAGTTGCTACAATTTTTTTATGACCGCCGATTAAAAAATTAATAACCATGAACAGTTTTAGATACTAAAAAACGTGCCCAATACCATATAATGCAATCAAAAATTTAATTTGTTGTAATTTATTACAAACTACATACAAGTAAACGAGTAAAATTTTAACTACGATTTTACCAAACCAGAAATCTACTTTACTATTTTTAGTGATAGAAACCATACTGAAACATGAAATAACTTCCAGTATGAAAAGCAAAACTGACAAAATGTTTTGAATATTGCATTAATAAGTAATATATTATGCAACAAGTTCGATAAACACCAATCCAGTCACGTGTTCGATTTGACACGAGTCGAGTAGGTGCTTAATAAACTAAAGTGATTGAGCGCATGTTATGCTTTACTGTAGCCATTTAACTTTCCTGAAAAACACTAGATCGTCACCCAGAAGTTCAGCTTCGTTGATAAAGAAAGTGAACTTCCACCCACTATAGCAACAAACGATTCGGAAAAGCTGATAACAGAAAAAACAAAGCTTTGTCAAAAAAATCTCAGACAAGTTGTGTTTGCTTAATAGCAAAATATATTATAGGTGCCATTTTTATAGTATTCGATTGTTTTCTTTTCAACATGTTTGAAAAACGTATTATTGCTAATATTTCGAAACATACATTTTTTTGAAAAAGGCAACCTTATACCTTTGCTATTCTTAAATGCTAATGCATACGTCACCCAGTGAATTTATTCGTGTAGTTTCGTAAAAATCTACCCAAAAACGAATAGTCGTTGATAAAGTTTCTCTGATATTAGTTTATTAAACACTCGCTTCAACCGTGTCACAACAAACTCGTAATTAAAGCGTCGCTTGTCAAACCTGTCGGATAATATCCTAAGAAATATGTACATCATTTTATACATTTAATTTATAAATAGAATATTATGCAACAAGTGTGGCAAACGGTATTTGACTCACTAGAGTGTTTAATAAACGAGTGGTTTCAAATAATTTACCAAACGTGATGCTTATTATACTTTTCCTACGACCGTTGGATTTTGCGGTTATATCCGGATCCGCGGAATACGAAACTCACGTGTTCAAGTGACGATTTCCTCACGTTAGATCGGTGTATAATTAGGTATTTTACAGAATGTAGCAGAAAATTAGTATACTATGCGGAGCGAGCGTTTAATAAACAAATGACTTAAAAACTTTACTAAACGTGATGCATATTATACTTTTTCTACAACAGTGAGTTTTTGGGAACATTTTTGCAAAACAACACGAATACATTCAGTAATTCAGTTGTAATTGACAAACGTCAAAATTCAAGCCGCGCGCAAAAATCTCCGAAAACATCCGATTGCTCCCAAACTCGGGCGACAATATCCCGGAAAAGTCTGAAGAGGCTCGGGATCCGTGAGACAAGGAACTCACCTGATAAAGTGACGTTTTCCGCAAGCAAGCATCAATGTATAATTAGGTATTTTACAGAAGGGAGTAGAAAAGGGTAATTAACAGCTGATTTTCACGACATTTCATTAATAAAATCATTCCTTCTGTAAAATACCTCTTTTACAGCACGGTTTTAGGAGCAATCGGATGTTTTCGGAGATATTACCGCACGGCTTGAATTTTGACGGTTATGTCAGTGAATGTATCCGTGTTGTTTTGTAAAGTAACGGTCGTAGAAAAAGTATAGTATGCATCACGTTTAGTAAACTTTTTAAGTTATTCGTTTAGTAAACGCTCGCTCCGCTCGTACCAAATAAACTAGTCACTCAAATGCGGTTTAACGCACTTATTGCATAATATAATATTATCACACTTGTTTCATAATATAATATATGATAATTATAAATTAGTGATTATTTTCAGGAAAACACTTAAGAGATTAGAATTAATGCACTTACGGAATGTAACGTGTAGTTAAATTTTGTGAAAAGCGTGAAACAAAAGTGCCAATAAATTTATTGAATAATATAATAAAACAGAAAAGCTTTATACAAATTCAGGGGGCCGAGCCATCTTTAATTTTATTGGACTTATAATTTCTTTACATTTTGAGAAAGATAAAACGCGATTTCCCTGCTGGCGATGTGATTTAATATATGCATTACGTTCCGTAAGTGTATATGGCACTGATGTACAGAGAGGCGAGTTTGTCTTGGATGATAACTTATCTCAGAATCTGTAAACGATATCAAAAAACCTCAGAGGCAAAAGTTGTCTGTATTTATTAATACTTTTAATATATTGTATTGGTATATACCCAGGAAGTTTCTATTTTCGTGGAAAAGTAACAACTTTCTTATTTTAAGTTTAACACACCGTATATAAAGACATTTTTTAATTTCTCGAAACCTTCTAGACATGTTTTATATATAATATATTATACATAAGTTTTCGACATATTTAAATTTTATGTAAAAAGTGACGTTTGCATGTCTAAATCTAGCTAACGATTTCTTTATATATTTATATTTAAATTTAGTGTTGATTTTTTTTAGAAGATCTACTTTAGTGGTCTATAATGATATTTTAAAGTTTGTGCCATCCAACTTAGTCAATTTTGTTCTTATTGTTATTATATCATTATCTTAAAAAAATATTGATTTATTTGCATTAAATTAAAAAAATCAAATAATAAAAGCAGGTGTATTAGCCCTAAGAAGTTACGTTACCAAGTTCCTCTTAAAAACGTCAACCAGGAAAATATTAGAGTATATGAAAATAATAATATTCTGTTTCTTGTAGGTTTTTGTATATCTGGATAATGTTCAACAAATGTCAAAATGTTTTTGCAAAAATTTGTTCCATTCTACGTTATTAAATAAATTTAAATGACTTTGGTGTGATTTATAAAAAACTTATTAATAGACGTATAGCATTTTTACAAAAAGGTTTTAAAGCAAATATTTCGAAATCTACACCTTTTTGTAGTAGGGAAGCTTATATAAAATCGCCCCTTTTTTTAAATACTAAAACCATAAAATTATAAAAATGGAGTATTTTCATTTGAAAAAAAAAAGATTTATTTTAAATTAAATTTTTAATGCTAGTTTTTGACTACCCTCTATTTGTCTATCTATCTGTTATGTTATATATTTGGAATTGATTGTCTTGTGGTTACGTTTTAAAAATAAATAGAAATAAAAACGATTTTTTCTTCAAATGAAAATACACGATCAGTGCATAATTCTGTATTCTAGAGTAGGGAATAGGAAAACCAAATTAGATTGGATTTATCACTAATATTGGCTATTCTTCGTTAAGAGGTCTAAGCTTTTCAATCAATTACCATGTCCGGATCATTCCAGTGTCCGGGACCGGAAAAACTCGCTATCCGGTCCTGATTGGTACCGAACCATTTGAGTATGTTAGTTACGTTACTCCATGCGTCGTCGATATCGTCCCAGTTTCTCCAGAGATTACAGATTTCGGCGAGCTTTTCGTAGTTCGGCTGAACAAATACGGTCATGCATTGTTAGATTTCGCCGTTGGCTTTTGTTTTCTGGAAGTTAACTACTCACCTTTATACCTAAAGGCTCTTGATATGCCGGTAAACTGCACGAATAAACGATAGGTCGGCCGGTTTTGTTTAAGTATTCACTCATTTGATCGTAACCTAAAATTATTTTTATAATATAAAAGGAGATATATCAAGGAAAATAGACTAGATTTTTAAATTTAAAACTTCGTCAGTATTTTTTTCTCAGTCTATATTACCCATGGCTAGGTATTTTCTGTACATAAACGCAAATACGACATGCATCGCTACAATATTGATTTGAGAGGCCGCTAATCAAGCACTACTAAAACAAAATACTGAAAAAATGCAATAAATAGACTACCAAAGCTGGAATGATAAAATTCAATACCAGGAGGTTTTTGAGCATGCAGAATTCAAAAATGCCAAAAGCAGTGTTGTCAGATTTACCACTTTTAGAGTACAAGTCATATTTTTTTATTTTTAATGCCCTATTTATTTTTGTTGCAAAAGATTTAGAAGTCTGACAATGGAAGGTGGCCATAATTTTAAATATCATAGCGAAATCTCACATTTTTAAATTATGCATGTTCAAAAACCCCCATTGAATTTTATTGTTCCAGCTGCGTACTTGCTTATATATTGTTTGAGGAAGGCGGAGCTAAATGAGGGGCATAAACAAGAAGCCAACCGGAGGATTGGTGAAACGTCAGCAAGCTCGACTCAACAACAACCGAAGCAGAGGAAATCCAGAAGTTTTGTAAATCGTTTTTTAAATCTATGAAATCATTTAAAAATTACTTAATTTGTTACTGCTGTGCCTTCATAAACTTTTGCGCATTTGATTCAGTTTATTGATTTTATTTATTTTGTGTTCATTGTGTATATATTACTATTTGATTACATTATTCTATTTTACTATTATTTATAGCTTGACTATTTCGACCAAGTTGTACACACTGTGTTAAAATTGCCTAAATTATCTTATGTAAAAGAAGCTATCAATTTGAAACTATGTTAAAATAATTATAATTTTAAAAGTAGGTGTTAGTTTTTATACATGAAGGTGGTACGACATTGCTTTTATCAAAATTTATTACTAAGAATAAAACGAAATTTGACAGAGGTTTAACTCTCCTAAAAATAATGAAAAAATATACGTGGTGTGTACAAAAATTATTAAATAAACGAATTACAATATGATAACAATTTTCTCTATGTTTATGTAATTTTGCGAAACTAAATTAACCGAGTGATGTACTTCGAGAGATAAATCACCAAATATTTAATAACTGGTTGTTTATTGTTGAAATCCGTTATTTTAAGCCCATATGAAATCTCGAAAAAATACGACATTTTTAACAACTCTGCATTCTTTACCTCTGTTTACATGGATTTTTTAATTTATTAAAAAATCTTAGAGACTTAAATCGTGCCACATCATGCGACTGTACAATATTTGAACAACAATGAAACAATTTTTTGAAAAAAAGAACTCTCCAAAAAATACCATAATGCTTTCAAGAGAGTCAAGTAATTGTTCGTAAAATTAATCCAGACGCCCCGCAGTAATTTTTTGTTACGTTATTTATATTTTTTAGCAAAAAATGTTCATAATACGTTGACAACACACAACAAACAATGACAAATTTTATAAAAATCAAGTTATGTCATTATCATCAAAAAGGACACCGCAAATTTCGGCGATAAACAAATATGTGAGAAAACGTGTCTTGCTATGGCAGATAAGAAACATACCATCTAGCATCGTCAACACTTCCGAATAGCAACCGTCGAATTTTAAATAATCCACTTCCCAATCGGCGAAAGTTTGGGCATCCAATTCCAAATATTCGAGACTGCCCGGATATCCCGCACACGTTTTTGTGCCGTAATCGGCGTAGATTCCGAGCTTTAAACCTTTGCTGTGCACCTAAAACCAAACAATATTTTTCTGCAATTTTCCAAAATCTGAATATTTTAAAATTATTTTGGAAATTGTTGAACTTCCGGTTATATGCTATAAATGGTTCCACAAAATTGGATGTCCTATTTAAAATTTACACAGGGTGGCGCAATCTCTAACAGAGTACAATATCTCACTTATTTAGAACGAACAATTTTGAGAAATTGTTTTAACGGTTGTCGCATAAAATCGAAAAATATTTGAAATTATATAGAGCATGCCATAAAAGCATCGCAATATAAAACCATGTTTTTTTCTTATATCAAGAACGACATTCAAATGAATTTATGCATCTAAGTTTATAGATAGAGGTCTGGAAAGACGCAGGAACCGGACAAGATGTGTGGAAACTGTAGAAAAGAAGACCCAACCTACCCTCAACACCCCCTCCGTCAAAGTTCTTGCTAAAAAGATAAATAAGATAAATCGGTAAACAATACCTAAACACCATCTTAAATTCTAACAGCCACCTTATCAAAAATCAAAGCTTTCGGTCATAGCTACGAAAACTAAAATGATCGGCAAGGAACAACATTGGAGGAGGAGAAAATGCAAAGAAGTTACAGTTGTGCATCAAAATCTCAAGTGTTTTAGTAAGTCTTCTTTATATATATTAAGCGTTTGGAAACTACTACTGGAAAAACTTAATCTTGATTTACTTTACATTATTTAGTATTCACCTAGCCAATTGAACGTTGTAGAAATAAATAATAAAGACAATGGAAGTTCAAAATATCTTATTTTATCAAGATGTATCATTGTCTATGACCTTTAAAAATTTGATAGAAAGAAAATTTTTTTGGAACCGGCACAACTCACATAATCGGCTAAAGCTTTGATTCCACTAGGAAATCTTTGAGGGTCCGGTTCCAACCGTCCTGTGTGGTTGTTTCTCTGCTTGGAAGTCCAGCAATCGTCTATCATCACGTAATGATAACCAGCTTCCAGAAATCCATCTTGAGCCATGTGGTCAGCCATTGCGCGAAATAAATCTTCTCTAAAATAAAGCTTGACGGTTTTATACCAAGCGTTTAATGTTTGATGGTAGCTTAGACGTTCACGGAAAACCGAAAATTGTTTTTTTTTTAATTCAGGAATCTGTTCGAACGAACTAAAATATTTGGACGAAGCAATGTTGCCGCTATATTTTATTAGATTTTAGAGTTTGAATTATACTGTTTTCTTCCGATTATTCTTGAATACTTTCTCAAACCCATAGTATAAATCGCCGCTTAAATTAATGAATCCGATGAAATAAGCGAAAATAATCAGAACGATATTTTTTTCAAATACGAGATCATATTATCTTGAGATATTTGTATTATTTATATTAGTATTATTATTAACAGTTTTGAACCACAATCAGTCAAGTAAATGTATGTACACAAACTTTGTTTCATTATTATTTTTTCAAATAGATACATTTCGTTGAATGTTCTAAACAATTTTGTTAAAATTATTAATGTTGAATTCCTATTGGAATCTCGCGTTTCAAGAAGGCATTTTCAGTTCTTACGCTGCTTAACATTGAATTTTATGATGCCAATAGACAATAAAAAGGTTCTTCATAACTTAATTTGAGTAATTTTATTATTTTATTAAACAGAACACCATAAAGGCAAGTTTTAATTCTTTGGAATCTGATTTGAAACAGTAACTGTTAAACGACATGGCGCATGTCTTAGGTAGGTATACCATTATTGTATATTATTTGAAAGGAAATTTAATTATTTATTTAATTAAAAATTTTGAATACCAACCGGTTGTTTATTTAAAAAAAAATACAGTTTTTGCCAATTTTGTGTGTCAAGTCAAGATCATAAATTCTGAACGTATTGTATTCTATGGCATAAATTTATCTAGATAAGACTAATATATAAGGGTCTTTCGCATTGTCGAAATTAAAGCAAATTAAACTAATCTCACATGTATATATAAAACGAAAATTATTATAATGAACTATAATCACAGTTAAAAAACTCAGAATATGAAGATTAAATATTATATTATATTTATTTAGGTATAATAAAATCACATTAGTACTAATAGAACAAATACTTACTTTTTACAAAACTTCTGGATTCCTCCTGCGTCGGTTTTTGCTGAGTCGAATTTTCTGACGTTTCGCCAATCCTCCTGTTGGCGTCTTCAAAGCTTGACTAAAAAAAAAGCAGTTTCAGTCAAGCTCTGAAGAAGTCAACAGGATGATTGGCGAAACGTCAGCAATTTCGACTCAGCAAAAACCGACGCAGGAGGAATCCAGAAGTTTTGAAAAAAAGTTTAACAGTAGCCTGTGGAAGGTTGTTTGAAAAAGAAAAAGAACAAAAACTATTTTATTTAAAATCTAATTACGTTTCTGTTTGCAAAAATCTTCAATTTTTAGATCGTGCCACATCTCTCAACAGGTATATTATTAATTACATTTTTAATTAAAGTTTCAATATTCTCATGTCGCTGTTGATGACAAGAAAAATAATGAGTTTTAGAAAACATATGAATGAATTTATGCAAAATGATATAAACATAAAAGATTTCCATCCAGGGTACATGAGGATCAAAATAAAACACCTAGAAATTTAACTACTCTACCTTACGAATGCACTTATTGTCCAGTCTGACCAATCGGCTTTTATTTAAGTCTTTACAGGAAAACATCAATAACTGTTTTATCGGAATTCAACGTCAGGTTGTTATACTGGCAGTAAGCTTGCATTCTAACCATGTTCGCGGTAGAAATATTACGTAATGCTTCAAAATTGTTGCTATTAGAAGCACAAACCGCATTGTCAGCGAAAAAGATAGGTAACTGCCAATCCTCTTGAGGAATTCCATTTAAAATTGCCCTAGAGACTCTTCCTTGAGCTTTACGACCTGAATTTTGTCATTTAAAACCATTTGAACCATTTAAATCTTTCACAGCGACTACTATAACTGAATAATTTGTATTTGTATTAATCTTTCGCTGTCTTTCGATTTTGATTTAAATTGATAACGAAAAGTATTGCTTGATCTGTTGATGCGATTGATTTATTCCTTACCAATTAATCACTACATTTAGAAATCAACATTTTTTAGTATGAGATGGTTAGTTTTGAGCCCTGTTGGTGTAATCGATAGAAACGTCGTTCACAAACAATGTGCTTTCGATTGGTTTACCTAATACAATCGTCAGGATATACGTCACAGTCCGTCACACATCGAAATCGCTGCCAGTGCATCCAGCCCATTGGAGGAGTTAGAGCTAAACCATTATCCAGACCATGCGTTATGGAAAGATATGGCGCTATGAGCCACAGAAGAAAGCACACCTTCACAACCATTCCTAAAATTTAGAATTTCTTTGCAATGCGACCCGACTAGTTAAAACCAGAAACAAAATTATGTACCGGTTGTCCAAATAACAATTGCTCTCGACTTATTATGATCATAGAGAGCTTCCGATACGTTAATTAAAAAAAAATAATGTAATTAAGAGATATTTTTTTTGTAAAAAAAAGATATCAAGATGTTTTCGCTGACTTTTTAACTATTGCATTTAAACTTTTGACAACAGCGCAATTTTTGTTATCTTGTAAGCCAACGCACCTAGCTCGTTTGATTCCGATATTACAATCGAAAAACATATTTAACTTTCCCCCAATACCATATTATAGCAAATAGCGCAAAATGGTTGCAACAAAAGAAATCAGAAATTTATTACAGATTCTATTCTGTAATTCTAATAACTCTTTCGACAGAAGTTGTGCAATCTAGCGGCCGTTTCCGTAAGCCATACGGCCAATAGTTCCAAAGATACAGCCAACAGCAATTCTTATTGTGACAACCGGTATATCTAAATAGGGAGGAAATACTAGAAGAAAAAATGCTCATATCTTTATCCTAAAATAACGATTTGATGTAATCCTTTACATCCATTACAAACAAATGAAATAAATAACCCGGTAGGTCAAAATACACAATAAAATTGAAAAACTTTATAGTAATAAAAAGACTGAACCATGGACAACCTGCAAGTACGTTACATGTACAGGGTGGGCCGTTTATCTCGGGACGCTACCTTATCTCAGAAACTATAGGGTAAGGAGCCAAAAGTTACATACAAAGTTAATTGGGGTATTACAAATCTTCAATTTATTTGAATGTTGAATATACAGGATGTTTAATTTTTCTTGGGAGAATATTAACTTTCTTATTTTAAATGGAACACCTTGCATATTACTTCATTTTTGAATTCTATTCTAGACATATTTGACGTTTATTCAGAAGCATTTATTGTTTCAGTTGAGTAAGTTTTGTTGTAGACAATGGACTCGAATAACGAACTACATAAGAAACTTCGATACATATTAATACAGGGTACGCGAAAAATAAGACAAAAAATGAAATTAAAAAAAAATGCCAGAAAACTTTTTTTTTAATGGAAACTACCTATTTTTATAATTTTGTCATATTTAGCATTAAAAATTAAGGTTATTTAAGGTTGTATGTGCCTTATATTTTTACTTTTTAAAATATTTCCTTTTAAACATTTGTCAATCACAAATAATATGCGGTTACCAAATAAGTTCAGTTAGTGTAAGGTGACTATGATGGCGTTTGAACAAAACAAGTGCTTAAGTGCTACCACTATGATGTACCATTTCATAGTTGACCATAATTCTGCAGATGTGCTTCTGATGAGAGATTATGTAAATTTATGTATGCATTATTTATACACAATAAGACCAAGGATACGCGATAACCTTAGTTAATACTTTATTAACGAACGATCAATAAAAAAATAATAGCTTACAAAGGATAATAATTATTGTAACAGTTGTTCAATACTTTGAGCAATACAAGTAGTATAAAGGGTTTCTAAACACATCATGGCATTTCTAACAGATTCAGTCCCATTTAAATATCTGATACCTTATCTAATCAGCCGATTCCTCTGCAGTTGACGGTTTTTGTTTGTAAACTAAAGCTTTAAGTGTACCCCATAGAAAAACATCTATGGGAGTTAAGTCGGGGCTCCTTGGAGGCCCGGCGTAACTACCATTCTTGACTTCTGGGATAAGGAGCGCCATCCTGCTGCCAAATTAAATTTCGTCGTTCCCTTTCAGGCACTTTATTTTCAACAAAGGGGTGAATAATATTTAAAAGCTCTAAGTAGCGTTGGGGATTTAAGTTCTCATCAAAAAATACTGGACCTATTATTCTGAACTTCCATATGGCGCACCACACTGGGACAGAAGTTCTACCTGATTCTGTAACTTCCCTATGTTTTTTATTATTCTTATTGCTCCAGTAATGGGTAATTTTAGTTGGGGTTGTAAATATAGACTTATCTATCCAAATAATATGAACCAATATATTTTCTAAAGTGTCTCTCCACAAGATTCTTGCAAAAATTTACCCTGATATTGTAATCCCGTAGTTCTAATTTCTGAAATAGACGGAATTTATAGGACTTCCACTTGTTTATTTGAAGGCACATTCGAAGCGTCGTTCTTTTGACATCTAGATCTAAAGACGCATTTCGGGTTGAATCTTCAGGAGTCTCTGGAAAATGCAACAAAATATTAAGTTGCTCTTCATCATTGAAAATATTACGAAGCCTATTTTTTTCTTTCTTCTATACATTCTAAAGTGTTGGTAAATCCTGTCGAAGATCTTTTTTTCTGGGCGCCTCTTTACTGTTCTAACATATCAAACTTTTCCTTATGATACGCAAGCAAGCGAATAAATTAAATTTATAAGCGATAAATAAATAAATCAGAAATGTGTCAAAAAATATTTTAATTATGACAGTAATCAACAAAAAAACACACGTCTCTTATACTAACTGAAGTTATATGGCACCAGAATATTATTTGTGATAAACAAGTTTAAAAGGTCATATTTGAAAAAGTAAAAATATTAGGCATATACAACCTTATATAAAATTTTCTTAATTTTTAAAGTTAAAAATGATAAGATTACAAAAATAGGTAATTTCCATTAAAAAAAAAGACTTTTGACAGTTTTCTTAATATCATTTTTTATCTTATTTTTCGCATATCCAGTATTAATATGTATCAAAATTTCTTATGAAATTCGAGTCTTTTGCCTACAACAAAACTTAGTCAACTGAAATAATAAATGCTTTCGCATAAAAAATTAAAAATGTCAGAAACGGTTAAACTTAGGTATAGGACATTATTCACAAAATATGTATAGAATTCAAAAATAAAGTAATATAGCAGGTGTTCCAATTAAAATAAGAAAGTTGATACTTGTCCACGAAAAATGAAACACCCTGTATGTACAACATTCAAATAAATTGAATATTTGTAGTACGCCAATTAAACTTTTGTATGTACCATTTGGCTCCATCTCCAATAGACAAACGGCCCAAAAAAAGTTGTTTTACACAGGAATACTGAGTCCTAGATACCCAATACCCAGAAACTCTCGTATTCAAATACATTAAAATGTACACATTTTTCTTGTACCAAATTACTAAATCTTCGTAAATCGATAAATGCACGATACAGAAAATGAAGCTCACAAGTGTACTGTATAAATGCCGCAAAGAACTGATTGTTCCGAAAACATTTTTTTTAAATGTTTAATATTTAATATTTTTTTACGCACAAACCACAATCACAACACAACAATTTTTGCGACAATCACTTGTCGCAAAAATGTATTTCTTAGAAACAAATAAAATTGAACTCAATTGAAATCTTTAGGTATTATAAGATTGATTCTCAATTCCATTAATGTTACTACAATATAACGCACCTACCTAACACCAACTTTGAAACTAAATCAAACACCTCTAACAATTCTGCCACTTTCACTCACTTTAAACAGCCAATAATTTAACCTTTGATGGTATTTCAATTAGCTGCAATGGCTGATCCCGTGCATCTAAATTGTAGTTATTCAAATACGACCAAGTGGAGATATTCCGTTTCCCGCACAACACATTTGATAACGGTTTTGATAGTATCAGTTACATTTAATTTAAATATTCATAAACAACATATGCTTTTAGGCAGTTAGGTATTTGGTTTTATAGCAAACCAAAAAAACGTGTTTTTGGCGATAATTATTTGGTAGATAAACGGTTCACTAATTGCTAATACGAGGAATATTTGAATAAAACAGGTAACAGGTATTTGCTTTTGAAAAACTACAGTATTATCCATTTATTAACATTAAAAAACAGACTTCCTAGTTATCAATTTCATTCAATTTAATCAATTTAATTCACACCAACAATTACTACACGGCAAACCTTATAACTTACTACACTTACACTATTATATATGCCTCACATCGTTATGGCTAATCTGGCACCTAGGTAAAGTAATACCTGTATGTGCCTAATTGTCCAGACTTTTTGTCGTCACAAAAGATTAGATATTAGTGTAAATAACAATGAAAAATAATAAATAATAAAATAATAGGAATAATAATAAAAGGTTTGAAAACATTGAAACCCTATCTAAGATAAAAGAAAAAAATATACCATACCAACAGTATAACAAAAAAAAAAAGAAAAGTAAGGTACTCCAATTACTAATATCGAGAACTATAAGATAACTTGAAAGACAAAGGCTTGTTTATTCAATCCGAAATAAGTTTTAAATAATTTTTTAAATCGTTGTTTTTCTTTAATGTTATGTAAATTCGCAGTTATTCTATTATATATTTTCGGGCCCAACATATGATACAAAATGTTTTCCCTGACTGTTTGCGCAATATGTAGTAATAAGTAAATTATTTAAATTTTCTCTAGTGATAAATTAAGTTGTTAATTTTTTTATTTGTATGGACCAAACTACATGCAGTAATTATATACAAACTCCTAATTTTAACAATATTCCCACAATACACAGAGATTTGTTGGTCTTGGTCTTCTCAGTAAAGTGTGCAATATATAATTCTGTATTACTTTTAGAAGGTCTAGATGGCTAGATCATGCGCTCCTCCCCATACCAGTATACCTTAATTTAATAGGGACTCTACTAGTGCTTTATAGAGTATAACAAAAAATTTTCTTATCATAATATTTCACAATAGATAAAATTTATGGGTGATGCATCGCTGTTTCTTGCACAGAAACAAGAAAGAATATGTTTCATTTCATTATAATAAGCCCGACTGGCTTCTGTCAGGGAATAGGCAATATATTGTATTTTTGAAATATTTAAACTTAGCTTCAGCGAATCGAGGATATTTTTAATGCTCATAAACCCCGTCTTTACCTTTTCTCTGACTTCTGGCCAAGTTTCTGCAGAGAAAACTATGACGCTATCATTGGCATATGAAATAAGCTCGTCATCTAGTACAGAACTGCACTGACTGTCCAAGTAAATATTAAAAACTATGAGTCCTATTACCGTGTGGTATGTCGTGTTTAACTATCCATATCTCGCTCATAGTCTTGCCGATCCTGACCTGTTGGGGGCAGTCTATAAGGTAGCTTCTGAAAACCTCCAACACAATTCCCCTCACTCCACAGGCTTGTAAAGCCTCAAGCAGTAAGGTATGGGAAACTGTGTCAAAGGCAAGATCGATAAAGAGCGCAAAGTGACCTTATACTCTTTTGGGACATCCGGTATATGACGAGTCATAAAAATTAAAACTGCATCAACCAAGGAGTTAGTTTTAGCTAAGTTATCTCATTTTTTTCAACGTTTCTACTAATGGAAAATTTTTATATCTGCAGCACTTGTATAATATTTACACCAATAAAGCTTTTGGTCATGATTACCGCAGAATTTCATCAAAGCTGCCATTTCCATAACATCCTCCACGAAATTACGGATCCAAAGATATAAAAAAAGCAACACCCAACTTTTTAAGGTACCAGTCTGATTTGCTTGTAGGCTACACCTTTGACATTTTGAGAAATAATATAAACTAGATAAAGGCTGCGTTTACGTTTACCACAGTTTTTTTTTTGTTACAAAAATAGTAATAGATATTCTAGAATAGTATATTATGATAAATTTTGATAAACTTCATTTTCAAGAGTTGGATTTGGCACAAGCAAAACGAGGATTTGAGTAAGTCGATGAAAATATTGCATACCATATTTTTTTATGACCATTATAGTTTTTGGATACTTTTTTGCAATCACATCGTACACAATCACTCTATGGACAGTGCTTAACGAAGATGACGTCTGAAAGTGACACTGCCTTCAGTATTTTACTTTACTTTTACTTTAAAATACCGGATCAGGCGTCACGTCAAGATGTCAGCCTTGTTACCCATGGTCGCGAGCCACTTCAGACATATTCGGCACTTTAGTCACGGGTTTGGAAGGGATTTAACTCGGCTTGACAGGTACCAATAAAAAAATGCTAGCACTTCATTTGATTATGTTGTATTGTATAGATATTTCCATTAGAAATAGTAAAAAAGACAATTTTTTCAAAATACATCACAATATTAGTCAATGTCCATGGGACACAATTGCCTCTCGCCCTCGTTCAAGAAGATCATCATTGCTTTGTACAATAAATATACGCCCAACATCTTTTTCTGTTTCTGAGACCAGGTCGCTGGGATCCCATAGAATTCACCAGCTTTAATATTGGTTAAACTATTTATTGTCAAGGCGCTAATCATGGCTGCCTCACGAGTATACGCCTCCACAGGTATGGTGTTAAGATAAACGTGCAAGCATATAACTCCGCTACCGGTTGACCAAATATCAAAAATCTTTTGTATTTTCTTTTTGTTCGAAACGGGCAAGCCTTTCTTCCAAAGGTCGACAGCTTCGTAAAGATGTTGATATGGTCTACTTCTTTTTCCTTTGCCTACATAAAAAATAGCTGAAAGGAAGGTTTCCCACACCTCTTTGGGCTTCAACAGTTCGGATCTGCATGGGAGATTGTTCGTAATGCGTGGGTCCAAAAGAAGATAAGTGAAAGAAGACTTACAGACTCCTAAAAGAAATGGTAAATGGTAAAGCGAAACTATTTAAGGATTGTGACTCCAAAAATTATCTAAGTGCAAGAATTAAGGAAGAATTAAGATAAAATTTCTCTTTTGGAGATAATATTTAGAACGGCTGTTGATAACTGCAAATTTGAGGTACTTGCATAATTTATATTAAAGGTTTTAAAGATGGTCAACATACCTTCCCTCCATTTTCGGTGTTCATCGGGGGTGGCAAACTCTTTGACTAAAACTTCTTCCAAAGATTTGTAGGCTACAATATCATTATACCAATCGGCATTCCGAATGGTCTTCTCTAATTCTATAGAGTATGCTGTAAAATCAAAACAGGTAATTCAAAACGCAATATATTTTGAAAGAACTTACATTTATTCCCGAAAAACCTAACAAAAAATAACATGTAATAATGTTAAAATGTCTTTAAAAAATCAAATAGACATTTGACATGTAATACTTCGTAGCAACAGAATTGTCATCAACAATAGTTGTATATACTCTCCATGGCTAGTCTGCCAAATGCAAACACTTCAAAAGATATTTTACAATATGACAACAAATGAGTTAGAACAGAATTTGGTTTATAATGGAGGAATGTTAATTAATTAATTAATTGATACACAAAGACACGTTATTAGTGTGTATTAAAAAAATATGGTATAATGAACTTACTTCGCTTGTTTTGGTCAATAACCGCCCCCTCTTTTATGACAGGATATCTTCTGAGTTGATGCAGCTTCTTAAGATACACTTTCTTGGTCGTCAAGGTAATCGGTCCTGGATTATATCCCAGTAGAGTCAATTCCTTACGTAAAGTGTCGGTATCGTAATCCAACTCTTCTGATACAGAAGATAGTGTGGTGGATTTAAGGCTGGTGGCACACTCGCTAGAACACACTCTATCTTGTACATTTTGCGCAAATTGCATTTTATAGCATTTTAATTAATATTAAAATTGTTAATAGAAAGGTAAGGATGTAGAAATTTAGAAAAATCTTGAACACATCTTAATCAACTAAAAATATGAGACTATTTTTGACGAAAAGCTGACTGGTATGCTATGGTTAGAATAGATTAATATAACTGCCCTGCACTAGTTATTGCAATACATAATGACGGATATTTGTGCATAGAAAGCAGCTTACTAAACCATGAGAATACTCAGCCAATTGTTATCTGTTCTAAAAATATTTTAAAACTGATAGTCCCTAGCACAATATTGACAGCATTAATATTTGATATTACATTAAGTACAATTTATGCTAATTAGATGGATTTATTGAAATAAAGGGCGAGGTTTTGTTATAATGTCCCCCGATGAAATCGAGAGAGAGAAAGACAAAATTCAAATAGTTTAAAATTATAAACTTTTTGTTTTCTGATAGCATAGTGTTCTTTCCAGCAATATTTTTGATGACAAAACAACACGCACTTTAATTTATGAATAAGTTTTTTAAATTAAGGTGATTTAAGTGAGTTATCTAGGAATGCTGATCATTTTCAATGATTTGCATTTTCGGAGATTTAGAAACCAATTAATTCAGCTCCTTACATACTAAAAGTATACTAAGTGGGAGAGCCCTTATCTCAGAATCTGTAAGAACATATAAAAAAATAGAGATAAAAGTTTAAGTTCATTTATACTTTTAAAATATGATTTTTATATATACAAAATGTATGTATTTTTGTAAGTAATAACGTTCTCATTTAAAAGCACCCTGTATGTATGTTCAGGTAACTTTCTAGACAAATGTCATTATATACTTAAGCTTTACCGTTTCTGAGAGGATTTTGAAATTTATGTCAAAAGTGACGTTTGCAGGTCTAAATACATCTATCGATTTCTCCGACTGAAAGCCTTTGTTATATATTTAGGTTTGATTCCCTAATAGGAACGGGATCTACTTTAGTGGACCGTGTTGATATTTGAAAAATTTAAATGAAAAAGTCTTTACTTAATTTATAATTTTATCGCAATTAGCATTTAAAAGAAGTGTGGTATCGAGTACTACAGAAACATCACAATTTGCTGTTTGCTGTGACTTTTGTTATTGTTTTTCTAAAAAAAAAAAGTAATGGGAACCTACCTACTATTCGCAAAGAAAACAAATTAAAAGGATAGGCCAGTATTTGCGACATTAAAAAAAAATCAACAACCATCAACAATATTTTTTTAATTTTTCTATTACTCATTTAACACTGTTTATAGTAGGTTTTTGCACAACTGAATATTTTTGAGAAAATATTAAAATATTTCTGAAAAAAAATCTTTCTATTTTAGAAATTAACCATATCTATATAACTTTTGTGTTTATAACTTAATTATAGGGCTGTCATCTTATTGGCCAATATAGGCCAATATTCGTATAGTGTTTTGCAAATAAAAAACGTTTTATTGTCAATATTTAGAAATCTAAAAATTTCTGAAATTGACAAATTTATTCAGTCACCTTTTCCTTTAATACTAAATACCATAAAATTATAAAAATTAGGTGTTTTATATATTTAATAAAAACACTTTTAATGATTATTTCATTAAATTTTTTATGTTAGTTTTCGATCACTTTGTATCTATTTTTAAAATGTCAATACAGACCACTAAAGTAGATTTCCTTCTATAAGAAAATCAACCTCAAATAACAAAAACCTTCAGTAAGACTTATGTAGAGTGAATAATGAAATAAATTTAAAATTTTCTGCCGAATTCAAAAATGTTCTAAGAAAAATGCAGTACGAAAGTTATTACCAAACAAAATACAAATATCCTGTATTCAAAATAAATATATAAAAATAATACAGAAGTACATGCGAATCTAAACAACTTTTTAATTTTTTTAAATATTAAACGGATCATTTGTACTTGCGGGTAACGCAACGTTATCTTATTATCTAATTTTATATAAATACTTTTATTGAAATAAAAAGTATGAAATATTAATATCACTTCTGCTGGATATGTCTTAAATATTTTTTTGTGTGGAATTTAAACTTCAATTAGTTAAGCTCTTTACAAAACTCGACTTACCTAGGAGTTTTCAGCAATCGCCTTTCATACAAAACAACCCCCTCATCATTGTCAACATATTTATAAACCTCAGAAATAACACTAACGAAACTCAAATCGTTATTAGTAGAATGAGTTTCGTGCAGCTGATGGACTCCTTTTGTAATTTCATTGTTCAAACTCAAATCGTCATTAATTTCCAAAATATTTCTTTCCAACGTATCCACACTGGCACGAGAACATGTCATGTAATCACTACTCTTGTCTCGCTTGTCTTCTATTACTTCCCGTGTTTCATTTTGCTCCAGCTCAGTCCAGCTGTAGTTCACGTCATCCACCGATACTGGTAAAGTGACGATGCCGCTTTCTTTAGAATATCCACTGAATTCAGCCATTTTCTGGTTCGTCAACGCGGTGTCGCTACAAGCGTCGTGATATACTGTAGCATTGATCTGGGTGTGGTTTAGAGTTGACCTGTTGGAGATTTTCGGGCCCTTTTCATCAATTTTCTTTGTTTTGCGGTACATCTTTCTAAATGTGATGTATTCACGACTAGTACGTTTTTCATTCACGTAATTAGCATCGGATTCGTCAAACGAACTGTCGTTGAAATCGAAGTTCCCGTTATCCGACATTTTCTCTTGAATTTGTAAACATGGAGTGTTGGTTTTCGCATTTGATTGCTGGTTAAACCAGTTCATTATATATTCAGTCATGTCTGCTTGGGGCAAGAGCAAGAGGTCAGTTCTGGTTTTTGTTTCTTGCTTGGTAATACTGTCTGGTGGTTGTTCATTGATAACGTTAAGTTCCCTTACGAATTCACCGTTATCAATGAGGATTTTATCTGAAACAAGTGATTTTTAGTTTAGTTCAAACGAAAAACGCTTTTTTTCAAAATTCATTAGATGCGGTAGGAAAATTTCTAAAAGACAGCTTTCAATAAATTGGTTATGCCCATACATACCGACGGCGATATCATTCTATCTTTAGCAATTAAGCATATTATTCATATTTATAAATTCCTATATTATTATGAAGAATTAAAGATTTATTTTAATAATACTCTATATCAAAGTGAACACATGTTAATTGGTTTTTAAATTTGCCCAAGGGGTTATCATAATCTTTGTTACATTTCCAATTACTCAAAATACCGAAATTAAAATTGTTTGGAGTAGTATAATTTATGAGTCGATTTTGGCAGTCTTCAAATTTTTACAAATCAGCCAAATTTAACGACCTAATTAAAATATGATAAGAAATAAACATTTTTTTTATCGACCATGATCCAAAATGAAAAACATATTTCGCCTAGCTTTTAATTACGCATGATAATGACCAAACCGAGTTTAGATTAATGTCAGAAAGGTTCGGGGGGCAATGGCCCACACACATATTTCAAAGACCTCGGATTCCTCATAGACAAAAGTAGATTTTTTAATTTGAGTTTTTTGATCCATGACGTCACATCCTTGCGTCTTACCGAATACTAAACTGTACAAGTCCTTGTCGTCATCGGTCATAACTTCGCTTTTGGCATGCAAATAACTCTTGAGTAAATTGATGCAGTCGGAAAAGCCACCTTCGCAGGCGTAATGAATGGGAGTTTTAAAGTTGACGTCTCTAACTTTCGGATCCCCACCGCAACAGAGGAGCATGCGCAGAAGGTCAGCACGTCCCCAAGCCGCTGCGATATGCAAAGGCGTGAGTCCATCTTCGGAGCTAAAATAAAGAATATCGCCACAATATTTTTTGGATACATTACGTGTTGAAGACCTTTATTAAAAATCGGTCAAAATAAATAAGAACTATAAGTTCATATTTTCACGAAATTATATATTTTTACGACAATTGTTTCGACAACACCGTGTCTTTATCACATTCGATAAAGACACGGTGTTGTTCGAAACAATTGTCATGTAAAAATATATAATTTCGTGAAAATCTGAACTTACAGTTCTTATTTACTTTGAAAAATGGATTTTCATCAAGTAAAAGTCACCTCAGCTCAATTTATAAAAATCGGTATTGATATCTGCTGTACACGGTGGACCAAATTGAATACTTTTAATAGACACACACTACAATATTAACTTTTGTGTTTCTATAAAAACATTTCCGAAGCAACTTTTTATGCAGAATTTAGTGCCTTAAATATAATATTTCTAACACAAACACTTTAATAGTTATCGACTAAAAAATCATTTTTTATAGAGAATACATATTTTTGAATTGCGGAAAAGAACTTGAAATTACCTTTCCCAATATACAGCATTTTTGATATTTTGCAACAAGTGATTGATTGATTGATGGATTTGATTAAATTTAAAAATCGGTCATCTGAGGTATACTCATCTAAATTCATATGAAAACTTGTTTCAAATAAAAATTTCTCAGACAACAGATTTCCTTAATAATCTATCAGTTAAATTTCCAGCAGATCTAAAATGCAATGACAGGTCATTGCTGACTCAAGAGGGCGGAAGGAAATACTGAATGCGGTGTGTTATACCATATAAATGTTCAGAGTAATCCAAATAGAGACAACGAGATGCACTAGGGACTTGTGGAGTCTGATCAGAGAGACCACCCGTGGTAACGCTTTAGTTTAGAGCTCTATCGGTAGATCCTATGGGCCAAAGTAATGAACTCCCAATAATTTGACCTGCTGAACTATTTACTTATCTCTGAAGACCATTTTAAATGTCATTTTCAACGCCAGCAACGGACGGCAGAATAATGAAATATACTTATTAACTAATCACGGAATTCAGTATGCAAAATGTTGTTTTTTGATGTTCTGGTAGGGTAAGGAGTTTTCACCTGCCAATTTAAATTATGCACATCAATTCGAAATCGAATTTGATAGTGCGGATACGGTGGTGTTTGGCATTTAATAAATTTAAAATAAAATAGCCAGAAATGCAGATTATATCGCTTAAACATGGCCAGGCAGTCTGACTTCATAAGATATGTGGTTTATACTGCAAACTTCATGCATTCAGTCAAAGCGGAAGTTTTGAACTTTTTTTAGATAATTCTTGATACTGTTCAAGCAAAACATAACAACACTGCTGCAGTGATTAAATTGAGATAAAGCTAGCGTGTCACAAAGAAGTTTCTTAGTGTCTTGTGAATGAATACTGCAGGTTACTGTTCCAGTAACGTGCTTTCTAAACTTCAATTCAGATGTCAATACAAGAAACAAATTCTTGCAGTTGTTAGCGAAGGGAAAAATCAACTAATTCAAGTAAAAATGGATGATTTATCGTATAGATCAGTGTCAGTTAATACAGATATTCGCTTTATCATGCTTTGTCCAAAGGAGCAAAGATAGATCTGATTATCATATTGTAATCATGCAATTTTTTAGAAATTTAATAAACCTAAATGTAAAAATCTAAAATAGCAGAGGGCCCAAGTTACCACCAACCCTTACAAGCAATGAAGTCGACATTGATCCTTCAGACAAAACACACAACTTGTGTCTTATCAGTTAAAAACGAACGATGGACGAAATATAACATTTCGTCCAGGCGTTAGTAAGGAATAATACCTATCTAATATCCATATAAAAACGTCAGGGCGTTTTTATACCATCAAGCAACTTTTAAAAATATTTTCCCATAAGATAAATAATCAACGAATGTAAACAAATGCCGCAAGAACGTAACACCGATCTGGATTTAATAACCCGATTTCTAAAGCAACACAAGATACATTACGCATGTTGTAATGCCGGGTACAATGAAAAAAAAAAAAAGAAACGCATTTGATAGGGGCGTACAATCAATAGAGCAACAATGTCAACCAATTAGACTAATGTGACATCCGTTATCGTAGTAACGACATAATGGTAGAGTAACACTTTATGTAAAACGATTACAAAAATTGACTCATTCATGTATTACTTTATTGGCGCCGAGAAATAAGCAGATAAATCGAGGCGACATACTTAATTAAAATCTTATTGTTATGACGATAATAATCGGTTTATATAAATTACATAAGTTACGTAAATTCTTTAATTTTTGTTATACATTGGTAATAAAAGGTTCTGTCTAAATTGCTTTGCTAAGATAATGTACAGGGTTTGCCTAACAAATCGATCACTGTTTGAATGTTTGATAATGTTTGAATTAGACCTCGTAGATTTCGTATGGGTGCAAGTAAGAAGGCTTATAGCATTTTTAAAATGGAGGACGTTAAATCCCCTCTTGCAAAAGTGAATAAAGGCAGTGGATTGTGAAAAAAGTGCGTCGTAAGATGCATGTAATTGAAAGAGAAGAAGGAAGCTGATAACATGCTACAAAATACTGCAGAGACCCTTATTAGTTCTCTGGACTTCAATAACTACAGTTCATTTAATTATTCGGAACAATATGACTAAAATTTATAAATAAAGATATATATAATTTCTCCATTTTCATATCAATCATTCATTTCATATTGAATAACTCATCTTTCTATTGTATGCAAATTAATTTAGGAACGATTCGAGGTGTATAGGTTCTAAAAACGATATAGGTTTGTCCACCCTGTTTAATGATTCCTGTAAATTCCAAATTTACATTTTATTACTCTCTCGAATTTGATTAACAGAACAGATTAACTAGAAAACTACCACCATTTTGAAGGGAGCTGAATGCGGGATTGAATTTTATGAATGGACCAGAAGAATCAAAAGCAGTGATTGGATAGGTCAACACCTTTCCCGGATACATTAACTAATCTAATAAAGTATTGTTAGTGAATAACTGACACAGTCGATAAATAAACAAGGGGTCAAATTTCCTATTGTAACAGCGGATAATCTGTTTTTGTTCTGTGCTTTCCATTTCAATCCCTTAAATTTTCTGCTTTTATATTTGTGATGTGTGTAACATTACTTCTCTTCTCTTCCGGAGACAGTCATGTTTGGCAGTTCCGCGTAAGAGTCAATTTCTATTGTACTATTCTGATTTGTGAAGGAATATTTAATACAGGCGAGTAGCAATTATTACCGCGAACAAAAAATAAAAATTTTAAATGTACCAATTGATTTATGCTGCTCACTCTATGGAATAACAGTTACTGTTATTTCCTATTTTTCCCTGATAAGAAACTCGACTCCATGTATTTTGTCGGATCTACTGTGAAACTAATGTACTCAGGCCGTCAAATTTTGCAAACATATTTGAGTAAAAATATACATTTCTGGATATATTTTAAAAGCAGTGTGACTCACTTATTCTGTTATGTATTTGGTTCGGGCTTAACAGCAAAAAATGGATAACCAAAAATTATTGTATATAGTGTATTTGTGGCATTATAAGAATTATAAGAATATAGACAAAAATTACATTGCGCATACATTACATTACAATGTTTTATAAAATAATCTAAGAAAGAATTTCGTATGCACATAACGCATATATATAAACACTTTTCACAGAACAACATTTTTGAAAGAGGATTTTCTTACAACGTATTTGCGTTGTACCACGAAGTTTTAAAAACTGGTTTCTAGAAATCTTTAAAATGGAAAACTTTGAATGAACGCCTTTATTTTTTTATATTAAATTGATCGATAGATCTAAAGTATTTTAGTCCCGCTGTTACTTTCTGATCATTGTTCTAACAGAACAGGTCCTAATTTAAATTTCTATTGCTGGGTTGGTTGAATATTCAGAAAATTGAAATAATGATGCAACTTGCTAGTATTCTAAGTAATTGTTCTCGGTTATAATAAGATGTGAACTTTGGAATAATAATAACTTTTGCGACGTTATTTACAGCATTTTACTGTCTTACATAAAATTAACGAAATCTCTAACGAAATCTAATTATTTCTACACATATCTGTACGTTCACAGATGTTTATGACAATAGTCATTGCATTCACAAATAAATTTTGCAAGCGTTTTTAGTTATATGTCAGTCTATTTGATAATATTAGTACTTAGGAAACAGAAAAATTGCAGCCAAAATTTCATATTTCTAAATATTCAAATAAACCAGGAATAAGAATTTAAATTGGGGTCAGTTTAAATCGAAAAATGTGGAAAATAATTAATATCTCGAAAACCGCTAGAGCTAGGTATAGGGAAAGTTTCTACAAAAATGCTAGGAAAGCGGAGAAAAAAATTGAAACAATATTTTTAAAAATTATCTTACTTTTCGACATAAGCGGCAACACTGCTACTCTCTGTTGCGTGTATAGTATCAATTACTATTATGAATTATTATTAATATGAAAGTGCGAGTGCAATTTATCTGGTTAAGTAGAACACCAACCGTATTTTTTTTCGGAAAGATAGAGATGAAGATGATGATCAAATAATCAAATATTTACCTTACGTTGGGGTTACCACCGCACTGTAATATAATCGCGGTAACCTTTATTGCGAATTCACTGCTGTCGCAACCGATGGCAAGATGAAAAGCTGAAATTCCCTTTTTGGGGAGGATAACATTCGGATCTGCCCTCTTTTCACATAATAGCGTCTTAATTGATCTGCAAAGGAATAATTGGCTCACTTAATTTGAAAAAATAACACGTTTAAACTATATATGGCGTAGAGGTAGATATTTAAAATGAAATATTAAATTTGAATGAATGGATTGAGGTAACTTTACTTTTACTGCACCTTACTCTCTGTACGACTACCCGCTTCCATTAATTTAGAGAAGTTGAAAAATATCTTAATTTTTTCGATAAACGCACTGTCGCAAACATTGCCTTACATTTTCGTCAATGTTAGGGACTAGTTTATAAGCTGCCAACAGCGCGGTTTGGTCGTATAGTCAAGAACAAGAATGGGTCATTCGCGGTCTGTCAATAAAGCGAAAAGGATCGTTTCGTATCCTTACATTTTTTCTGTACCGAGAATAACCGTAACCGAACCAAAGTATATTTACGTTAAACGGGTAGTTTATCGCGGGAATACGCAACGCTGTACTTTAGGTGCGGCTTAGCAATAGCCTGCTGCCATCTGATTTACAAACACAATAAAATTCGAGCATAATTTAGGTTGTTATATTTTGCAAAATGTACCGTGCTGTGCGCAATTTTGTACAATCTAAAAATCTAATAATATATGGGGCATCCATTTTAAAAAATAGAGTTCTCTGGTTCGAGTAGATGTGGCAACTCTGGAATGAAATATTTTAAAAACAAAGATAAATCATGGCCGCAACCAAATTTTTAAATGCCTTTATCTTTTTATATTCTCCATATCTCTTAAAACGAACTTTTACGGCATATTCTTCCTGGAAAATAAGGCCTAGTTTCCTATATAAACATATGTCCGGAAACGCTTCCTTTCCGAAATGTGTTGAAAAAAGCAGTGTACAAAGTGTTCATATCAATCCAATAATAAGAGTCGTTTGAAAATTATGATAAAAAATAGTTTTTTCTTCTTATTATTTATACAAGAAACAGGGACGTATTTTAAACGTATTAGGAAAAATTTCAAAATCACATTTTTATTAATGATAGATACTTTTTGAGTCTTTAGCTTAAATTTTTGAAATTATACGAAATGTTATTTGTTGATAGGTTTATAATAATTATAGGTAATAAAGTGGTTAAAGGTGTAGTGTCAAAATGCAACGCGATATAACTACATGGAGTTACACTATACCAAATATAATTTTAAAGTATTTCTGAAAAAATGCGGCCGGGTGGAGAGTAGTCATAAAAAAGGGAAATAAAAGATCACATATTTAAAAGAACGAAGATTTTTACAATATGTTAAATTTGGCAACGTCATTTATAATAAATAATAAAGAATTAATTTTACCTTACTGTCCCTAGAGGTATTTTAATGAATAGTATTGTCGTATTGTACTCGACCGAATTTTTGGAAGTAGTATATTATGCAACAAGTGCGGTAAACGGCATTTTTCTACTCCCGTCTGTAAAATACCTATTTACCCACCGATCTAGCGTGTGGGAAGAGTCACGTTATCACGTCAGTTTCGTTTCCCATGAATCGCTCGCTGCGTTTGTGTCAAATAAACTCGTGAGTCAAATGCCGTTTACCGCACTTGTTGCATAATATACTATTGATTCACTTTATTTGACACCAGCGGAGCGGAGTGTTTAATAAACGAGTGACTAAAAAGTTTACCGAACTCACTATACTTTTTCTACGAACGTTAGTTTTTGGGTGCATTTTCGTAAAACAACACGAACACAATCACTGACATGACTGTCATTATTGACAAACGTTACAATTCAAGGCGTGGGAAATATCTCCGAAAAAATCCGATTGCCCCCAAACCCGTGCCGTAAAATCCCGGAAATGTCCGAAGTGGCTCAGATCCGTGGGAAACGAAACTGAAGTGGTAAAGTCGCGCTTCCCGTAAGCTAGATCGGTGTGTAATTAGGCATTTTACAGACGGGAGTAGAGTGTTGCCGAAGTTTTGACTTCATTCCAATCCAAAAAAACCTTACTTTAGAAATAAAGATTTACATTTCGGCCGTCTAAATTTTATGAATTTTAGATAATTTAAGTTGCATCCCAAATCTCAATCTAGAAGATAAATCAAAAATAGCGTAGCGCCACACTTATCGCAGAATTGGAAAGATATTCCAAGAAAAGCGACAGAGCTTATGACGAACTATTATTTACATAGACCGTCTAATTCTAAAAACCAGGCATATTTCTGGCGAAAGCGTTTATCTCTTTAATGAAGCGTACAATTTATAGTAAACGATGTGCGTATTAATACAGTAAAAACACGAGGAGCGATAACGAAAATTTAAAGTAATAATTTTTTCCATTTCGATTGAATGCCGGGATAATAAAAAGACAATAAATGTGTTGTTGAACGTGTCTATTTCTGGAGCGATTCAAAGTTCTGTTTATTAAATTTAAAAATAGAACTGGGAATAATTGGAAACAGTGTTAATTTAGAATCAAATTTAAGTAAATATAAAGCATATTCATTAGAATTTAGAAAGTTCTAGAATAAAACTAGTAAATAAGGTTTCCCAAATAAAAACAGGAAAGCTCGAATATTTTAGTTTGACGCGAGGCTTGACATGAAGCTATGAAATTTGATAAACCGGGAAACGAAAGTAGCAAATAAATTGGCACTTTGAATCGACATAATTGCATAATAGTTTAATGTTAATGTAATAATATGTTAATTATGTTAATGTTTAATAATCAGACTGTGTCAGGGTTCCGTCTTTTAGGAATCACTATTTTTCTCGCTTCTGCTGCCATATTAATTCCTTTATGGACATGAAGTACATATTTGTCATAAATAAATTTAGTATGTTTACCGTGCGTTAATATTTTTGCTAAAGTGTGTTATATTATTGTAATTGGAATAAGATATAAGATATTATATTATCAAAATAAATACATAATGTACAGGGTCTTCTAAAATATATAACGTACGGTTATGTCAGAAAATTTATACTGGTTGGTTTTATATGTTGACTTGACTACTAACGTTTCTGTTTTTTGCTAATTTTGCTTTCTTTAGAAACAAAGACACAGGGAATAAAAACTTTTGAGAACGTACTCGGGAATACAAAGCAAAGATATCTTAACTTAAAATAAAGAAATTATTTTTCAAAAATTATCAAATTATCTTGGTCATATTAAATCATATTGAAAACCGAATTTATTTGAAGGATCCCGAAATTTACGTTATAGCCCAAAACCCAATTAACATTTTTTTAAATAATGGATCAACCCACAAGATTAAAAACTAGAAATAAATTAAGCATGCGAATGTGGTGAAGCGCTGATCGTTGATTGTGGGACTAGTTCTAGAAGAAGACAAGTTAGTCTCATAACGCTTTTAATTACCCTATAAAAACAGTAACGTTTACTTTTTTTGTGCTAAGGGACAATTTAAAGCCTTGTTTCTCTTTCTTGTATTGTAATCATAGTACTGATTATTTCGACGTTATATTTCAGAGTTTCATTTAAAATTTTGAAAATTTTTTTTCACTACTAACGATTATGCGAGACATTTTAGTGGTGTCGTTAGAGTTACTGCGTAAATTGTGTCTCAAATATTCGTTATGAAATAGAATTTTTAAACTTTAATTTTGTAGGACTTTGGGGGCATTAGGCTTCTTGTCTAATAATAATGATTTTATTTCGTGGATAGTAGTATTTTTTCGATTTTTCATTAAGATGGCGAATGGACAGAACAACAATTTAATATCCCATTTCGGAAAAATCGGAAAAGACCATTTTTTAAATGGAACATCCTGTAAATTTTTAAATCTCTAATCTGTAAATAATTGATGTAACTATATTAAATGTGGATTTAGACTTAAAATTATAAATATTATAAAATTTAAGGGAAATGAAAAATCTCAAATATTGTGTGCCACAAAAGTAACAGAATATTTTTAACTGTTACAAAAACGTGTGTTAAAAAATGCCGGAAAATGTATTCAACAAAATGGCGATGTCTTTCAACATTTAATCTAGTGCAATTCTACTTCATAAAATCGTGACCAATCAATTAATATTACGCCAATATCGTACAGGAACTTTTAATGTTCGATGGAAATAGTTGCATACATGAGTTATGTTTTCCATTAAATATTCAATTGCTTTTCTGTATTCGTCAACTTAACGAGCATGGAAAATAACACTACTTTGCTCATTTATTAGACTTCATATTTTTGGTACATCCGTTATACAGTTCATAAACTTTTATCTACTGGAATTGTATAATACTAATTAATATTTAATTTTTCAATTAGCGGTAAATATCTCATATAAAAATAAGCTTTCTATTGTATGAAAAGTAGACACAAATTTTTTTATTAAATATTTACTTTAATAAGCTCGGATTTTACTTACTGAAAATGATGAAAGAACGAGTTACTTGGACATTGGTATTTGAATGTTTCAGTATTATTACCATTTAGATCTAGGAAAAGGTTTACCGTAGATGGCTTAAATTGAAATAAAATTGCGTATGGTCAATTTATTTATACAGAGTATCCGGAAAAATAAGGTTTTTTTCCTTCCCAAGTTTTTAAGCATCTTTATTTTTTCTTATAGTAGGAGACTTTTTGCTACTTTTCCAAAGAAAAAAACCTAAGCTAATGAGCATGCTTATTAAAACTAATAGCTTTAGCATAATTTTACCCAGAACGTTTCTTCGATGATTCCATAATTTAATGATGAATTTTGCGTACTACTTACCCAAAGTGTCTAAATTCGACTGAATCGTATAGCAAGGAAGCTAAAAACAGTTCCCTTTTGTCACTTGTGAAAATTTTATTCATTATCACATAACAGTTCTGAATAAAATACTTGCGCTTTTCACAAGTTTTTTTGTAATAGAAACAAAAAATCCAAAGTAAAAAATCTTACAAAAACTAGTTTGTTTTTTAAGTTATAAATTGACCTTAACTACACTTGATGCAAACAACGCCTTTAATTCACAAGAACTGCCGCTACGAAATGCACCACTTTTAAATCCATGCAGCGCTCCTAACGTAGGAAATAAATTCATTAAGGATTATGTTAATGATAACGATAAACATTTCAAGGTTATAAATTTAAAGGACACAGATAACTATCTGGTAAGTCAATTGATTAACCAAGGAATTTACGTCTTATTTGCCACTGCGCCGCTCAACGGCCAACTGTGGAATTTTTAATTGAGGGATAGCGGTAGAGGTAAAATATTAACAAATAAACTTTAATTTTAACTTTTCTTTGCATGCTTTGATATCTGGAAATGAATTTGATGTTATGTTATGTTATGTTTTGTTAGTTTTTAACCCACAAAATAAAGTGATACTTATAGAACTCTAATACATTTAAAATAGAACAGCTCAATTCCGTCTTTTCTGATATAGGCACATGATCCTATCAGTGCTGCCCTGCAGCAGTGGGGATACAAAAATATATTCTCTCCACTTTCTTTTAGTTATACATGCATACATCTATGGTCACAAGCTTTCAGAAGGCGTTAAATATTTGACTGCCATCCAAAATTGCCAGCTCTATTTAGTCTATTTGTCTTCAGGTGTTTGGTAAGATTTTGTTAATCTGAGTTGAGAAGAAAGAGCATTTATAGTATGAATATAACAGAAACTAAGCAAAAATAACATACTTGCCACCAAATAGAGCCGGCAACATCGGAGTGCTATCAAACATTTTTACGCATGCTGAGCACAGAACGTAATCTGACGTGTCCTTGACTTGTCAAAATATTTTCATACTTCATAACCTAAGCTGAAGATTGATATATTATTGCCAATCGGCTTTTTCTAAACGTATTTTATAAATTTGTCGATTTAACTTTATTTTAAAGTGTTTTTCTATGGCACAGATATCCAAAACTTCACACATACCAGATTGCACAAACAAATGCCATTCCACTATTCATGGGGATATTATAACATCAGCGGTAACTAAGAAAGCGGTTCGCGACCAGGATTTATGTGTATATCTCAATTATGTATGTTGTTGTTGCGAATCTGTTAGAGATACACAAGGACGCACTGCGTTACATGTAGCAGCCTCTTGTGGTAGAGTGAACCTTCTCCAATGGTTAGTGCAGAAACGCCTGGCAAACGTAAATACCAGGGATGTTGAGTCAGGATACACCCCATTACATAGAAGCATTTTTTATGGCAAGCTTGAGACTGCAGTTCAGCTTTTAAAAATGGGCGCAAATGCTACAATTCAAGATGCTGATGGTTTAACATTTATTGAACATGCTATGTTAGATGGACCCAGCCCAGATAAAAGCGATTCTGGTGAAGTATATACTTGGGGCACCAACTGTAACAATGCATTAGGTCCCCAGCAATCTAGGAATGTACCTGATATTCTGGATGTTTTTCACAAGAAGTATCCCAATGAATTTGTTAAACAGATTTGTTTAAGTCAGTTTCATAGTGTAATTGTGACAGTTTCAGGTTAGGATATTAAGATTACATTAAAATTCTCTAAAAGAAGTGTCACCAATTAATTGAGCTAAGTGTATTTTGCAAACTGTTGACTGTACCTGCTGCTTCTAAAAAACTTTAGTAAACTGGCCAAGGGAAACAATGGAAATTCTATTTAAGTTCCTAATATAGTCGCTAGAGAGACAACTCCAAATTTAGTAAAGTTAGATATATTGAAAATGATTGCATAAAAACATTCCTTTTATGGTTGGTTAGTTACCAAGAAATAATTTTCCTGGTTTTATCAAATCAAGTAATTTCTATGAATTGTCACTAAATTCTAGTAAAAATTGTGCACAAAAATTATTCTTGTATATTCTTAATTAAACATGTTTTGAAAGAAAAATCTCAAAAGTATTGGACATAATTTCTCCAGTTTTGTTCTCTAAATTCTAGTAAAAATTATGCACAAAAATTATTCTTGTATATTCTTAATTAAACATGTTTTGAAAGAAAAATCTCAAAAGCATTGGACATAAATTCTCCAGTTTTGTTCACTTTGTCTATTTCTTAATAGGTAACCTACTTTCTGACAAAGCAACACACTTTTAGGAAAAGCAAGGAAACAAGACAAGATGAAAACATTTTACCTTTAATTCTGTGCCCCTTTGAAACTATAAAATACTGTTTTGATCAATCAGCAATTACATTGACATGGGTTATGAAGCGAGTCAAAGTTTTAAGGTACAAACCATAATTTGTCTTGTATTGTTCAATTTCAAATTTTAAAAATGAGTGGCGCAGACTACAAAAAAGGGCTCAGACAGAGACACATTACTTTTTGAAACTAAAAGCCTAGCATATTTTTCGTCCAATCGCTTGACACCTCTTCTGCACTAAAATAAAAACTTATGAGACTATATTAATTTTGTTTAGTTGCAGATTTTTGATAAAAAAGAATATTTTTCACTTTAACTTTTTAACTGAAAGCTGTAGAATTTAAACCAATGAAACATTATTGACATATCACAAGTCTTGACGTGGCTCCTAATTTTGCTGCACCTTGCGACAGTTTTAATGGTTGGATACAGAGTATGAAATGAATCAATAAAAAAACACCCCTTTAAAATGAAAATATAATTTGTTTTATAACTTTTTGGGAGCAGAATATCCAGCATCCCATTTTTCTATGTATAATTCCTTCTATGATGTCTAATGGCCATAATTACGAAGTGAAGTATCATTTACAGTTATTTTTATTTGCCAGATTTAATAGAGAAAATGTTTTCCGAAAGCAACGGTTTCTTAGATACAGCCACTCAACTCGCTTAGTTGGCGATCCTGTACATAATTTTTATTTCCAGGTAAATGTTATTCCTGTGGTCATGGTCAAGGAGGTCGTCTTGGTTTAGGTATACAGCATACAGAAGTAACCCCCAAACGGATTAACTTTCCTGACAAATCTCAAAGTGATTTTGTTTGTGTACAAGCTAGTATTTCTCGCGATCATAGTTTATTTTTAACTATAGACGGCAATGTATAAAGTTAGTACCATTTGCAATGAGCGATTAAGTGGAACAATTTCAGATCTATGCTTGCGGCTCAAATAAGCATTATGTGCTGGGCATCTCCCCTCCGCCTGACCAACTGTTAGTGCCGAAACAATTGAAAAGCTTGCCGATTCATCTAAAAGGTGTTGATGTTGGCTATTATCATTCTCTTGCATGGGGACCAAAAGGTTTAACATTATTTATTCAGCGATTTCCGTGATCATGTTCAATTTTTAGGCCTGTATACGTGGGGTTTAAATGGTGGACAGCTTGGTCATCAATTGAATAACAAAAACGATGATAAATTCATTTTTACTCCAAAATTAGTCAAAGTTTTTAATTACAATGAAATTTCTTTGAAACTTGTTTGTTGTAGCAATGGAGCTACCATTGTTTATACCAAAAAAGGCGATTTGTATGCGTTGCACGAATATCAGTGTAAAAAAATTGCATCCAGGTACGTGTGAAGATTTACTTTTTTTTATTCAATATGATGGATACTAATAAAGACCTCTCAAAATGGAGTCCTCAATAATATTTATGAGTGTACCTCTAATGATCTTTTTACACCTTCACGACTATCAGTTTTAACCATCAACCGCAAAATAATAAGAGAGTAATAAAATGTAAATTGACACTGACAGGGATCTTTAAACACTTTAAACAGGGTGGACAACTGAAGGATTATATCGTAAAATTCAGATAAATTGCAATGATAGTTATCCATATTTTAGTTTTTAAGATCTATCCACTTCGAGTCGTTTCTAAATAAGGTCACACTAATTTGCGTGCAATAGAAAGACCAGTTTGCTGAAATGAAATATAATTCTAATTTTAAAGACTAATGGGGGCTATACACATGCAGGCCAGTCCGTGCGCAAGTGTGTCCAGGTAAGTCCGTGAGCAAGTGCGAAACGAATTGCGGTCACACACTATTCAGGTAAACCTGGAGGTTCACCAGTTGGTGGAGCCTGCTGCTGTGCCAAAAATGAAGTTGGTCTTCGCACTTGCTCTAAAAATCGGACACAATCTGATTCGCTTCGAGCCGCGCTTGGAACTGAACGCGCTTTGAGTAGTTTTGACCCATACACATTCGCACTTACGCGCGTCCTCGACCTGTACAGGCAAGTTTTAACACTTGCTTGCACGTATATGGGGCTATAAGGCAGGTTAAGACTAAGTTTTATAGTTTAATAACGATAACTTTCTTGAGAGAGAGCATAATGTTTTTGAGAAAAACATTAATGGAATTAATGTTATTTTTCTGATAAATTATGTAATCATAAATAAAATAAACAAATAATACTATGCTATTAAATATGATGCTCCTCTTTTTATTGAAAATTAAACAGTAATTCATTTATTAAATATCTCTTATGTAAAAACCTTATTCATAATGAAGCAGCACAAATATACGCGTTTATTTCCTTAAAATAAAATGAAATTAACACTTTTCGTTATTGCATGCTTTACTTGCCCAAGAAAATAACTCTCTTTTGCAGGATATCATTATTACCGCAACCATATGTAACATAAGAATTTAGATTTTTTTAACATTAATGACACTGTAAAATTATTCGTTGGTATTCTATATACACAAGATTGTCACTGTCAAAAATTAAAATGATTTTGCAAAGTGTACAGGGTGTCCCATAAGTATGTAAGAAAGTGAAGCTAAGAACATTATACTATGACTAAACTTAATACTTTTTTAAATATTTTCCATTTTACAAAAAATATATTAATTGCAAGGTTTTCTAAAAAATGTTGTGTTGTTGTGCGCACTATATTGGGACACACCGTACATCAGGAACTTTTTTGGTGAAGCACTCTAATGAAAAAAAAATCATTCTAGGCAGTTAAATTTGGTTCAAATCAGCTCGGTTGGCGGTAAATTAAACTGTACTCTAGATTCAACACTATCATCCAAAGAAAACAGGGGACTAAAAGTTGCAGCGCTCACAAATGCTGGAAACTTGCTAATCTGGCAGGAGTCTGACCAGACACTGCTTCGATGTGTATTTTCTGTGAACAGAGCACTTGTTTTAAAGCAATTTATCCTCAATCTTAATGAAGTTCTGTTCATTACAAACAATGGGGAGGGTTTCAGAGGAGCTTTTAAAGCGAGAAAGAAAAAGCCTACTTCTGAGGAAGACAGTTCATCAGCCAAGAGTGAGTTCCATAAGTTTTTGGAAAAAGATCAGTGCATTTTTGTTAAGCTACAGAAATTGCCAAGGATTCATCGAGCCTTAAATGTGCAAAGCGATTTGAAAGGAGAAAATTATTGTATTATTCAGGTAACGAGCCGGACATTGATTTTTTATTTGTTGTGAATGCGACTTCCGCGGCCGTTCTTTTTTCTATATATACACTTTTTATTTCTGTGAATTGTAACGAAGCTAAATCCGCGAAAACAAAGAATCATTAGGCACTCAAAGGCAACCTTTTTTCACATTTTCTAGGTAAATTATACTTGATTATTTTAACGGAGTTCAGTTTTAAAACATACTTGATGACTTAAGAAATTATGTTAGGTATCTATTTTTTTCTAATTTAAATTCTATACATGGTGACTACTTGTTCAGTGATTGTTTGGGTAAATGGAATAAATTTAGCTTAAATAATCTATAATTATAGGCTCGATTATTAAAAATTTCAATGTTGGGAGTACTAGTTTAAAATTGGGACACCTTGTAGACAAAACGCATGAATTCCGAAGCATCTCATTATGAACCTTACAACTTTTGTATAACTGTGATGTTTGTAAACTTGGAAAAGAGTATGCCCAAGAATTTGGGTCTTAGTATTGGGTCAAAGTATTTGTTAGGCCACCTCTAATAATTTAATTCCGGTAGCTTCAGAGCATTTTTAAATTGCAAAAGTGGCCACTCTTCCTTATTTGCGTAAATGTTGCGTAATATCAAAATGTATACAATTATACATGGTGTTTCATAAAAGCTTAGCTATAAAAAAAAAAATGCCCCTTATATTTTGTTCTGACTGTGGCAATGGATCGACACTTAAGACAAATAGTAATGATATGAAAAATAGAGTATTTAATTCTCCAATTATTCCACGCATACTAAACATAAGTAAACATTTTCAGTTTATTTAGTTTTCTGAGATTACTTGAGTTCGAGTAATTAACAAATAACCTTTTTTAGTGGCTAATTTTTCACAAATAAAACAAAAAAAACAGAACAATTTTCCCTAGTAACGTGCTGATTTAAAAGGTGTTCATTATTTTAATTAGACTTTTTTTCCAAGACATTAAATTGCAAGTATTTTTATTTTATAATGTCGTTGATTGAAATAATTCTTTTCAGGCCCATCCTTACAAAATGTATGAATTTCCTGATATAGCGGATTCAGAGATTTCGAAAGACTTCCTGTTGTTAATGGAATTAGCTAATCCATCAGACAACATACATGATGTAGTGTTCCAGATTGATCGTTCTAGATTTTACGTTCATCGATATATTTTGTCTTCGGCAAGCGCGTATTTGGCCAAATGCTCCTCCACCTATGACCAGAAACCTATTGTTCTGGAAGGTTACCATCCCGATATTTTCCAGCAACTTCTGTTATTTATTTACACCAAACGCTGTGATCTTATAGTTCCTGGTGAGCTGAAAAACCTTAGATTGAGAAATTTGTATGAGAACGTGCCAAAGCCTGCCGGTAAAGTTGAAAAAATGAATCCTGTACGAATGCTTCATGAAATGGCTAAGAGATTTGAAGTTGTAGAGTTGCAAAAGATATTAAGCAATTTGGATTTTCAACATGGAGTAATTAAGATGAAAGTTGATAATGCTTTTAGGGTGGCGCCTTTAAAATTCAATAGGTTACTATACCCAGATTATTATGATGTAAACATTGTTTGTAAGGATGGTGGTGTAATTGAGGCTCATAAGTGCGTTTTGGCTGCCAGGCTCGATTATTTTAGTAATATGTTTTCAAGCCGATGGAGTGGGGTAAGGAGATATTTGACTTACTGCTAGTGTCAGTGTAAGAAAATGCCAAAAATATTTTCTCAAACACTAATAATGTTGATACAGTATATGGATAAAAAAAACACAGCAACAAAGTATTGGATGGTCTGTTTATTATGGGATGACATCGAATCTCAGAACCTATTAAAAATTTAATAAAAAATGTTAACCACAAAGTGGAGGCAAGAATAAATTTTTTTTCTTTTATTTCAAACTACTCTACTGCGGCGACGGACTATTTTTGGCAATTAAACACAAAAGTTTTTCTTGTTCACTTACACTTTTAAAATATTATACCATACAAATAATAACTTTCTTATTAAAAATAGAACACCATGTAGATTTAGGTATTTTTTCAATTCCTTGGAGCCTTTGTATAAGATTACATATTTGAAAAAGTTGTAGATTTTGAAATATTATCAATTAAGCGTTTTTCCCTTGTAAAAATCATATTCGACTTTTATGCTTTGCTATTGGTTTACTATGATGATGACGACGAAAAATAACAGTCGAACACCACAGAAACGTCACTGTTTTGTCATCCTGTGAGTTTGGAAATCAGTTTCTGACAATTGTATGTCACGTCTCTTGTTAATTTTTATTATCTGTGTTATTTTTAAATTTTCTATTATTCGTTTAACACTGTTGTCAGTTTTCGCCTATTTGGATATGTTTTTTCATAAAATTTGTTTTATTTCTAAGAAAATCTCAAACGACAGTAAATATTAAGTGCAATTTCTGTAGTGCTCTGTTGTTTTTCAGCCAAGTTTCGCCTGATGTTCTTGGGCAATTAATATTAAATTTAATTGTTAATTTTAATAAAAAAGGCAACCTTATAAAAAGTCAACCCTTTTTTAAATGTTAAATATAAAATTATAACCTTTTCTTCATAGGGTATTATATATAAAAATATGTCCTATTCTAAAATGTCTTAATATATAACATATTATTTTAAACTTTTGGTCATCCGTATCGAATAATATGACGTTAAAACATCAAAAACGCAAGTAGTTAAAATTTTATTTTATATGAATATACATGTAAAATTGTTTGCACATACATTTACGAAAATAATGCGACATTTTTCGCTCTATACAAAATGTCACAACTAAATACTTGATCTTTTTGTAGGAAAACAGTGGCAAAGTAAGCTTTCCTTTTTCGGCGAGCGCAGTTTTAGCGCTTTTGGAATTTCTTTACACGGATTCCCTTTCGGCGTTAGAAAACCGCGACATTGATCAACTATTTAAAATTCTCATTATGGCCGATCAGTTTTTCGTCGTCAGACTGAAAGAAGAGTGCGAATTTCTTTTGAGCAACTTGTTGAGTTTAAAAAACGCAATACAATTACTAAGACTGGCGAACGCTTATAATGCACAAAAGCTCAAATATTGCTGCATGAATTTTATTGTTTCCAACATCGCTCCGTTCTTGGAGTTGAGACTTTTGGACGAATTGGAACAGGAACTGCTTCAGCAATTGTCTCAGGCCTATTACGAAAATAATCCGCAGCTTTGGTGTAGAGTTATTACACCATATTCGACCGCAGTATCAGATGAAGAGGTCGTTATGGTAAGCGTTAGGTTTCCGATAGATTTGGATGAAGAGAGCGTCAAAATGAAATCAAAATCCAACTCGAGAAAAAGAATAAGGTCTCATAAAGTCAGTGTTTCTGAAACTTCCTTGACAAAACCTAAAGCTCATGTTTTGAACAGAAGCGGGATTGGTGTAGGAAGTTTGAACCTCGACAAAGGAGAATTTGAAGATAAGTTCACTGTTTTGTCCAAGAAGACTGATGAAATTAATTTAAGTTCTTCTTTTACTGATGACAATGAATTTCCACTGCTTGAACTGAATTCGCCTTTAACTTCAGTTTGGTATGGCAATAAGCAACACAAAAATGAAAAGCACAGGATGAATAAGGTTTCACAAAAGCAAAGGAAGAGGCTTTCTTCACAGAATAACGAGTCGGAGAAAGGTGAATCCCTAGAAACAATAGGTAAATTCTATTACCAAAATCTAAAATAAATACCTAATTATTGAAAAATATAAAGTAATTTCTATATTTCTTTAATTTTAATTAACATTTTATCATTATACTGTCATTATTTAATCAACTAATTACTTACTGTTATTACATTTTTTTTTGTTTTCTATACATTTCCTTGATATTTGGAATTTTATAAAGTGATAATCAATTTTTATATTCATGTTAGATGGAGTGACGGTTCATTTGAATATATTTGTTAAGAATAGCGCGTAGATTAAGTTAACTAGAGTACAATATCCTCCTGAGAACAATTTATTCGGCGTATTTTTTAAGTTACTATTTAAATGTGTATCTTTTCTTGATTTCGAGTAATTAACAGATATAATTATTTAAAGGTTTATTTTGATTTACCAAATAATATTTTATATTTTCATATATTTTTATGGTATTAAATCGATTATTTAAATTTAAAACGTAAGTGTACCACTATAATATAATATATAGCGATAAATTAACGTAAAAGATTATTAAAAACGAATATTACCGAAAAATTGTAAAAATGCAATAAAGTAGTTTAATACAGGGCTTTCGTTATATTCGTTAAGTTGGCAAGAATTTGAAAAACTCCATTTATGAAATAATTACTTAGGCGCTTTATGGAACTCATAGTAATGGAATTAAATAACTTAAGGGCCTTTTTAATATTGCCAAGGGGCGATTGAACGGACATAGAAGATAATAGGAAAGCATGTTTTTTGAAATTGCCACGGCTTTACGTAACACCCCGTATAATCGAAAATATTTTTAAATGCATGTCATTTGTGCAATACTCTTTTAAACAACAAGGGAGTACTTTGTCCCACTTTTGTGCCACCTTGAATCTAAGAAGGGCACTTTGAAAAACCGCTTGGATCTGATGTAAACTAAATGTGAACAAATTAAATTATAGAGAAGAAGAATCCGTGGAAAATGGATTTAACAATAGGCAGTCCCAATAACTCAACATTGGAGGATAATATGGAAAACATCATGGAGAGCGAGAAGCGCCAAAAAGAAAACTTGATTAAAATCAAGAGTAAATCGCTGGCACTTACACAAGTATTTATTTCTTAATAAAATCGTTTCCTTAATAGAAAATTTTATATTTTAGTTGGAAGATAAAGCTATAGAAGAGCTTAGAAGTTTTTACAACATTGAAAATACTGTCGATGAAGTAATCACCATTGAACGCGTCTCGATTGGGGTTATAGCGTCACCCGTGTGGGTTCCAAAAATTAAATAGTTTCCATTTAAGACAATACTTTGGTGGGCAACATCGGCACCTTGAATTTTCAATGTGTTATCTATCTCGACTTCTAAAGTTACATACATGTCTTTAATTTTACCTTTTTACTTTTTTTTTTGTTTGAGTTTATGTTGTTGATTTTAATAAATATTAAAATTATATAGTAGGTGTTTCATTTACTAAATACGGCTAAAGTCAGTTTTAGAGTACACAGAATACAGAATTTTAATCAGCTAATGACCAATGACCAATTCACCTTCGCCAGTGGATTTAGAACTTTGAACTACAACTAATTAGGGGATTCAACTTTATCAACTTTCTTCTCCATTCTAATATATCCACGGACCAAATTGGAATCTAGCTCTGGACACATTTTTGTTAGTTTTTGTTAGGGAAAACTATTATTATATTGATTCACGTCTAAAAACTGAATCTTAAGTTAATTTTTGGTTTAACGAGGATCATCCTTTTAAAGAGATTGAGTTGAGTTTTGCCAGTGGTGTAGCAGTACCTGAATCTATAGGTAAATAATTGGAAAAATATCGAAAAATTTTAGCTTAAACAAAAATTTTCTAAGCACCTTGAGAAAACAGTAGATTATTTCCCATTGTTTCGTGTTTAAAATTGAAGATTTATAATCTTTTTAAATAATTAAGATGTATTCTTACGTATTTAATGGTATCATTAAAATTATTTTTACTATAATAATTTTGTAGACCTTATATCTTGAGAAAAAACAAATCTGTCTATACCACATCAAAATATTTATAGAAATATGTTTGATATGTTTGATGTATGATTCTATAGAGATCCCATGCATAGAAACTCATATGTCAAATATGACAAATAGCGTTTTATTTACTTTTGTTGTTTTTACTTTTTTGTTTATTACTTTTGCTATGATTCCATATAAGTTAATCAGTCATTCTTCAGTATTACCTACCGTACTCCTTTGTGATATGAACATGAAGCAAAATCAGCTCAAGGATTTTTTTTTACCGAAAGAACGCGACTTTTACTAGTCAACGATTTTATCAACGTTTTATGTGTTTGTCATATTTAACAACTTACACAGCTGCTAGATAATATAATAATAATATAGTGGCTCTACTTCGGTAAAAATTAATGTGCAGCAGGTGGGATTGATATTTTCGTAGAGAAGGAAATGATTTTCCGCGTATGCTTATATATTTTACCTCCCATTAATCTGCACTTTGTTCCTTGCTATTTCTGAACAGCGATTACACAAACACACTTAACTCGTTTTTCCAGGATTTTTAACGAGATATAGGCATTTTTTGAGAAAATACCACGTTTAGAATTAAGGTGAATAAATTCCTATTCCCGTCTGTCGTGGTTAACATTTAACGCATCAAAATTTTTTCGCGTTTCACTCCATATTTATTAGTTGACAAGTAAAAATTTAGTTCGTCCGATCCAGATTCAGGGGAGCTATTGATTCTTGATGCTTCAGATACTGTTAGCTTTTTCTTTTTCGGTTTCATCAAAAAAAAATTCGTAGTGTTACTGTTCTGTCTGTCTGTTAACCATTTTTCTTTTAATGTTAAATTTCTAATAAAATAACATTTAAATCCTGATAGAACGATTATCCTGTAACCAGTAGTTTCTCTAATACACTCCCGGGGTACAATGTAACTCAAAATTATGAAGACTCCTCCAAACGATAGACCGTTTTTACCCATAATCCGGTATTTAACTTTGGTAAATTTATATGTCGGTCTAACCGCAGGCCAACCTCTTTGTATTGTACTACCAAAGAAATTGTGCATTTATTGCTTTGACGTTTTAAGTAATTTAACCTATCCCAACCCAGGTTTATTCTGCATTAAGTAGGTCTGGCCTGAGATGGACCGTAACGAATATTTGTAGACACTTTACATTTTTATTTGAAACGTAAATGGACCGTTTTAAATGTGATTAAGCTTTGATGCTTTGAAGCTTTGTGTAGTATTTTCGAATAAGAAGAAGTGTTTATTTTAACATCAAGTGATATTTATCGTTCTTAAGAGTTTAATTTAAATTGCAATGTATTCGTATATATTACGGAGGTATTTGAATGTGATCCTTCGAGGCTGTTTTCACTAAATAGTTCAAAGGGCAAGGATAAGTACCTGTGCTTTATTTATCTTACAAGTAAGTTTGAAAATAATCATTTTTGTCTGGTGTGCCTATCGATTAACACCATTCTTCACCTTGTATTTTTGTGTCTTCCACATAGTTCTTCGATTTGTAAACAACAACAGTCTTTTTTAAGACTATATATTATAATCGCGATAAATAAAGGTACGTCATAAGAATACGGATAAATATTTATTAGAATCTTACAATTAAACATTTTTTGAAGGTTCCTGTTTTTTAACACTTGAAAATGTGGAGACCGTGGAATGAAGCAGAGGCTTCCTTGTTAGAAGAAGACATAGAAAACAACGCAGAATTTTAAGATTTAGTGGTAGTCGAACCTAATAAAAATTTAGAAGACGAACTACCTCAGCAAATAAAAAAACGAACCCAGTTGTATTCGAATGCTAAAAAAATTGTTTCAAATGTTTACAATTTTATAAGACATTCAGCAGGGAAAGTAGGAGCAGCAATTAAATACAAGTAACATAGAACCTGAGAAATTGTTGCTTTATACTAATTTTTGTATGTACATGTTTCAAGAATTGTTCGGCGAAAAAGATTGAAAACATACTTATATCCCGCTTGTTAGTGCAGGTAAATAAATTCCTAGGACGGTACTGGAATGGTTAAGGGTTAGGGTCTGCTCGGCAGGGTGTTCTATAAGAGGTTGCTGTTTTGGAGTAATAAAGAGTAGGCAAAGTTAATGACGAGGTCGGTTGTAAAAGCACTATAATTTTGGGCTACCTATAACCCTCAAAAAATAGATTCACTATTCCACAATGATGTCCCAGAAACGTACTTCGGTACTTTGTGCACACAAAAGCTGAAAGCTGACGGATTGGTATAGAGTTTCATCGGTGAGATTCTACATCAAAGTAATCACTATCGTTACTGGACTCGTCCCCCACGTTAATAATTCATTCTGTCACTAGTCGAATTCTGTAAACAATTTCTTCTTCTATGTTCTACACATTTTTTCCTACTTCTACTTCACTTCTAATTAATTATATTTCGCCAGAACTTAATTTCAGTAAGGTGTTGTTTCTTCTTAAACTGGGTTTTCGCTGTCCCCATATCAGTTCTATCGGATTAAAATTGCAGTGATATGGTGGAAGACGGACAACAGAATCCCCGTTTCTTGACCAAATTGTCCACATTATACTTTTTATCAACGTACCCGTCTTAAGAACTTCCTTTCTTGACGTTATCATGGCTATCAAACCAGGTAAATATATGATGAGGACGTTTTTAGCATGAATTTCTTGGATTTCTCTCAAATATCTTGTCCTCCACTCCGAAATTCTGCTTGATTCCATCAAAACTTGTCTTTTATTGACGGTTTTGTAATAAAAACCAAATCTTCGTACGTCATAATACGGCACGCAAAATCTCTTGGCAACAGTCAATGTTCAAAACACTAAGCAACTCTTCAAGTAAAGATAAAAAAAATGTTCAGAAAAGCAACTTTATTTGGTTAATTAATTGTAATATTGAAATAATATGCATTAACGCATAACAAAGATATTGAAACCCATCCTTCTATGGTGGTGGCTGGATTGCACATATGTGGCAGCTTGTAAAAATTTATTCAATTTTTTTTGTTACGGACGGCCAGCCTAGAAAAGTAAGTCAAATTTCCTTTGTAATCGATACCGACAACCAATGATCTCAACACCATTATTACTTTTCTTTCTACTATAAAAAATGTGTTAAATCTTTTGAATTGATCAAGTATTTGAAAGTGGATTGTTGGAAAGTTTTGATTTTTGATAATACCGAGCTGCACTTGTAAAACAGTTCCTTCAGGTATGCTGACCTAAATTATTATTATTTGAAATTTAGAAGTTTTTACCAGACAACACCACAGTACGAAATATACTTAAAATTCTTCAAATGCTTTTAAGTCACTGAGAACCCATTAAGTGAAAATAGTGGTTGAAAATATTCTGTTTTGAAGAATTAACATTTCTTCTCACTACATCTTATCATCGTAGAACTGTATCCATTTCGGCATATCTAAAAAAATATTTTCTTATAGGTATTTCAATAAATCTATAGGAGAAGAATACCTACAAGAAAATATATATTTTATGTATCGCAACAGTTGAGGTCGTAGTTAGTGGGCAAAAACATTTAAACAAATGTTGACATCCCAATTTTCGATTTGGGAAAAAATTGCATCTAAAAATTAAAAAATAATAGTTCAAGACTTAAGCAACAAAAACAAAAAACACAATTCTTTCATATCTATATATTGATAATACAGTGCAGAAACTGTTTTTTTCAAATGCGGCAACGCTGCAAGACGCTTGAAAGTTGGTGACGCTTTAAAAGCGAATAAGCATATGGAAAACGGATATACCAGCGGCGCCCTAATGTTTTAGCTACAGCTACATGGCGGTCTTTGGAATAGATATATGATAATGACGTTCAAAGCATGTTTCCTGCTGTATATATCAACGCAACCTCAAATGTCATCAATTGTTATATATGTCACTTATACAAAATTAGAATATTTTGAAGAAAATTTCCAGACATTTTATTTTACATTGACCACTTCTTTAGGGATATGACAATTTTTTCGAACAAGCGACCGTCAAAATTAATATTTAAAGAAAGAACGAATTGATATAATTGTTTGTGGATTTTTGATTCTTTGAAATAAGCGTGAAATTTAAAGTTACAATCGGATAGCCAGAAAAATATCCACAGTACTAAAGCTGCCCTTATTAGTATTTCTAAGAATCCTTCCTTGGACTTTTAGATTGCCCTTTCCAACCTTTATTTACTTTATATTAATTTATAATTTATGTTAATTGATAATTAGTAATAAGATTGAATTCAATGTTTTAATCCGATGATGAGATAAAAATTTTGATGGGTTTTACCATATCTCAGGGTTTGTCCTGTGCCTTCTAAAATACCCGAAAATACGAAAGTTTTTGATATTTTGATTTCAAAAAAACTGTGGCGCAATTAGAATATTTTATATTTGCTTAAAACGACTTTATTAATTATACCAATGGAGTGAAGAAGCTATGCGGATCCCGTTAGTCAAAAATGAGTTCTCGGGGTTTAGTTACGCGAGCCACAATCGAGGAACAGTTCTTCGCGTAGATGGTTTCAGTGCGTACGGCCCAGTGAAATCGGTTAACGGCATTTTTGTGTTGTGACACGTTAAGTTGGATTTAAAAGAGAACGATGATCAAGTGGTTTATTTTGTTTGTAAGTATTGAATATCCAACTTTGTGCCTCAATTTTTGCATGGCAAGAAGTGAGTAGATTGGTAGTTTTTTTGTATTTAATCGACTTTAGAAAAAGAGTTACTCTTCGAATCAGAAAGGGATGTTTTAAGTTAATATCTGTGGATTTTGTGTTGTTTTTGGCACAATAATCAGAAAAATAAATGTTATTTAAATGACCTTCAAAATTGTGGTGTTTGAAATTTAATATCTTGCTGGTTTTTTAATGCCTTCGTTTCAATGTTATTATGTTACAAAAATTTAAGCCTTTAAGTATTTTAAGTTCTTAAGTCATGTGCAATGAATTCTGGCATATGTTTTTTTTTAATTAATCTGCGGTTTTATCTACAATCATAATTTATTCATTTTAAACATTTTATGGCGATCTTTCAAGTCGTTTTTCCACCAATAGTCGATTTTATATGGCGCAAAAAAAAAAAGGTTTCCAGATTAATGTCTTAGATTTTTTTTCATAAAAACTTCTGCAGGTTGTGCAACGTCTTTTGGATTTTTCCTGCCTTTCAGACAGCGCTCTGAAAAAGCCAGTAACAGTTTTGGCCAAACTTTAGCGAGACGGAGTCAATACCGGATGCAGGAAAAATCCAAAAGTGTACTTAGAGTGTTATAGAAATAAACTATAAATATATATAAAAACTAAATATTAAAAATTTAAATATATCATCAAGAGAATGCGTTTACCGGGTGATCGAAGGTTAGACGTTTACAGAGATCTGAAAATAGATTTTTTTTTAAATTCGGGTCTCTGGATTTTCAGGTCTGGTCTATCGAACGATGCCGCGTTGCCTTTTTTTAGCAATAACATTGTTATCTTAAATAACATACCTTATTTCTAATTAAATTTTTAGATTTACTGCTTTTTTTTTTAAATATTTTTGCTCAATACTATCCTATGCCTATTTAAAATTAACTGTCTAAAAGATGATAAAACGTCCCTTCAAATTATGTAGAATAGTGGTATCCCTAAGTTGTGCGGTTTTCGGAACAATTGACATAATTCATAAAAATCATAAAAAATGTTGACATATTTATATTAGTTCACTATGGCACGCCATGTTGTTGATCAATTCCATTACTGCTTATTGGCAGATTCCAAAACTATAGAGCTTTTTCCGATGTTTAGATTATATTTATTTAATAAATTAATAAATCAATTTAATTTCTCTAAATAATATCACAATCACGTAATGATTTCATTTGTAAACTGTTTCATAGCATAAGCATTGAACATGCTAAATCAAGTCATGACATCAAATCTGCGATATTCTAATCGGGATTTAATAAACTGATAATATCCTGGAATAATTTTTATCATAGCTCAACGACAAATTGTAACAAGAATATTCAGAAAATTCGACGAAATATATATTTAAAAGGCAAACACAACATTACTTGCGAGGTATTATGGTTCTAAACTTAAGATAACCCCAAACTGTCCATGTCCAAAGTGTCCATGTTTTGCAACAAATCATTATTTTCACATTAAACTTTGGCAGCTCACAAATATTTAAAATAATAAATGAGCAACTATTGTTAAACAACATGGCGTTCCATAGCTAATTATAATATATCAAGAAATTGGTTTTAGAATTACTGCAATTATTTTGAAAACTTTAATAGGTGATATACCACGATTTAAAATCATTTTCATTTTCATGGAAATTTAAATAATTTATTAATAATAAAATTTTGACCATTTTTGTATGTTACGACAAGATCATTAATTTTAAAATCCCTATATACCGCAAGCAAATTTTCCATAATATATTTTCTGGTTTATTAACGACTAAAGCAAACCGAAAAATTGAGAAGCTTATTGAATTTAGCATTCGGTAACAGTAAACAACAAAACCGCTATAATCTCAGATGTCGTGATCGGAGGGCACCATCAGAGAGGGACATGAAGACCGCAAGTAATAATAGTTAATAAAGCTAATTTCCTATGTTAAGATCAAACACATGTGAAAAAAAAGATGAACATTGTCGTTACTGTGTGTTAGTAGGAATGTTGTAATGTGGAAAATTGTGTTATAATTAACTTGTTGATATCGGAAAAACAAAACTTCAAGTCCAACAATGTATTGGGATTAACAAATAGTTTTTTATAGTGTACTAATTTTAAAATTCCAAACTTTAAGTGTAATAAAATCAATTCTTATTTTGAACATTTTACTGGACAAGCGGATAGGAAGGTCTCAACATATATATATATATATATATATATATATATATATATATATATATATATATATATATATATATATATATATATATATATATATATATATATATATATATATATATAATGTTTTGACACTATATTCCGGGATATCATCCGTTCGCTCGTTGAACTCCGACTGGAATCCTGCAAAACCTGCATCCGACTGGAATCCTGCAGACGTTTCGCCAAAATCTCACTTGGCATTTTCAATGCTCGCGCTCCGAAAACACTTCGAACACTTGTTTTATCTTTAAGAAGCTTGTTTTGTGAGTTACGTCATTATTATTAATTTTAAACGAACCTCTGTATGTAACATGAAATGAATGTAGGATTAGTAAATTGTGAGTTCAAATAGCAGCTACATTAATGTTTCAGTGGTTTGGAATTAAAAAAAATTAAGCGTAAGCTAGAAATGTTATATATATATATATATATATATATATATATATATATATATATATATATATATATATATATATATATATATATAAAAAAAAGATGTATTATGAGTCAACTGAAACTTTAATATCAAAGGTGTAAAAGTTCAAGCTGCCACTATTACTAATAAAAACCACTAGTCAAAATTAAAAAATGTTTAAAATTCATTTAAATTTACAACAGGGGAAATGTTTAGACTGCCTATAAGCACTGGAAGCAAATGTGCAAAAAGTTAGCTCATAAAGCTTTGATAAACAATTTCCAAAAAATAAAATATTATTTAAATCCATTAATCTTAGAACAGGCGATATCGAATATAATAAAGTGTAAGACGACGATCTCTCCAACTTCAGACTATTAGACTGACATCAGGTATCATTTCCTCATAACGACAAGTTACAGAAACGCGGCGATACCGACAAAGATCATTTCGATGTTTTCGTTTTCCTTATCTGGGTCAACAACGTTAACTACCATGTAACAGAAACCGTTTCCTGCTTCCTATATACACGTTACGTAGTTCCTCATATCGAAATAACTTACTTAGGGGTCAGGAAATCAGGAATCGAAATGTTATTTAACGGTTATCATGTTCTTTTGGGTTTGTGCGTGCGCGATTTTAGTAATCGCAGAATAAATTTCATTTCTTTGTTATTCGTGTAACACCTATAGAAAAACGCAATTTATCTGTTTAGAGTGATATAACTTCATTTAGCAATACAAAGAAATACCGAGCATTATGTAGGCTTAAACTTGTCCATTTTGATTTGTTCATCAAAACTGTGAATGGATTCAGCACTTGTAAATAAATACAAATGACACTAATAGATATTTGTGTTATTAGTTATTATGTGACTAGAGTTGAAAAAATAGAATGTCACATTATGTCACATTATGATCTACCATTGACCATTAAGAGAAAATTCCGCTAGTCGGTTTCTAAAATTGCATGTAGCAAAACTATCCTGCTACAATTTCCTATCATGCTACAGGCCCTTCATTGTCCATAAAAAGGTAAAGGTTTTTTTTTCTCGAAAACAAGTAGCTTAATTTTTTATAAATAATCTAAGAATGCACAAAAAAAGACTTGTTCTATTTAAATATTCAATGATGACAGTAGCATTTTAAAATTGGAACACCCTGTAGACAAAACAAGTAAATTTGGAAGAATCTCAGGTAGAATCTTAGCAATTTGGTATACATTTTTTATTGTAAAATTGGAAATAAATGTACTAAGAAGGAAATACGAAAATAAAAGAATTTGGTAGTTTAAATATGTTTCTTAGTCCACTTCTGATAATTAAATTTTGGTAGCTTCATGGTCTTATGCATCTAAATTTACAATTTTTATAATTCTTAGCCGACCCTGTATACGACATGTATAAAACTGATCGTTAAAGTAACAGTGATTTAAGGTTCTTGGAGATATTGAAAATGGTCCCCTTTTCAAGAATTACGCTACTATATTTAAAATGACGTGAGACAAAAACACCGCAAACTTTTGAAAAGCAAAATTTCCATTATTATTATAATTAGTTGAATATGTGGGTCAGCTCTTGTGATTCTCGTCTTAGCATTTTAAACCTTTGCATCGAGACGGCGGCATTCCAGGTATTAAATTAACATTAAAATCGCTATGTAAAATAAGCTGCTTTCGTAACTGTAATTCAAAGTTGAACTGTTAAATTTCATTAAAAGGCCAGCATAATTTGCCTGAATTATGCATCATTTTATCAGTAAAAAAGAAGCAGAAGGAAGGAAATACCAAAAATTCGACAATCTTAGACCTAAAGCGGTATGTTATGACATCAACCGGCAAATTTAAAAGATAAACGCTATTTGGATTTTAACCACCATTACGTAAATCTTCACGCCTCGACGATCAGCTAAGCAAATAATTTGGTAGCGGCAAGAACTAGATTACGTGTTATTCTAACAAAAAAGGAACACTTTACGGGGACTTGATCACTTTTCCTCCTTCTAATTTACTTCTTATACAGGTATATTGTTTGCCATACATTACGCAATTTGTAACCGAGTGTAAGCAAACATTTCACCAATAGTTAAGATATTTTTTTTTTAATTATTTTTATTGTCACTTTAAAATCTAAAGATTGTCTGTCCCCTTTACTGGATTAACAACGTTAGTTATATTAATGTATTTTTGGCTAATTGGAGTATTACGAAATGCTTATGAATATTAAGAAGAAAGAATGGTAACTGTGGGCGTGCTGCGTAGAGTGACCCTTTTGTACTATTGATGTTCTGTGGTTGGGCTATAAAACATCATGCCTATTAAGACTTCTATGTAAAAGCAATTCCTTTCATTTCTGACTACCACAACAATTGTAACGAAGTTGTACATAATGGTTTTGGCACTGGTATTGGCTTACACAAATTTTGCGTCACAAGATTGGGTAAACATTTTATTTTTCTTAGTGTATATGAGGCGAGATACACCCCGAACTAATGTTATGCTCAGTGATAGTAGAGGATTTTTTGAATACGTAGACGAACTTCATGACTTGCATTGGCTTAACGTGTTCGATAGTAGAATATTGCATTTATTAAGCTTCGTTACCTATAAAATAAGTAAAACTAAAACGCACAAATAAAAAACTTTTTGTACTGAAATATATCAACCTACCTAGAATTCATTTCCTACCTGGTTCCTTGAATTCTTCTTTTTTCAAACAACTAAATTTTTGTATTTAAGTTAATGGCCCATCAGCACTATTTTTGTTTAAAATATAGATGCTGAAAGCCCGATGATTTATTTATTCTTTACATTGTTCTTTTTTGTATTCTTCATGTATTATTTTGAGCTTTAGAACAATAAATATTGAACTGAGGTGGCTTTTACTTGATGAAAATCCATTTATCAAAATAAATAAGAACTAAAAGTTCAGATTTTCACGAAATTATATATTATGACATTATGACATGTCATAATATAGAATTTCGTGAAAATCTGAACTTTTAGTTCTTATTTATTTTTTTAACAATAAATATTTTATTATTATTATTTGTGACACCATCATTTTATTTTATTTTCAGGAGTAGCAGGACCTATGATTTTTATTTATTTATTATTTTTGTTCATGAATACATATAATTTTTGGGTATTTTTATTCTAGTTATAACAATTGTGAATTGACATTATGTGAAAAATATCCAGATAACCAAAATCTCCAAGCTTACAAAAAATGTAATAAATAGTGATAGAAGAATTTAAAAAATTTTGCATCGTTAGGGTTATAAAATTCTATTATTTCTAAATGTTACACACAGCGAACTATGTTTTTAATTTCCTTTATTTACTATTAGCATTTTCTTCATTAATAATTTGTTTTACAAAAACTTTGCAATTTTTTGTATTGAAATAACAATAACAATACAAAATGATTAGATACATCAAACACTGATTTCCAACCTCAAGCTAATTGACGTTTTTTTAGAGTCATAGTTCTTTAAAATGCAAAATTATAATTATATTAATATAATATATATAATAATATATATAATAAATTATAAAAATAAAATTGAAAATTAATTTAACGGTTTTTTCAGTTAAATTTTTAATGTTACTTTTTGATCGCACTCATGTTTATTATTCCAAATAATAATTACTGGGTATGTGGTATTCATATATTGTTACATTTCAGGAACTGTGCTTTTTAAATTCAGCGATTCAAAATGAAGAATCCAACGCGGAAGCAAACGAACCACCAGAAGGTTATTACGCATTCGTGGAGTCTCCAAATGCCGAACCACCTAGAGTACGCCCACCGCCATACTCTTACGCTCCGATCGACTGCAAAGAGGAGGAGAATAGGGGTAATCCCGTAGCAGATTTCAATCTTTGTGGCGATCTAAACTTGGGGGTGATACCTATGAATCCTATGGGACAGAACGTTCTTGGCTATCGTTATCCTTTGTGAGTATATCGTAGGATGTGGTTTCTATAGAATTTTCAATTCGATTCAAATCTAATCAAGCTTATTGAGGTAAAGTTGCAATATGAATAATTAATACAGTAAATGTAAATAAATACAGAAAAATGGCAAAGTCTAGCCTAGCAGAACTGCCTCTCAGACAAATAAGCTATATTAGATATATCTTATTATCCTACTAGGCTATAAAACCTTTGAATATAAAACTTCTTATTAATAATGTAGTTCCACCAAGAGAAGCGGATTCAATTTGCATTTGAATTTATTAATATTACAAACTATGGATTCATCACATGTTATATAATTTAGAAGCATTAAAGACGATAGTTCTCTGAACTAAAGCAGTACGAGGTGCAGGAATAGTGCTGTGTTGTTTTTGTCTTGTATTAATGTAATGTAAAGAAGACGAAGAAACCTCTTTAAGTTCAGAACTAACAAAACCAGATTGGGAATAAACAAAATAAAATTATCATATTTCATTTAGTACTAATCAATTTGAGACTAATCAATTTTTGTTAAAGAAAAAATCCAAAATTCGTTCCCAGGAAATTCAATTTTCATTTAAGCCTACATTTTATTAAGATGAAACAAACATTAATTAAAAACACTCAAACTTTCTTAACGTGACAAACTCTGTACAATTACAGGAACATGGCCAAGGCAAATATTCGATATAGTACTGTTTCATACCCATGGACTAAAAAACATTTGCTCAGTTTGAATTCCATTGGTAACAATTATGTTGCGGCGGTATCTGAGCTTATTTTGAGAAAATACTGCGGAAAAATATCATTGTCGAGTTGACGAAATGTTAGCGGCCACGTTGGATATTGAGCGTCGCAAGATAGTATCGGTTGAACGCGAATTTTGAAATTACTCCCTTCTTAACATTTTTGGATGTTGGGTTAAAAGGTGCCTGTATCATTATCGTAGGCAATCGTAGCAATATGGGTCAATCTTAAGTGGAGTCGGCAATTAAAAATTTCAGTGATTTTGTAGACAAACGCTGATAGTCTAGTTTTATGTTAGGGATTACTTTAAAGCAATACATTTTAATAATACACAGTTTTGTCAATATTTCATGTTCCATTCTTGGATTGGTTGCTTATTTCAATAATTTTGAGTCCTAATTTTTGAACGAAAAAAAAAATTAATCAGAGAATACTAATTAAGTTCAATGCATTCTTCAAATAAATGTTTTCAAGTTATATGAACTAGTTGTAGTAGTAGTAACAAAATAAGTAACTTTTCTTTTTACAAAAAAAAATGCACTTATACCATCTTACAATGATAAGTGGCGAATAGCGTGCCATATCATCTCACTCAAGAAAATTAGGAAAAATAATGCAAAGTTGTTTTCAACACCTACAGAATAAAATACTTGGTTTATATAAATGGTGATTATTTGGAAATTAATTTAATTAAACAATTTTTCTTTCTTTCAGCATGCTGATTAGAAACATGACACTAAAATATTTCAGCAAAACCTTGCCTATTTTGAAAATGGACAATACGTTGCCTAAAGTGGCTCAGTTCCAAGAAGATCTTGTTTCACAAAATTCGTAAGTATATTATTTTCGCAGAGAATTAAAATTATTCATATCGATTAACCAATTTCTGCGAAAAATTCAACTTTATAATACTCGGAAAACAGTAACCCTGCTGTCATAAATTATGAAGTGTATAGAAAGTCACCATCTAAAGTCTGATACGATTTAAGGAAAGACCCGGGCAAGCTGTAAGAATGAAATATAGCCGAATTTTGCTTAGAATTTAATTATTTGGGGTTTTGTTAGGAAAGTTACTAAACAATATTTATTTATTTATGTATGTATTTTTGTTTAAATCTAAAATAAAATTACAAATTATTAAATTATTTAAAATTATTCACATAATATATCAGTATCACTATCATCGCCTGTTCTAATTATTATTTGTTCTATATTATTTGCGATATACGATTGTTCTGCTTTTTCTATATGTTTAACAGAATTTGACCAACTTTGTGGAGGGATGTTAAAAACTTCGGTTTCTATAAGTTTGAGGGCATTGGAGTTAATACGGGGTTTGGGTTTGGTGCCAAACATGATCAATTGGATTAAATATACAGTGGTAAGGTGGAAGCCTTAAAACTGTATGCCCTAGATTATTTGCATAATTATCACAGACGTATTCGTTTTGTAGGTTCAAACTTTGTAGAACCTCAATTAATTGCGTTTTGGTATAATCTTCGTGAAAATAAATGTCGTTGTTATACATGTAGTTTTGGATTGTTGCTTTTGTGTCACATGAAGAAGGGGTTTAAATCAACTGTCTACTGTGATAACTTGCATTGTCCATTACAATTACCCTATTAGGAGGAATGTTTGGAACTAGTTTGTTTTTAAACCAACTTTCAAATAAATCAGCGGTGGTGTCTTCATAGTAATCCAGAGAAGAATCTTTAATATTTTTCGCAGACAGAGAAAGTCCATTTGGAATCCAACCATCTTTAGAGCCAGCATGCAAAACAGTTATTCTTTTACCTCTTTTTGATGGCGCGTTTGTTTTACACTTATCAGTTAAGGCAACCCAACCCTTTTCCGTGGTATCATAAGGTGTCAGGTTTCATCCAACTAAATAATTGGCCTTTGTTGTTCTCTGAAAATCCTAATTTTTTCTAGATATTCCAGTCGCCATTTCGGAATTCTAAAAGATTCCATTAAAACTTGCCTTTTGTCAATTTTTGCACGCTTTGTTCCTCGCATAACTGGTAAATTTTACGCCGTATTATATCTTGATCACTTTCATCTACACTCGAGAAAATGTCAGCATCGCTTCTTTTTTTTCCTCGCTGAAATGGGATTATTCACAATTTTCCATACAGTTGATGTTGAAATTTTCGTCAATGTGGCCGTTTCGTCTAAAGATGCTTGCTTGCTGGCACCACGTTTAATGAGAGTCAAATAAACATTGTTTATAACTTCCTTAGTCTCAATAGAATAGTGTTTTCTACATTTGGGCGGAAGCATCTCCTGAGATACACTAGACCCGCACATATTTTGCATAATTCGCACACGATTCAACACGCGCTGTATTACACACGAAATAAGAATGATTACTAATAAACTTAAACTAAGTAGTATACCAAACCAAAGAATATTAAACACAGGTAGTTATAAAATTATTTTCTATTACGGACCACAATTTTACCTAAATTTAAACTCCGAAACTTTAGGTAATAATCTTGTTGCATTGTAAGTTAATGACCACCCTTGGATAATCCCATTCAAAAGCAATTGGTCACTTTCTTATATCTATGAACAATTCCCTTTTTAACGTTGTCATGAGCAGTAGCATTATTCTATTAAGAATTGGCACTGCTTTTAGCGTTGGAGAAAATTAGAAGAAATTAGAATAGAATGTGTGGTGAATAATATTCAGATATAAAAACATCTTAGCTACAAAATGCAAATTACCATTTAATATAGGGTGTCTGGCAAAAACGTAATAAATTGCCTAGGTAAATATTTCATACTGGTTACATTACACATCATCTGGAATCCTATTACATCAGATCCAAGAGGATGAATGGCGAAACGTCAACAAGTTGCATTCATCAACTGACGCAGGAGGGATTCAGGTGACGTGTGAAGAATATTACAGTAGCTCATGGAAGGTTTTTTTTCTTGAGCCTTGCGAACTCATGAACTGTAAAATATTTTATCTCTTTTTTAGTTTTTTTAATAATAATTTTTTAATAATAATTACACGGGTTTCTCTATACTTCTCAAAGTTTTTCAGTAATATTCGTTTCCATTGAATAATTGAAAGGTCATGGAAAACATCTTGCGAGAACATGTTTTAATGAAATATGTACCTGTTTTTCTCCAATAAATTGCAAGAACAATTTTAAAAAACTATTCGGAAATATGTATTTTCCTACTCCCTTCTCTAAAATACCTGATTATACTCCGATTGACCGTGCGGAAAGTGTCTATTTGCGTCAGTTTCGTTACCTAGAGGTGCGAACCACTTCGGATATTTTCGGGATATTACCCATGGATTTGGGAGCTATCCGATGTTTTGGGAGATATTACTCGCGATTGTCAATTCTGACAGTCATGTAATGAATTCGTGCAAAAAAGTAATGGTCGTAGAAAAAATGTAATATGCTACACTTTTGGTAAACCTTTTAAGTAACCCGTCTATTAAGCCCTCGCTCCACTGCGCTCCGCTCGCTCCAAAATAATACTCGTGAGTCAAATGATATTTAAAAAACTTGTTGCATAATATAAAAATTTATGCATAATTGAAAGTATTCTTAAATTTTTTTAAAAAACTTTTGGATTCCTCCTGCGTCGGTTTTTGCTGAGTCGAACTTGCTAACATTTCGCCAATCATCCTGTTGGATTCTTCAGAGCTGAAACTGACTCGAATTTTACTCTGTACCTGCTTACATATTGTTTGAGGGGGCCGCAGCTAAATAAGGGGCACAAACACCGTCTCGGATGACGGACTCCCATATTGACCTGAGTGGCGGCTAAGATTGTTAAGTTGTTTATAGATCTCTATAGACTCTCGGATTTTTCGTTGGCAGAATTGATTATATGCCAGAATTTTAGTTTTATCGAATAAAATTTTATGTTCGGTTTCGTGATTGTGTTCGGCAACTGCTGATGAGTTTATTTGTTTTAGTCTTAAGTATTACAGAAGGCTGTGGAAGTTTCTTTGAAAAATATTCTTAAAATGTTTATCTTTTGATTTATTATGCACTTTTTTTTTCAAAACAGTGATAAATACATTAGATATAATATTTTGCCACACCATTCTGTCATGTTGTATATTAGTTCGTCCATATCCAGCAACATGTTTTTCCTTAGAATAATATCGTTGCCAAACAACGATAGAAGTGATCGGGTCGGAAGAAGCGTAAAGACCATCGATTCGAACGCAACGACAACTCAAACTCCCCCAGAAAGACAACCAAAAAAGTTCTGCGACCAGGGCGGCGTATTCTGCATGCTTTACAAAGCCATCAACGGGGAAACTTCAACTGCTACCCAAACAGTCTCATCTCATCAGTTACCGATCGAAAGGAGAGATGAAAATGTACAGCTGAGGTATGAGGGACCGCCAACCCCTTGTCCCGCCAAAGTAGAATATGCAACCCCCGTTTTCGCTAAGAACTATCAAGGAATTTGGAGATACGTCGTTCAAATACCTTACGAGGGATACTTCACGCAAACAGTGGAAGTTACTAGGTATGAATTTGTCAAGCACCCTTAAACGGAACTTTTATCGCAAAGGTCGTTTCAGATGTTTGCAATCAAGATGTCACTATTTGGATGGAGGATGTTTATCTTCGCCCAGGTGGTCGAGTCTTTTAGTGGCCGAAATTTACTACCCGGATACGGTTCTGAGCAACAGTGATACGATCAACCCTCAAAGAAATCCGGTACCCGCTTCACAACCGCCCTCCGTTCAAGATTTTCAGGTACCGTTTTGAACAAATATTTTCGTTCAGTGTTTTTTCGAATACAGGCTGAAAAAAAACAGATTCTTTAGTTTTATTTCTGTTTTGGAGACATTTCGGCGCAATATTTGGTGATGATTGTTATTTGATCCACCTTTGCCGATAATTATTATCTGAATCCATACAGATTCAAGTGACATCATAAACTATTCTCTGTGTGGAAAAAATTAAAAAAATATGTTAGACAGTCCCCTTTGACATAATCTAATTGGAACACCAACCATAATTTCCGGATGGATATTAATAATTAATAAATAACATGAACTTTTGGATATGTCTGATTTTGACTAAACTATGGATGTTGGATGGATGTTGCTGATTTTCGATCATTCTTATATATCTAATGGATAAGAGAATGACGTGTTCTCATTGTTTAATTGTTAAAAATTGTGTATTGTTAAATATAGTAATCTAACTTTTTAAAAACTCTGATAAAACGCATTTGAAAATTCAAAATAATGAAGTAATAGCACTTTTACCGAATATATTTAGCGTGTGACGCAAGAATTTACCATTTAATGTTTATTACGTAAAACTAATATTAAACCATTATAGAGTATTTGAGAAAAATGACAATTTTGATGCCCGGCATAAACTTACTGCAATAAAATATTGCTAAATAATTTCAACTACTTACGTTAGGATGTTTTCGAAGACTATTTTCGTGAAATGATAAAATAACTTAAGGTTGATCAGTAGTAGTTAGGCTAACGACTAGAACTTCAGGAAAACAAGGCATTATCGACTGCTTAACCACTAAAAATATTAAATTTGGAGATAATTTGGTAAAGAAGGAACTATTCCATATAGCTACATCATTGGGAACTGAATCCTATAGAACTTATATGGTCGCATACGAAAGGTTTTGTAGCAAAACACAACATGGCAAGAAAAATAAAAGACCTTAAATTACTGACGATCAAGCCAATGAGCAAGTGCTACCCGAAAACTGTCGAAAAGCAGTTTAGCATGTTATTAAGCAAGAGGAGAAAGTGTGGGATATTGACTACGCATATAAAAACAGCATTTAATTAATTAATTATTTTTTCAAGTTATATTTTCACTCTTCTATTAAGTAAATAATCAGTTTAAATATTTCTTGGTGTAAGAGGCGATCATATTTTTTAAAATACATTTTTAAATCATGATAATAAGTTTATATATTTCATTTCTATCGATTATTTGATTATTTCCATTTAAATTTAAAATAAAATATAATAATTTTAATGCACGTATGTGCAAAAAAAACGCACCATTAAGTAACAATTAGCTATTCTAATTAAAAAATTATGTTTTATTGTAGACACTAATATTATGCTGTACTCGGGCCAGATGGAAAGCACATCGTTTTTAAAGAGGTTTTTAATTATTGACATCCCTAAAAAAATGTTTTTTAAAAGCGTTTGGCAGTTCTTGGCACCCAAAATCGTAATTAGCAAAAATGTAAAAAAAGTTTTTGTATTAGAAATATCTTGAAATATTAAAATTTGCAGCTTTTAAAGATTTTAAAAAATGGGAAGAAATAAGTGCATTTACTGTTAATTGTTTTTTACTTATATGCATAATTTTTAAATAAGTTTATGTCACAAAACCTAAATATAACATAAGATATACGGTTTACTAGTATTCCAAGTGTTTTTCAGCGTATCAACAAAAAAGCGCGTTCAAAAATGTTATCCCTTATTCCATTTTAATTTAATTTAAAGCATAAAAATTTATCTATTTTGAACCATAGTTTGTTATTTATTAATTCCGGAAAATAATAAAATTATCTATATGCGTCGAGCTCTTGATTATAACGACCAGGAGAGACGACTCTTTCTCAGATGACGAAGTATATCGTTTGTCTTTAATAAATTAATTTCTGTTTAGTGCATTTTTGTATAATGTTTAATCAAAAATTACTATGTAAATAATTAATACTCAGTACTGTGTGTCGAATTTTTATTCTCTTGAAATAAAGTTTCTTTTTTAAGACTATCCCACAGTGTCGCTTATGGCACACGATTATCAGTCTTGGTGAATTGTTAGTATTAAACAAAACCATAAATTGACACAACTCCGGGTGGTACTACGGCACTACCTGCACTTGATAAATAGAAAGAATTAATTTTGCAATGCCAAACAATCGAAGTCTATTCTATATGCATACGTAAAGAGATTTTATTTCTCTTAACATTTAAAAAATGCCAAGAGTGTCCTTAATGGATCAAAGTGTTATACTAATATATATTGAAAGAAGAGATCCATCCACTTTCTAAGGCTCTAGGTATGTCAACTTAACATTGTGCGGGTTTGCAGGTACTCTAGTTTAGAATTGCAGAATACGTATAGAAATTATCAGAACTGAGTCCAATCAAATGTTTGTTGTAATTTTTTCCCCCGCACTTTATTACTCAGTATATGTAAAAAAATTGACCCCCTACCCTAAGGCAGGGTAAAATTTTCTAAATGTAAAGGAAGGACCCCAATTGTCAGCAAATATCGCAGCGATATTTTTTCAGAGCCAAGCCACTGATTTAAATTAAACAGATCTCTCGCTTTCATTTCCAGAGAAAATGTTCGTTTGCAGCCTCGTACATGGGTTGCTGCAGGGGAAACTAGAAAGTGTTAAATATACATTTTTCTCCAATTTATTGGATTCATTTCTTGATGGAAATGTATCCACAAAGGTTAGCTTTTTTTCTACTTTAATCGAAATTTACAACCTTTCATTTCTTAATGAAAATGTGTCCCCAAAGGTTAGCTTTCGTTCCTAGTAAAAATCTTCTCTTGCACTCCCGTACGGAAGTTGCCATAGGGTGAAACAAAAAATATTAAATATTTTTTCTACTTTAATCGAAAACACTTTACGTGAAACGAAAGCTGATCTTTGGGGACACATTTTCATTAAGGAATCAAAGTGTGTAAATTTCGATTAAAGTAGAAATAAAAATATTTAACACTTTTTTGTTTCACCATTTAGCAAGTCCAGTATGGCAGTACAAGAGAATATTTTTACTCAAAACGAAAGCTAACATTTGTGGACATATTTTCATATCGGAAATGAAAGTGTGTAAATTTGGATTGAATTAGAAAGAATATATATTTATAACTTTTTAGTTTCACCCTATAGCAACCCCTGAATGGAGTTGCAACCGAACATTTTCTCTGGATACGAAAGCGAGAGATCTAATTAATTTAAATCAGTTGCTTCCAAAACTGGTTTGGAAATCTCTGCCGTTGCTAGTTGTTCCCCTCTTTCCGTAATTTTGACTGCCAAGTTTTAGCTGCTAACTTCACACCGGTATAATTATATATGCACACTACTTTATAGATATACCTGAGTACAAGTGACCTAAACTACCTCATTGACATAATTCAATTAATTTAAGTGGCATTTTCTATCCATAAAACCTTGCTAATTAACTTTACTATATTGGCTCGTATCGTTGAATGTTTCCTGGGCGCAAACGTGATAATAATTAATTGGATTCTCTCTGTTTGATCGATAACATGGTATATTTAAAAATAAGATAATATTAAACGACCTTTGTCCCGTGTTATCCAAATTTTGGTATGAAAATTCTAAAATATCCATTGGTATTAGCTTAAAAATTGCTATTCTCATTTATAGAGGGGACAATTTTTTCCATTTGAGACTACAAAATTGTAACTACGCTGTTGATAAAACTCACGTTACACACAAAAGAGGCTAGGAATGTTGCAGTATATTCGGGTATTTCGATACCCCAAAATAAAGTCTTTGAACCCACTTAAATATACAAGAAACGGTTCTCAGAGAATTTGTTTCACAAATATTAGTGCAATAATTATATTTCAAAATAAATAGTACTCAAAAATGCGACTTTTCTTTGTCTTCAATGTAGCTATATAAAAACATTCTTGGGTGAGATATTTTTACCTATTTTTAAAGTTTAACATAACTTATATCATAAAATTTAGATAAATTGCAATGGTAGCTTTTAAAAATCCAGTATTTCAGGTTTTACACACCTCGAATCGTTCCTAAAATACGATCATACTAACTTGCATACAATAGAAAGACGAGTTCAGCGAATGAAAGTAATATGACAGCAGCGTTACTACAGGTAGTTTATTAGAATAATAATACATCATTATAATTTTAGGGGTGGTCAGATAATTGACATGTTAATTATTATAAGATCAAGTAAATAAAAAATATGAAGATGGATAAATTGCAATAAATATTATTAATTAAAAAAAAAAACAATTATTTTCAATGCAACTTCATTTGTAAGTTTTGGTCATCATCTTCCGAGTAGTCAGATAAACCATAGTCGTTGGAGTCCAGAGAAATAATAAAGGGCTCTACGGTGTTTTCTAGCATATTATCAGTTTCCCACGTTCTTTCTTCTATTTCAATCACTTACATCTTACTACGCACTTACTTCATTTTTCACAATTCACTGTCTTTATTCACTCTTGCAAGAGGGTTTTAACTTCCTTCGTATTAAAAATGCCTTATATCCCTCATTTACTCAAGTTGCGTCCAGATAACAGATATTCCTATTTTTCCTTCGAAATCCATTTGCCAGCAACAAATTCAGAAACATTAGTCATTTTCAAGAACGAGCTTTGCCAACAACTGTCGGAAAATAATTTTAACCACTAATTAAAAGCACAGGTAGGTCGATAGGTGCGATCCTATGCCAATGGAATACGCTTAACGCACCCAATTTTTATAGTGTTAAGAAACAGAGCTTAGCAACCATTTTTATTTTTAAGCAGCATTTAGTTTAAAAACCAGTCTGTTTTATTATTTCAGAAGCATTTTCTTAGTTGGCACTTTCACAACGAATTTATTGATTGTTCCATTGTAGAATTACCAACAATACTTGCAAAAGAGAGCGGGAATCCCACCTGGTCAATACGAATCATCTACAACGCCACGACCGACTCACTGCGACGGCGTCGACGCATTGGGTTGCTTTCAAGTTCGGCTTTACTTCGATTGGTTCTTGATTCCTGGTTCCTGCAAATGCTGGAGACCAGACTACTTCAACAAGTATGTGAGGAGAAAACCCGGCAATCAAGACCTTTGAATTGGATTTAATTTTGAGACTGATTTAGCCAAATATAAGAAATAACTAAAGGTTTATTTAGCTAAACCCACGACTTGAAAGATATTAGTTTTCCCGTGGAGGTAAGCGAAAGTGAATTAACAACTGCCAAAGCTTTATCATCTTGAATTTATTTTTCAACAGGTCCTCAAAAAATTGTGTTTTATTTCGTCATATTTATGTAAAATAACATTACCATGAAATGATGCTTTTGGATACCAAAGAAAATAATATAAAAAAATGTTATTTTCTTTGATGATATTAATTTTGAGGCAATTCATTATCCTAATGTAAATATATATTATAATAAGTTATTGTTTCTATTTTTGGTTGCAGTTTCGTCAGTGTAAAAACATATACTTATATTTTAGATAATATTTTGTTATTATTTATTCAATAATTAGTAAATGACTGTTAGAGTATTTACTTAATATTTATATCTCAGATTTATTAATAAAATATATGCAAAATTAATGCTAATGTTCAATTTTGTTAACCGGCCAATGTATATTGCAATCGCGTTTCAATAATCCCGATCTTGACTATTCTGGTCAGGTAGCGACGTCATTGTCTCTTATATTCAGCTGGAACATGATCAATTAAAAAATTCTAGCAGCAGGGTTGTTAGATTTACAACTTTTATGGAATGCCCTATTTAGTTTTAGAAGTTTATGGATATATTTAAGTGTTCCGGTACCCTTTAATTAATTAATAGAAACAAAATTTTGATATTATGACACGCTATAAATTCGACATGCGCAATTCATTTCCATAATAATAAATAAGTATTTTCGTTCCATTTAAAATAACAAAATTATGACGTAGGACGTAAAAATGATAAATCTGACACCATTGTTGTTAGCAGTTTTGAACTCACAGTTATTAAATTTTATCGTTCAACTTTGGCAGTTTTGGAGCGTTCCAGCACTCTTTATTAATCCAGTATTATTTAATAGAGAATATGTCGTATTAGGAAAGTTGGAAAGAGAAATATGTCCATGATGTACAATGCGTGGACAAGACCAGCCCGTGAAGTCCACCTTTCTACACATTCACGCTCTGTGTGATGTATGAAAGCACAATTCTGTCCTTCTTCATAGAGAGCACTTGTTGGTAACAAGCAGTCAACATTTCATTCGCCCCTAGAACCGCCTTATTATTGTACCTCTGTGAGGTGATGAGGTAAATTTAGTAGAGATTTGAGCCCTCAATTACACACAGATCTTTCACTCAGAAGGACCGAGGAGAGACCGTATAAGTCCGGCTGATTAACCCTAAGATACTTAAATATTCTCGTTTTATTAAGTTACGACTGTTAACCTTTCCTTAGCACCCACCTCCACCTCTTCGCAGCCATTACCAATTACCAATCCGGGTTTCCCTGTAGGAACGGTCTTCGCTTTTTTAACCGAATTTATCAAACTTATTAATAGGTCAATCATATAGCTATGTGGCCCTAGTAGGGAAGCGATATTTTTGTAGAGATGGCGCATACCTCTAAATTTCACCCTCTAACTTGCACTTTGCGTCATTTTCTTTCTAAACATCGATGTTCATACACTTAACTCTTTTTTATGAAATATTATACTAGATATGGGCATATTGTGTCGTAAAAATGTCACATGAAAACTGAAAACTGTCGGCGGCCATGTTGATTATTGAACGCCGCTAGGTCTTGCAGGTTGCTTTGAAATGGTTATGGGTTGAAAATGATCGTGCGTGTGCATCTCAATTTATTTGTAGGCGCTTCAAAAATTCCTGTATGATCCGCATAGGAAGGGCCTCCAGCTATAGCTATATCGGTTTGATGATATTCTTATTGCGATTTTTGCAATTTTATAAAATATTTCGGACATATTGATCTTTGATTTCTTATCTCAAAAAATATATTAGGGTCACGTATTTGGTGTACCTATTATTTCCGTTTTTATATTTTAAGTTTGAATCTGTCAAAATTTTCAGATGGTACGCAATAACCTTATTTTTGCACAATGTGAAATAAAACCAGTTATCGCCTGCATCAGTTCAGAGTCGTTAGAATCATAGCCATTTGACGATAAACATTTAACTACTAATGCACCCAAAATAATTAGGTACACGACCTTCGCAGATAACAGAATAATTGCACCGAAACGCGTACAGTTAGGTTCGCAAGGAGAAGTGCATATACGAGGTTAAGATAAAAAGTTCTCAATTAGATATTTTTTCACATATCTATCAAAAGGATATTTTTGACAAAAATTTTAGCTGAGCTGGTGCATTGCTTGAGAAGCGAAGAGGGTTAATAACAATTGTGTAAGTAAAAAATATAGAAAGTGACATTTTTAGGACCTAATATGCTGATAAGTAAACTGTATATATTTTTTCTATTCCCTAGTCGAAGATACCTAATTATCCTAGGATCAAGCGTGCATTTTAAGACGTCACACAGTCGCAAGCCCCCGAGGCTTTAGTCACGGATTTTGGCACGAATCAACTCGTCCTACATCACAGGGCGCTACAGCTATTGCATGGCATTCAAAATATGAAGTACAAGTGAAATAGGATAAAAAAAATGTTTTAAAGGCTTTATACTATTTTAATGTTTAAAATATAATACAACTATATAGAATATATAATCTATATTTAAAAAAATATTTTGTTTGTTTTTAAATGTATAATGTGAAGAACATATTTGTGTACCTATTTTTGATTTCCAAATTACTTAAGTGATATGAACTTAAGAACCACTTAAAGATGTATTACCATTTTATAACGTGGCATTGGTTTACTTAGACACTTTGCCATTATATTTTTAATATTATTCTTTTGCAGAATAACAAAAGCTTAATTAAATAATCCTCTTCTTGGCAACCGCAATAAAGCAGAGGGTAAAGAGAGTAAAGATGATATTATTAGCAATGAATAAAAAAATTAATAAATAAAGCTACTTTTGACCACACGAGGTGTTTCTAACTTACCTGTTCGTATTTCTTCTGTTGATTTAAAACTTCCGGTTGTATCTCATTCCATTTCATGATGTTAAAAACGAAACTCTCATACCTTGAAGTGAATAAGATTAGAAAATGTTTAAGGTGCTAGCCCATATTGTAGTACTTAGATTCCAAAAGTTCGTACACTTCACACACCGTTTTAGTAAGACTCACATTTGTGTTTTTTGTTGAAACAAACGAATCTTCTCTTTTTGCTGTTTGAATCCATGTTTTTTGCAAGGCCTCCGAGGAAATTGCCACCTTTGGTTCTTCCTTACAATTCTGCTTTCAGTTTGGAATACATAAAATGTTTACCATAATTATATAAGAAAAACACAAGGCTTTATAAATATTGAATACTAGATTAAATATTTAGGTATTATCGCACAACTTAAGGGTTTCACCGCCTTTTTCTAGGGGTCTGCTTGCACGAAGGCATGTTTTTGGTAAATTGTATAGTATGGTATTTTAACTTGAGTCAGTCAGTTCTGACGGTCATATCACACGTCGCTCAGCGAACGTATTCGTGCAGTTTCGCGACAATGTACCAAAAAACCAATGGACGTAGAAAAAGTAAACTATCCGTTAACAAACTTCTTCGGTCATTCATTTATTAAAAAGATCAAAGAAGAAAGTCTTCATAGTGAAATCCGTATCTGAGAAGTTTTATCAAATCTGTGAACAGAAAAATCTCCCAAATTGAATCTATTTTGTATATCTGCCACGATTTAGTCTGCTTAAGTTTTGCGAATCCCTCGTAAGTCATCTGTTATGAACATCAGGTTGAACTGAGCGTGTTTATTTTCACGGTCCCTTTAACTATCTATAAAACTTGCGAAATACAAAATAAATAAACCGCTAACCATGTGTTAAGGCAATTCTTGTACAAGTTGTTTTTCCTTCAATAACGATCGGTTCCTTATCGTTGTTTATTATAAAATTGGTGCTGACCGCGAGTGTGATTTTTGCTACGGTGGCGTTTTCCTGAGTTCTTAAAACTAAGATTTCGTTTCTAGGTGAGTGATTTTAACAGTGCCTTTAAGTATCATTAAAAGAAAAAATTAAAATCTTTTTAAAGAATATCTAGTTTTAAATATTCAGACAGTTTTATATTACACAGCTACAGAATTAATGATGTTAATGCAAATTTTAAAATTTTTATTTAATTTTAAAACCACAGCTCGATATCTTTGTCCGTTTTAGAGCTATTGTCAAAATTATTCTTTTTTACCACTTGCGCAAACATTTTCGAACTTAAATCCAACTTTACTTGTAGCTTAATTGATTGTATCTCTTCTAGATTCTGAGTTCTCTATTGTGTTTCTTGAATTTAAATTACTCCGTATATTCCTATGTATTTCCAATATGGTTTTAAATATAAAAAACGGCTTAACAATGTATTGAATGTTTTTAGTCCTATATTGTTGACATTTGTAATCTGTGACATCTGTAATGTTAAAAGGCTAATTGATCTCTAATATCTTTTTAGAATAAAATTGTGTCTAGTCCAGTGTCGTTTCGGGAGGATTTTATCTTAGTATTTGCAAACAGATGTACGCCACTGACATTTTTGCAATTTTTGTTATTTGCTTTGAATAAAAGTATACACTTTTTGAGTTTTGTTCTAGCAAAAAAATAAAAATCATAAAATTTTCAAATAGTTATTTGTGTACCTAGTGCGCTAAATTTTACTATGGTGATCGAGAATTGAAAACAGAGGAACAAAATAAAAAAAAAATGCCGAACATCAAAAAAACTGATTTTAGATGTGTATAATTTGCTAATACCAAAAATCGCACAAGCCCTAGTTTTCGAGATGCAGGTTAATTGATATGAATTCTGGTAAAGGACAAAAATAAATATGGCCAAAATTGAAATTTTCTACTTAAAAATAGATTCCAATTTGCCAAATATATACCTGGCATTGTTCGCGATCCATTCTTTCAATACTAGAATCACCGGCCCTACTAGTTTTAAAAAAAATGCGGAGAACATCACTGCACAAGTTGCGTTGATTTGAGTGTTAAGTGTTAAACTTAGCCAACGGAGTCGTTATATAGAACATGCTTGTTTTTCAAGACTTTAGGACAGCAGGGTTAACAAAGTACTTCAGCCTCTACATATCATGCAGGGTCCTCTGATGAAGCAATATCTGTTGGTCCTCAATTAAGACAACTTGTTTAAGAACCACAATTCACTACATAAAATGTAAACACGTTAAAATTATAAAACGATAAAATATTTAATATAGTTTCAAAAACCAAGTCTGACAGGCAAAATCTGAATGTTCTTTTGGATTCTGCATCCAAAAATTAACCAGGAACAATTGAAAAATGTCAGCAACCGAAATGTCTTCTTGGCCTGTGCTATTTTAACGAGACGCAGACGAATTAAAGAATAATCGAGATCACCAAAGTATTTTGCGTACGAGTGGCACACATTTTCTTTTCGTACGTACAAATATTACTTAAAATTGGCCTAAAATTAGCAATATGCTAATGCGAACGTTGTTATTTTTTAAAGTTTGTAGGAAATAATATTTTTATTAATATTTCTTTCTTGGATCTTTTGATACACAATAAACTTAATTCTACAAAATTAACCCCACAGAAAATAATTAGAATCATGTTACAAAAGTTGCTCTTTCTTAATATTTTTATTTTTTTAGTATCTTGGTCCGTCTTTTCCGTATGCCCGCATGAACTTCTTTCTTTTTTTGGATGACGACTCTTTTGCCAATCGTGGGCCAATGATTTTTAAATCACAATGTATAGGATTCAGAGACAGTATTCTCTTTATACTACTTTTGACTCAATTTTTACTGTCTTTAGAATGCGATCGTCGTTTTGTATCAACTTTTTCATATGCCTGCAAGAGGAATACTCCTATTATATCTTCGCGCTGTTCTGTTTTTAAATAATGTTGTTTTTTTTAAGTTAACCCCTATTTGTGATGGCCAAAGTGTCTACGATTAAAAGCGTCATTAGTCAAAGCAGTAAACGTATAACGACGAGTGCGAAAAACCTACAAACAGCTGATACGATTGGCGTTTTGGCAAAGGAAAGTTATTATAAAAATTTGGGAGAAAAGGCCCAAAGCGATGCGAAACCGGAAGGCTGGGACAATGCCAAAACGTATGAATCCATTCCCGGGCCCAAACCTCTTCCATTAGTAGGTAATTTATGGAGATACATGCCTGGAATAGGAGAGTATTACAACGTACCTCTGAAGGAATTTTGGGAGAAGTATGTTCAACTTTTTGTAGACGTGCGTGCATTTAATGCAAATATTTTATAGACTGCATAGGACCTACGGAGATACCGTTCGTTTTGGTGGTATACCCGGCAAAAAAGAATTGGTAGCTCTGTTTCAACCAAGTGACTTCGAAAAGGTTTGTTTCTATTTCGTTAATTTTCTTCCCTGAATTATGATGTGAATATAATTACGATTACAATTTTGGTATATAAGAGAACAAATCGATTGAAAAAAAGCTCTCCGCAAATATCTTTGGTTTTTCTCTAATTTTTCGAACTACTCTGAAATTGAACGAAGTTTTCAAAGAAAGTACCCAAATGGACCTTATGAATTTCCAGCTCCATTCTAATGATATTTTGTATTAAGATGAAAATATTATAACTTACTTAATAACGTAACATAATATAATAAATTTGTCAAGAAAGTACCTAACAAAAACATAAAATCGGATGTTTTAGGGCAAATTGGGATAGTGAGTGAGGTAGTATAAACTCAGAATAAAAGCACAAAATTAATTAATTAAGTTAATTTTGAATGTCAATTACCGTCGAATTCGTATTATCTATTCTTTTGTGGAATATTGTACATTATAAAAAAAAGACCAGCCATAAAACATTCCCGGAAAAGTATAAAGGAAATTTTTATTTTAGACGTTATATGCAAATCAGCAAATAGAAGAAGAATAATATAAATAAATGATATTTTAATAATTAAAATATTTGTAGATGGAGGTATCAAATTGCACAACATAACTTATGGAGCATTGATTATTACATGGAGATACTTTATTCCTATACATATTTTATTTATATAATATGTAAGCAAAATCAAATCATAAAATATTTTGGTAATATGTGTATGTGCTTTATTTACACAATATAATAAAAAAAAATTGTCTTACATTACTGCAAGGATATGCAACACAAAATTTTTTGAATCAAATGAGAGCTTTCCTTAGAATTTCTTCCATAATGGCGTTTTTATAGCTTATTTTCAGTTTAGTTTATTTCTATAAAAACAAAACAAAAGTATTTGAGATCCGAGGTTATATTCCAAAGTAGTTAGACAGTAAAAAATATTTTTTACCCCACCTCGGCATATCTGTTTTCGTGGACTACGAAGACTTATATTTTTCCATTAAAAACAATCATTTTAAATGTGTCCTGTATCTTTTCTAGCACATTGCCTATATTCCTCAGCGTCTCGTCAGAAATTATCATTATGATCGCCACCGAGTCCTGGAAATTACCAGATATCTCAAAATATTCAAAAATTTTCAAAAACATTTTCGAAATCCATTGAAATTCCTTAACCACTTAAATTTAAACAACCAGACCAGAAAAAATAACGATACATGAAAACGTGACAAAATACAGTATAAACTAACAAATCTTTTTGTCGTCGCATCTCTGATGCTCATGCATTAACTGAGTCATAAAGTGATGCAAATTTTGTAATAGAAAAAGTCATAGTGTAAGTAAGCTACCATGTAATCATTATTCTTGTCTTTGTCTTCCTCGAAATTCCCTGAAATTCATCTAGATAAGTTCCAAAATATTCTGGATATGCCCGTAAGCAAATTACGATATTTTTTTAGAAAATTGTCTCAAAAATAACGACACATCAAAACTTGACAAAATACGTCATCAAGAAACGTGTCTCTTTCTGACTGAATGTCTGTAGTAATGTAAGTAATATATGTGTATATGCTTTACTTATACAAAAAAATAATTTTTCTTTTGTCTTACACGTACAACACAAGAATTTTTGAATCAAAGAAGAGCAATCATTTTCCCCATTTTGCATTAATTGTACTGCAAAACAATTTTCGACAGGAAAAGGTAGAAGCAATGAAGTGGCCATCTCATCTAGAATATATATATATATATATATATATATATATATATATATATATATATATATATATATATATATATATATATATATATATATATATATATATATATATATATATATATATATATATTGCTCACGTATTGATTCACGGATGGAAAAATGTGATGACACTATACTCCTGGATATCATCCGTTCGCTCGTTGAACTCCGACTGGAATCCTGCAAATCCTGCATCCGACTGGAATCCTGCAGACGTTTCGCCAAAATCTCACTTGGCATCTTCAATGCTCGCGCTCCGAGTGTTCGAAGTGTTTTCGGAACGCGAGCATTGAAGATGCCAAGTGAGATTTTGGCGAAACGTCTGCAGGATTCCAGTCGGATGCAAGATTTGCAGGATTCCAGTCGGATGCAGGATTCCAGTCGGAGTTCAACGAGCGAACGGATGATATCCCGGAATATAGTGTCATCATATATATATATATATATATATATATATATATATATATATATATATATATATATATATATATATATATATATATATATATATATATATATATATGATATGATAGAAAACGCAAAGAAAAAGAAGAGATTTGAACATCTATTAAAGGTTACTCTAGTAGTGTATTACATATTTCATATAGAACTGAATTTGCAATAAGAAATTCTCACGTGGGGGTTTAATTTTTTAAATTGATTATCCCCCGGCAAGAAAAAAAAATAGAAACTTTATTTTCCCTTTATTCACAATTTACACAATAATATTTGGGAAAATTTTGCTTTCATATTAAACAGCTTCATACTATAGACAGAACTTATTATTTATTGAGTGTATATTCTTGTGATTAGGATAAGCAGAACCAATGCATTCCAAGTTTTAAGAAATAAGATGCCGATACGCAGAAAAGTGCACCAAATATAATGTAAATTTTATTAGTAACAACAAGTTGTCCGCTCTTGTGCAGGTTCACAGAAATGAGGGTCCTTGGCCCGTGAGATACGGACTTCCATCTTTTGTCTATTACCGCAACCATATACGACAGGACGTTTTCCAAGGCGTGGGGGGAGTATTGACAGTGTAAGTAAAATATGCGTAAAAAAAGCTCATTTTAAAAATATTCAATTAATTAATAATATTTTGAAATAAGATGTGAAAACAATAAGACCTTCTTTCTTGGTGAGCTGGGTGTAAGTTAAATTTTGGACAAGTAAAAAAATCTGAAATTGTTATTTTTCCGATTTTCCCGATTCCGATATCCATTTCACATTATTGGAAAAAATAAAGTGGATAATCTATGTATCTTCGTAGTATTTCAAAGGTTTGGAGCGTTTGGAGTAAACATAATTGATATAAATGTGAAAATTTATGAAGCTTACTATTTGGATCGAATATTATCTATAAAATCAAAAGAGTTTCGATAGGAAATGAATTCCTAGCCCATGCTCATCTCAACTTTGATTCTTATTACATTATTTAATATTTTGGATGTTTCACGAAATTTGCATACTCCCTTTTTTCGTAAACTTCATAGCAGATGAAAAAAGGCATATTATGCAACAGGTTTAATTTTAGAATGTAATACGTAAGTGTCTGAAAAAGTTTATAAAAATATGTTCGATATTATATATTTTTTTTAGATCATCAGATTTTCGTTACATTTTTGCAAAACATAGGCTCTTACCCAAACCCGTGACTAAAGTACCGGATACGATTGAAGTGACTAGCGATACTGTTTAATGAAACTGATGTCTTAAATTGGGTAATTTAGAGTGGGGAGTTGCTACAAATATTTTGTTTCTGTAGTTTAAAAAGCAGGTTTTGCTTCAAAAAGAAAGATTGTTGAAGCGACTCTCTTACTTAGGCGCCCATGTATTGTAGCATATACTTACAAGTTGAATTGATTGGGATTGAAATTCTTTTGAAATGATGAAAAAAATATATGTTGAGAATATGACATAAAATAAACATATAGCAACTTAATTATTTTAATTGTTGTGTTATGTCCCGAATTTCTTTTTTTAGCGACCTTTGCGCATTTCCGCTCTCAATTGATTATTTTGATGATGACCATCATCTTACAGCATTTTACTAAATCTGTTCTAGACAAGGCGAGGAATGGTTTAAGTTCCGATCCATAGTCAACAAAATATTGATGCAGCCTAGAACGGCCCAGATGTACGTCTCCAGTATGGACGAAGTGGCTAACGATCTAATCGACAACATTAGGTTCTTCTCAAAAACAAACGAAAATCACCAAATGCCCGCCGACTTTCAAAACGAACTCTATAAATGGACTTTGGAATCCATGGGGGTTATAGCTTACAACAAACGATTAGGTAACTTATCCCAATTACATAAATCAAAATTGATTTGAGCTTTCTTTGACAGGTGTGTTGGATCGAAATAGCAAAAAAGATTCAGACGGACAAAAGCTCATAAGTTTCAGCATACAGATGTTCGAATTGATGTACAAGTTGGACGTATTGCCTTCCATGTGGCCTTATATCAGCACGCCGTCTTGGAGAAAATATATAAAAATTTTAGATTTCCTAACACAGTAAATTCAGTATTTTCAATCAAATTTTCTTTCAAATTTATATTTATATTTTAGAATGAACACAAAATATGTGGACGAATGTTTGAGCAAAATGGACCCCGATGCGAATATACCCGAGCACGAGCAAAGTGTTTTGGAGCGGTTGTCAAAGATTGACCGAAAAGTAGCTCTAACAATGGCGACCGACATGATGATTGCCGGTATAGATACAGTGAGTTCTCGCGTTATGTTTTCATGTGCTCCTCTTACCTGATTAAGACTTCGCTACTTATTGACGCATATAAAACGTTTACAAGTAACCAGAACAGATAAAGTTCAGAATACCACTCGTGATTAAAATCTACAAAGTACTTTTGGATATCATATACAATACAATACAATACAATATACAGATCGACATGAAAACCCAATAAATGGATGAAAATATATCGAAATAAGTTGTATGAAAAGGATATTTAGAGTGATATTATAGAACTGTAGGCAATATTTTGAACAACAATAACAGGCAGGGTACCATATAAAAAATTCTTATCTATTACAAAAGAAATTTCTATATGTATATTCCTATATGAATACTCTAAATAAAATAAACTAGGCTGCAAATTAATGCATTGCATAATTTTTTAATTTTTTTATATTTAACGTTGACTTCCTTGACCTTACTGTGTTGATATTTTAAAAATAAATCAATATAAAATGGTCACTAACATTGCAAATTTAAATTTAAATTTAAAATTCAAAAAAATCGAAAAGAGGCATTTTTTCAAATAGAAACACTCTGTTTTTATAATTTAATTCGAATTAATATTTACAAAAATATATTCTGTATATGTATGCATATATTATGTATGTATGTATATATGTACACAATTGCTAATTGCAAAAATTTGTAGTTATTAGCAATAAAACATTTTTGCATTGTATTAATTGGTAAAACGGGTGACGGTGAAATATAGCAGAAATAAAAACAGTCAAGCGCCACAGAAATGGCATTTAATAATTACTCTTAACACAGGAAAGAAAATCTTCTACAAGGAAATCAACCAAAAATCGATTGACATATTTGGAACTGCAAACGTCATTAATGATATCAAATTCAATATATGTCAGAAATGTTAAGTTAGGTTAGGTAAAGTAGGATATTGAATATCTAAAAACTTCCGTAAAAATAAAAATTAATAATATAGTTGTCACTTGTTTACGAAAATGTAAATATCTTGTATATATAACAATATTTTATTTTAAAAGTATAATTGAATCTGAACTATTTTTGGGTTTAAGTTTTTTGTATTTTTTACAGATTCTGAGCTAAGCTATCATCCCATACTAAACGGACCCCCTATATATCTAAACACGTTTAAGATCCAGAGCTAGGTGTCATTAGTACACATCTATACATATTTACCAGCTTCACCAGTAATTGAGATTCCCAAATCTGAGCCACTAACGTATCGCAGATCTTACTAACCATACTTATACACATAATAATATAGTTTTAAACTTAAAAATTAATGAAAGCAGTAGGCAAAAATAAAGTTACATTTCAATAGCATTGGCACTCTTTTATCGTATATGGAATTAAATCAACGTCAAATGAAAATTTGGTTCTTAGACTGGAAGAACAATGGGAGCCGCCTTGTACTTCTTATCAAAAAACCCCGACAAGCAGGAAATCCTTCGTGAAGAGCTTAAACAACACATGCCAAATAAAAATTCTCCTGTCACCAAAGAAATGCTCATGTATTCACCGTACTTGAAAGCCGTGGTTAGAGAAGCCACCAGGCTTTCTCCGATATCAATTGGTCAATTAAGGACTACGATCAAAGATCTAGTCTTGGGCGGGTACCAAATTCCTAAAGGGGTGAGAATTTGAAATCAAATGTCTTATTCATTTCATAAACGCTTACTTGTAGACCGACGTTGTCACGATAAATCTTTTACTCTCGCACGACGAAAAATATTTCAAAGACGCGAAAATGTTCAAGCCCGAGAGGTGGTTGAGGGATACCGAGGACGAATACTCTAGTAAAAATGTCAATCCTTTCGCATCGCTACCGTTTGGCTTCGGGCCGAGATCTTGTATCGGAAAGCGCTTGGCTAACTTGGAGTTGGATGTTGGACTATCAAAGGTAACGCTAACATTTTGAATTGGAATTATATTAGTGAGTTTGACCATTTAGCCATGAAGCACAATTTGACTATTTTGGGGGTATTTGCCAAGAGGACCACGCAAACTTTTATTCTATGGAACCTCCGCCCAAAAATTAAACAAAAAACAAAAATACTAACAAAAACTGAATATTATATCCTTTATTTTATATACGGTGTGTCCCATTTTTGATAGTTTTACGACGTACCTCCCTTATTAAAAAAGCTATCGTGTTGTGGATTTGTGAACAAAGACTGCATTTTTATGAAATATAAGGTGCCTCTAACAGAGTGAATTTAAAAATTTAGCACTTTGAGACACTCTTTATGAGGTTAGGCGTTAATTTATGGCAAATCTGGAGACTGATCTAAATAGATCTTTACATAGGATGCAGTGCATCTGGAGACTGATCTAAATAGATCTTTACATAGGATGCAGTGCCGTAGTCAGTTTTCTTCTGAAGCTCACATATTTTGAAACAACAAACTAAAATTGCTTTTTAAAATTAAATACCCTGTAAGCCTTGTACTCTTAAATACAGAGTGATCTTGAAAAATTTTGCATTTTTAGTTCGGTTATCAAGAAGATGAAAACTGGTCTTGATAGGGTCCAGTCAAGTCCTAAAATGAACATATTTTGATATATAAACGAAATTTGCCTTTTTTAATGTGACACACGTAAAACCTGTTTTACATACAGTTTTTATATGTAACATATTTTCGAAAGGTTCATAAAATTCGACTTTCAAGAGTTTTGCAATAGTGTGCTGAAACCAAAAATGTTGACTGAGATCCAGTCCGAATTCCGAGACCAGAGGAGCTGTAAAGAAAATATTAATACCTTGTCACACTTTCATTTATTGAAGCTGTATTTATAGATTTTAAACATGCATTTGGTAGTATAAACCACAATCTACTTTGGCGAAAACTATATAACCGTCGTTCTTCAGTATTTATCAGCATTTAATTGAAAAATTTACTCCCATTCCTTTATCTAAGTAAGATATGCTACCAGACTGACTCACGTTTTTCCAATCACGGCAGGTGTCCTACAAAGGGATTTTTTTGTCGATATTATTTGGTTTATGTTCGGAATTGTTTCGGGATTGGTTCCGCGAAAATGGCAAATATTTTTCCTAATCAAATAAAAATGTAACCTTTTTTGAACTTCCATATCAAATTCAAATTTTTCATTTTTAAACATAAAGGAAGAATGGCAATTCTTTCTCACTTTTTTCATTAGTTCTGAGATATGAAACAACCCCCAGATCCCCTTTCTGACAAAATTTAAAGTAATTAACATGTTAATAATAAAAGTTATACATTTAGACACATTTAAGGAAATTGGGTTGTGTCTGTCCCGTTGTGTTTATATGTTTAGTTGATTCTGCAATGTATGACAATCTATAATTGCAACTATTTTATAAAATTTCTTAAAATCATCTGGGAAACTTGCGATAAGGGTCAATAAATTGAGATAAATCGCTGAGGTACGCGAGATGGTGAAATCGAATTCGTGATTCAAAACCACTATAACCAGTGCTATAGAATCCAAGTACGAAGCCAAAAATGTGGTGGCTTGTTATTAAAACCTATTTTGCTAAACTTTGATAGAATTTATTCTGTCTGATTTATATTTTTTCGTTCGAAAACCATTCATTACGAGACTGCAATGGACTTCCCAATTTAACTCTATTTTTAGCAATTTTAACACTTTATCCTCGTAAATAGCATTGCCAAGTTTTAAAAAAAAAACTATTTTTAAAATATTTAGCCGGTATCTGGAAACTAAGCATTGAGCCAACGGTTATAAAAACTTTTTTACTTTTTAAAAAATCTATGCTTAAGCTTAGATGTGTTTAAGGTCGAAAATATTCGCGCTCCAATACGAATATGTAATTGAACTAGTATTCAATTTTTAGGTAATCAGAAACTTTCAGCTCTCTTGGCCACACCCGGATGCAAAGTTTGGAATGAAACTGCTCTATGGCATCGAGGACCCATTGAAGTTAAAGGTCGAAGAGATCCAAGGGTAACCAGTAAAAAACTAAATTAATGTTTGTGATTTATATTACCTTTTATATTTGTAAATACTTATATTAAGAGGAGTTATTTATTACATGTAAAAATAAAAATTGTTGTTAAAAACTTGAACAACAAGAAATATTGTCGTGGCAGTTAATAAATATTTTAAAATTTTTTAAAATTATAATTAATATCTGTTTCAGTTGCATTGAAGTTGTGTCTAATACGTTTGATAAATTAATGCAATTGGTAAAGAAAACTACATTTATTTTTCGACTCCCTACTCTACAGCTTCCTCCCTTATAAAGGGTGATTCAATAAGGGTTTCCACATTAAAATAATAAAAGAAACTCAGAAGAATATAAAGATATACAAGCATTTTTATTTGCCATTTTAAATTAGTGTATTACAATTAGGTATGACCCCCGCGACTCATGTGGCATGAAATAATTCGTTTATTGAAATTTCCTATCACTTTTTGACACAATTCAGGTTCTATGCCAGCTATTTCGCGTCTAATCTGCTGTTTCAGCTCTGGAATAGTGTTTGGTTTACTTCTATACACTCTGCTTTTTAGATAACCCAAAAAAAAATCTAGGGGAGTAAGATCACATGATCGCGGCGGCAAATTGATATCGCCCTTACGTGAGATAATCCGACCAGGAAACTTGCCCCGCAGCAATTGCATCGTTTCTCTGGATGTGTGACAAGTGGCTCCATCCTGTTGGAACCACAAATCTTCAATGTCCATACCTTCCAACTGCTCCCAGAAAAAATCAGATATCATGTTTCGATAGCGAACACCATCAACCGTAACAGCGTTCTCCGCATTATCCTCGAAAAAAAAAGGGCCGCACCAAACATTCACTTTTTGAGGATGCATTGCTTTTTGAACAATCTCTCTTGGATTTTCTAATCCCCAAATACGAGCATTGTGTTTGTTTACAAAGCCACCAACGTAAAAATGTGTCTCGTCGCTAAAGATGATTTTCGTTGAAAAATGAACCCCGTTGTCCGTTGACTTTATAAACAAAACTTATGTTTTTTAAATGGAACACCCTGCTTATTTACAGACGATAAAATTTTTCTTTATTTACCTATTGAAAAGTGTATAATAAAATGTTCCAAAATAAAAAGCACAATTTGCTAGTAGGCCATGGCTATCGTTTATACAGTTTATTTTCATTATTTTCTTAATTTTATGTAATTGAGATTTATCAATTTCTTTGAATTATGCTAGTAAAGGTAGTATAAGTATAGTAGTATGAAAATTATGAAAAATATGATATGCTGGAAAGTTTTACACCGAGTAATGGAAACTCTGATGATGCTTCGTAATTATATTTCCAAAAGTAAGTAGCTATTATGGCTTGAAAATAATTATAGTTTTAAGTTTGTGTTTGTTCGGTGTAACTAGCTCAGATAGTCTTGGCGCAATACAGGAAGTTATTCCAGAACTGCACGAAAATATTCCGTTTGCCCAATATAATGTTTACCTACAGCAAGATAGTGCACTAAATCATAACTCTTAAGGCTATTTGGTTTATAACTTAAAAATTATACATATGTAACCAAAATTATCGACACCTTTGTGGTGATTCCAAAATGCAACTTTTTTACAAATAAAAAATTAAGGGCTATAAATGTTGTTAACGTTATCTTTAGTTTTACTAAAAGGTAGCACACTGTGTCGAAAACTTTCTACCTATAATAATAATTGCGATAACCCGCAAAAGTACCAAAAACACCCAATATCCAAAAAAGTATACTATCCAGGGCAATGGTAAACTTCCTCAGTAACTCGTTTATTAAATACTCGTTTCGCTGTGCCTCGTTCAAGAAAATCAAATTCGTGACAAATGCGGCATTTATTAAACTTGAATAATATACTATCTTTATGTTTTGAGTTCCTAAAATTCTATCATATTACGGTGAGGTTAAGGAATTAGTCCCGACGAATGTATATCGTTTATTTCTCTCTTTCCAGAGATATACATATAATTTTAGCAACGAAGTAAGAAAAATAGACATATATAGCGATAGTACAACATAACATAGATCTCAACAAAATAGTTGTAACCCTAGCAATTTATTAATCATTTCACAGACAAGTTTGGCCTCGAATTGTGTAGAATATTCCTAAAAATTGTTCGCCCCGTTTCAAGGGTCCGCTATGCGCTAGAAAACAGAAAGCTAGTCAGTGCTTATTAGTTTTAGGAGATTTCATTTCGTCGAGGTCTTTCTGAAGGTAGTGGAGGACGTAATGAAGGACGACATCGTAACAGTATTTATATTCGGTCTGCAAAAGGATAGGAACAATTATAAGAAGTCGCATTAATTTGAGGAAAACTTACTATATTCTCTATAAGCTGCGGTCGGTGCCTGCGAACGGTTCGCACTGCCTGGAATATATCCACTTCCCCATGCTGGATTACTTGTTCGATGCAAGCATTTGCCGAACAGTATATTCCACAACGACTTCGGCCGTCTCTACACAAAAAATGTTTTTTAAGATTTGTATGAGTAATGTTTTGTGTTTAGTTTCAGTAGTTTAAGTTGACTATTTAAAGGCTTTGTAAACGGAATTAGATTAGATTTTAAAACCACCTTTTTAAACTTTCCATTTTCCTTATTTAAAAAAAATGTATTTAAAAAAAAAGTTGAAGTATCAGCGACACACCGGGAACTGAGTGAGGTACCCTACTCATCACCAAAAAGTTCTGTCAAGATGTTTAAATATAGAGGCTAAACGTCCCAAAGAAGAATAACCTTTTTGTCCTATATCAGCAGTGCAGTGCATGTAGTAGCTTTTATAGTACATTGCTTACATACATTTTGGGTTAGGGGATTTACTGCCAAACCATATGCTGAAAGGTAATTTTCCACTGTTTTCAATGTACGAAATTTTAAGCCCCCAACAAGTTCTCGACAATATATTGAGACTCTTTTTTCAATTACAAAAAGCTAGCTTTTTTCTACTTACGGCGAAACTACGCACACAGGTCCGTAATCACTACGTTGTCTCCATCTTTCGACCATATTCATTAATTCAACCAGAGAATTTGTTGAAGTAGGCACTTTGTGTCCCATGGGCCAGCACATCAATTGAAATAACTGGACCACCTTCGGGGGAGCTTTTACCCCGGCCATTAATTCGGTCAGAGACACTATCTAGAAATGTTGCTTGCTTCAGATAGGGCTAATATGTTTGTTGCGAATTACCTTTTTGTTAATTCTAAACACCCAACTTTTAATTTTTGGGTAGTGGCTGTGGGATATATGCTCTATCGTAAACACCGGGCCATATTTTTTGGGTGTGCGGCCTTCGGGCCAAAAAGACGGAAACTGTTGCTGTAAAAATGATTTAGTTAAGTAAAGGGTCTCAATTTTTCTGTTTTTTTTTTGCATAGTATCTTGCTCATTTTTGACAGATAGAGAGTTGAGGTATCCGAGCCATGACATCTCAGTGGTCTTTTATCTTATTAAAAAATCGATGCTGCCAGTTTTGTCCTAGTACCTTCCTTGTTTCTTTAATGCATATTTTTAACTATAGTATAAAATATTTTTAATAATAGTATACCGGGTGACACAAGAAAGCGGGAACACTCTATAACTTTTAAACGGCATGAGATTGCAGTTTGTAATTTTGAACGGTTAATTTTTTAACAATATGTGAATGGTTGAAAGGAAACGACGGTAACTTTCGAATTTTAAATGGCACAACCAATTTTTTTTGCATTTTTGAATTCAAGAGGTCATTCTTCGTAGGATAGGATGGTTTTTCTCACTTTGTTTTTTTTTTAATTTTTATTTAATTTTGAAAATTGTATCTAGGAGACCGTGACCATCCTAAAAGTACTATGTAAATGAAACTTTTCTTTACTTGTCTAGTTTGTTCAAATAGCACCCTAGTGGGAACAAAAACTTTTTAAAACCGGTACTTTTTTTGCAACGTTTTGACAGCAAAATTTTCAAAATCCTTTAAAAAATAAGCTCACAGGAAAGAAAAAACAGGAGAAAATATTACTTAAGTGGCTTTAGGCATGAAGTCGGCATGATTGAAAATTCTGACAGTTTGTACATTTTTGTCTGATTATCGATTTTGTCGTGTTATCGATTTGGATTAACATGGAAAGCAATAATCAATTTACAAATGAGGACGACGTTTCTAATATACTTGGAATGCAGAAAAAACTCTCGACAGACCCGTGCATTGATGCAGCCCGCTCTCCGGGACGTTGCCTTTCTGCACATTCTTTCTATTTAGAAAATTTTATTTATTATAAGTGAAGAAATTGATTTCCATTACTTCAATTATAATAAATGTGCAGGAAGGGGACGTCCCGGATAGCGGGCTGCATACAATGCACGGACCTGTGGAGAGTTTTTTTTGCATTCCACGTATATCAGAAACATATAAACTTTTTCTCCATTTGTAAATTGATTATTGTTTTCCATGATAATCCAAATCGATAACATGACAAAATCGATACTCAGATAAAAATATCCAAAATGTTAGAATTTTCAATCATGCCGACTTCCACCTAAGTAATATTTTGTTTTTATAAAAATGTATTTACTTATCTGGTTTTTGCTTATTGTCAGCATATTTTTTAACGGATTTAAAAAATTTTGGTGTCAAAATGTTGAAAAGAAGTACCGGTTTGAAGAAGTGTTTGTTGAAACAACTAGGTTATCTTAAAAAATTAATAGTTCATTACATTAAATGCTATTTGCCACTAGACAAGTAAAGAAAAGCTTCATTTACAATTTTTCGCATGATCAGGTGACCCGGCAAATAGTATTTTCAAAAATTAATTAAAAAAAAAAACAAAAAAAAAAGATATCCTGAATCCAAAAATGCTAAATAATATTGGGCGTGCCATTTAAAAATCGAAAGTTACTGTCGCTTTCGTGCAAACCGGAAGTTGACTATATATCGTCAACAAATTGGATATTCAGCATATATTACCCCTTCCAAATTTCAAATCGCTATCTCAAGCCGATTAAAAGTTATACGAGTATTCCCGCTTTCTTGTGTTACCCGGTATATTTAACTAACAACATAAATCAAATTTTTCTACAATCAAATACATTTTTATATAGCACGCTATGATGCTTTATTACTGAAAAAGAGGAAAACGAGTTATGTTTATTAATATAAGTAGACAACTATCAAACTTGTTCAAAATGGTTTCTATTTTAAGACACAACGTTCGTATGTCTTAAAATAGAAACCATTTTGAACAAGTTTGATAGTTGTGTACTTATATTAATAAACATAATTCGTTTTCCTCTTTTTCAGTAATAAAGCATCATAGCGTGCTATATAAAAATGTATTTGATTGTAGAAAAATTTGATTTATGTTGTTAGTTAAATATACCGGGTAACACAAGAAAGCGGGAATACTCGTATAACTTTTAATCGGCGTATCCGAAAATTTGCCAGTTCTTCTTCTTGAACAATAGAAATGTGAATTCCTCCGTAAGTTTCTTCCAAATCGTTGGACGCTGGCCAATACTGAACACACATCACCTAGAAGAAGGAAAACCATTGATTAAGCGTGGTGATGCAAAAGGTAAGGCATCTACTGGATTCGATATACACATCGTTGTCTTGTCTACTAACAAATTATGTTATAACTACTGTTTAACATTTGACTATCTCCCAATCGTCTTTAGGACTTACATGATTTTAATTCGATGTAACTTTTCATTTCAGCCAGTATTTTTGAATGATAAAGAGGCCGTTGGTAATTCCAGAATAACGAGGTATTTTGTAATTGTGCAACGATCGGACTAAGACCATGTGGTACCTTGATTTTCCCAAATGAAAGTGTAAGTTATAAGCCTAAAATGCGTAAGCACTATTCAAGTTTTTCAGTCAAAACTTTAAAAAGCTCACTTTATTACGAGAGAACGAGGTCTTGATACCGACGAAATTAAGAAAAAATTAAGAATGCCATTTGCCGTTCATGAAGGATATACAGATGCTGTATCTTAATTTTATCTCCAACATTACCCAATTTTTCGGATCTTATTGTTGACATGGTTATTCATTGCTTGGGGCATTTACATGGTATGCAATATTTCTGAGCAGTTGTGTATTATTTCAGGCGCTACAAGGAAATTAAAATTACGAAGAAAGGGTCTTCGACAATTCATTGATCATCTATCACAGCAGGTAAGTGAAGTGAAATTAATAATTTAAAAACCTTTTCTTAGAATGCGGAATAATACATTTTTATACCAATATGCCAAGTAAAAAGGATATTTTGAAACGGATAAATCAGTGGTGGCCTGAAACAAGATTGGAAGAAATCCACTATAAAGTATTGTGTGTATAGCAGCGCGACACACGTAATTTAGAGATTAATCAGCTAAGAATCAGAAATCAATTCGATGAACATAAAACGGACAGTGAAATTCTCAACAGGAACAAACTATTCCTAGAGAATATAACGACAGCTAAAGGCAAGCAGTTGAATTAATAATTGTAGTATAATTGTGGTCTGACTGATTTCCATAATGGTGAAAGTTGCTATTAAGATTGTTGGATTGTTTAGAGCTTTCTATGAATTCTCTAATTTTTCGTTATTAGAAAAATTCACTGTATGCAAGAATTTTAGTTGGGTCGATTAAGATTTGATTTTCGATAACTTCTGAGTTTATTTGTCTTAGCCTTAAGGCGCTTTCATGTTCTTAGCCTAGTTGATATTTTTCGTCCTGCTTCTCTAGCAGTATAAGAATCGAATATTGCAAACTCCTGGTGTCTCCAATAGAATTTTGCCTTTGTAGTAGTTAATTAGTACCCGAAAGCGTTCCAACCGATCACCGAAAAAATAATCGTAACGGTTCTAAAACATTAGGTTGGAACAAATCTTATATAATATATATGCCGTATTATTTTAAACAAATCTAGGTGGGCTGCATGGGGGCGTTCATATTGTTTCTTTAGGTGAAATTAAGATAAAATACTCCCCTACTAACTCTTTTGCTCTTTATTATTTTTTATCATTTTATAAAAAAATAAAAAATTACGCACGCTACGTTAATGTATAATTTTGTTATTTAACTATGCTACAAATGGACAAGTGTTTAGAGTAGGGAGTTATTAAATATAAAAATATAATTAATTATATGGTGCGAGGATTTATGATTTTAAACTAAAGAATGCATAACATTGAAGCGAATTTTTTTTAAATAGGCCCATATTTTCCATGTTTTCAATACAATAGGAAATTTTTACTGGACATTTTTAATCCGGACTAGGAAAACATTATTATATTTGTAGTTTGTAAACAATACCGGAACGCTTAAATAATATTTTTATATCCGCAAAGCTGTAACGATAAAATTGAATACCTTGGGATTTGTGGACTTGTCCAAATCAAAAACCCTAACAGCACTATTGCCAATAAATACAAACCTTTTTTAGTTCTCAGAATTTTAGAGGTTTTTGAAAATAGGAACTTCAGAAGTGTATTAGTGAAAGTTTACCAGCCTTATAAATAAAATCGCGATATCTGACAACATTGCCAGCTTTGGCAGTTTTGGAGATATGTAAGCGTTTCGGAACAAAATTTTAAAACTATAAGACTTTACTAAATTTGATTTGCCTAACAAAAATAAATGGGATAACCCAATTAAAAAAAGAACATTTTGAGGTGTAAAGTAAAAGTTGTAAATCTGACAACATTGCTGTTAGTATTTTTGAATTCTGCAAAAATCTCCAGGACCTTGTTATTAACCCGATATGTTATTTGACCTTAAGAGAAGTGAAGAAGTAAGGGAAGAGTGTAAGAAATAAGATGTTGTAAGTGGGAAAGATTCTGGAGAAGGGAATGGAGGGACCACATAGAAAAAATGCTAAAGGATCCGTTAGTTAAGATTACAAATATACCTGGACCACCTATAAGATAGTATGATGCTTTATTACTGAAAAAGAGGAAAACGAGTTATGTTTATTAATATAAGTACACAACTATCAAACTTGTTCAAAATGGTTTCTATTTTAAGACACAACGTTCGTATGTCTTGGTTGTGGATTTTAATGAATTTAAAATAATTATTGTCCACTTTTGTAAGTCCTAGAAAGAGACGATGATGGCTTCACGTCCTTCGCGAGTTCGTATGATGATTACGATAAACTCTATTTTCACCACAGAAAATATTATTATCATTATTATTATATTATTAAGGCACTATGAGAAAGCGCTCTGTCTCTCTCGCGTAAAACAAATGTTCAAAAGAACAACAAAATCTTATCAAGGGGCAAAATAACTCTTAGATTCTACATAGGTGTCCTAAATTGCCACACTGAAGTCAGCTCTCTATTTCTCAGGCTCTTATTTAATATGACGATTTTGTCTACTGTTATTTCTATTTAAAATACCAGCAGTCAAGAAGTATTCTACCTATTCGAGCAATGTTCTCTTCTCTCTGGATATCGAGGACATTTTTAAGTGAAGCTCAAGTATTTTAACAAATTATTGTTCAACATAAACAGACAGTCTCAAGGGCTGCCTTGAACAGAAAGTAATCTTTTGTTTTGTATTAGTAAGGTTCAGAACCTACTATATACAAATGTATTAAAATGTAGAAAGTATTATGTCGTTATTTTTAATGTTTAAAATGCGTAATTCAACTAATTAAAAATATACAGGGTGTTCGATCGATCGATCGATCACAACTGAACAACAGAATATATTATGTTCGCTTCTTCATTAAAAAAAAAGACATGGATTCAGGCATCTTAAAATGAGCGGCGAGAAATTATCTATTAATGAAGAAGCTGTTACTCCATTTATTGTTAAACTAAGGGAAGTAATAAAAGCTCACGACCTTCAAATTTATAGCGCAGGCGAGGTCTTTTTTGGAAGTTATTACCTGATAAAACTTTAGTTCACAGCAAGGAAACAACGCCACCAGGGAGAAAATCAAGCAAAGGACGAATCAAGCTTCTAAATTGCACAACTAGATTCTAGATTCTACGAAAAAAGTTCTATAAATAACATTTAACCATTTAAGAAGTTAGCGAGAGACACCTTTCTCAAAAGAAAGCTAGATTTTTTTGTTTCAATAGGTATCGCAGAAATCAAGAGGGCTATGAATATTTTGTTGGTGGCATCTATAGTTTCATAAAGAAGTAGCCCAGCATCGTGGAAACCCTAACTCTATATCTTTGAAAATAAGCGAGGTATCATGCAAAAGTGTCAACACCTTGTACACATGAAAGGGTATCGAAAGGAAAGCCTACTGAAGTAGTTATGTAAATCCGGTTCCAGAGCAGAAATCAAATATAACACCCCTCCTCGCAGTTTTTGGGTTTGAGATTATTTTTGATTTCTGCTCTGAATTCGGTTTTAGATAACTACTTACCGAATTGTGAGGAGGTACACAGAGGATCACCACTGCCGAGCATTCGTAATCATAAACTAGCGACCAAAATTCACCAAGTGTCGTTTTCAAAGGCCATTCTGTGACTATGTATTCCCTGGGCTTCGTATATCCCTGCAAAAAATAGGTAAAGGCAATTTCATCCCTAGAATTTGAGGTCTTCAAAAACACTTACATCGACGAAAACCGCGTTAATGTAATCAGTAAAATTGTTTCCTTGGAATGACGTCAAATAAGGTCGAAAGTTGTCGGCTGAAACAAAACGTGGTTTTCAATAATACAATTACAAGATTTTTTCGCCTGCTCCCTGTCACACACACGCGTATGCGCATCAAACAATTCATCGAAATGGACATAACAATCAATATAATCCAAAAATAAGGTACTATCGTACCAATTAAAATGGAAGTCAGTTCTAGAGTAGTGGACAAGTGAATTAGTGATCTAAACTGGAATGGACCCGGTAATGACAGCTAATATCGGATTTTTGAGGGAGATAGGTAGTGATGGATATTGTTTTTTCTGTCATACACGTTAATATTAATGTGAATTTAATAAGGGAATGTTTTATATTATTTGACTACCTGTTGTCTTTTTTTTCTTTTTTTTATCATTAAATGCAAGCCATTATAAATAGTAATTTTTTTCACTATTCTATGGTTAATCAGTGAAACGATGAAGGTATGAGCGCGTTATTGATATGAGTGTGTGCAAGAGACTAGAATCTTGTTTGTAAGTACATAGACATCTCGAGACGGGGAAATAATTGTACAACTGGTTATAAACATATATATATATATATATATATATATATATATATATATATATATATATATATATATATATATATATATATATATATATATATATATATATATATATATATATATATATATATATATATATATATATATATATATATACAGTTTGCAGTCTGAAAATTATCCCCAATAATTCTAATAAATTTTAAGGCCACGTTCACTTACGAGGTACTATCAAAACATCTCGATTCTTTTTCCTGTTATCGCCTCTGTGTCCTCCCGCGCAGTCGCCGATAGTGAACCTAGGAGTTTGTTTACATATCAGCATATACTCCCGTTGATACTCATTCAATTTAGTTATAGTGTTCCTTTGAGATTTCTGCTTAAGCCTTTGAGAAAGTTCACTCACGCTGAACCAGGAGTTGCCGCAGGTCACATATTCTTCCAAAGTGTCATAAATGAACTTGTACTGATCCTGCAACGCATACCATAGAAAATAAGCATAGACAATTTTAGGATTGTTAAAAATGGTTTTGATAAGAATCCATGATAAATAAAATGATAAAAAAAATGAAATAACTAAAATGTTGACTTAAATACATAATACTGGTTTAAAATGCAGATGATGAATTGAATCTTACGATGTTTCACTGATACTTGATAAGTATGGAAATTCATGTCTTTTTCTCATGCTTCGCCTATATTTTCATTGCGTATTAGAGAAAAACATATTTAAAATCTGATTTAATTTCGCTTCCATTAACATTATATATAGATACTCCAAGCCAGCAACAAAATTTAATATTGGTTTCTATTTCAGATAATTAATTGAATATTATGATGTTTTACTGGTACTCTGAAAGTGTTTTTTTTCTCATGCTTCGCCTACATTTTCACTGCATATTAGAGGCAAAGAAATTTACAAAACCTGATTTAATTTCGCTTCCAATGACATTGTATTTACGTCAAGCCAACAACAAATTTATTATTTGTACTGTTCTTGTCAAAATATACCTGTAGTTATCCAAACTAAAAATTCGGCAATAAAGCCAAATAATGAAACGCGATTGATTGGAATGTAATTTTATCACGTTTCTTCATTTGTAAATAACTGAGGGATAAACAAATGTTCGCACTTGTCCAATGATACTTGCCAGCTTGAATACTTACAATATTCTCGACTAATCCCATTCTTGATTGTCTCAGTTTTTTCAAATACCCAAATACGTTAAACTTGTCCTCCTCTTCTCCTAACTCCATATTGGCGTCGATTGCCAGGTACACTCCCGATCTTCCCCCACCATCGCTAAAGGGAACACATCCTATACAAACCCACCTGCGAATTTAAAATTTCCTTACTTGCAATGGACGATCATCGGCCCCGCTTCGTTGGACTTAATGCGCGTACCAACCACAGCCCTAACTCTTCTCCTAAATTCGAGCAAAGCGTTTCCGAAGGGGCAAGAATGACAGTGCCATTCTGTAAAATGGAACTGAAGAATAATCCGGTCCTCTTTTACAGTCTGAAAATAACATTGACATTGGCGCTAGAAGATGAGGTAATAATCAAATATTTGCAATACTTCATGGTCTTTAATGTATAACCGAAAAGTGCGTATCCGAAAATTTGCCAGTTCTTCTTCTTGAACAATAGAAATGTGAATTCCTCCGTAAGTTTCTTCCAAATCGTTGGACGCTGGCCAATACTGAACACACATCACCTAGAAGAAGGAAAACCATTGATTAAGCGTGGTGATGCAAAAGGTAAGGCATCTACTGGATTCGATATACACATCGTTGTCTTGTCTACTAACAAATTATGTTATAACTACTGTTTAACATTTGACTATCTCCCAATCGTCTTTAGGACTTACATGATTTTAATTCGATGTAACTTTTCATTTCAGCCAGTATTTTTGAATGATAAAGAGGCCGTTGGTAATTCCAGAATAACGAGGTATTTTGTAATTGTGCAACGATCGGACTAAGACCATGTGGTACCTTGATTTTCCCAAATGAAAGTGTAAGTTATAAGCCTAAAATGCGTAAGCACTATTCAAGTTTTTCAGTCAAAACTTTAAAAAGCTCACTTTATTACGAGAGAACGAAGTCTTGATACCGACGAAATTAAGAAAAAATTAAGAATGCCATTTGCCGTTCATGAAGGATATACAGATGCTGTATCTTAATTTTATCTCCAACATTACCCAATTTTTCGGATCTTATTGTTGACATGGTTATTCATTGCTTGGGGCATTTACATGGTATGCAATATTTCTGAGCAGTTGTGTATTATTTCAGGCGCTACAAGGAAATTAAAATTACGAAGAAAGGGTCTTCGACAATTCATTGATCATCTATCACAGCAGGTAAGTGAAGTGAAATTAATAATTTAAAAACCTTTTCTTAGAATGCGGAATAATGCATTTTTATACCAATATGCCAAGTAAAAAGGATATTTTGAAACGGATAAATCAGTGGTGGCCTGAAACAAGATTGGAAGAAATCCACTATAAAGTATTGTGTGTATAGCAGCGCGACACACGTAATTTAGAGATTAATCAGCTAAGAATCAGAAATCAATTCGATGAACATAAAACGGACAGTGAAATTCTCAACAGGAACAAACTATTCCTAGAGAATATAACGACAGCTAAAGGCAAGCAGTTGAATTAATAATTGTAGTATAATTGTGGTCTGACTGATTTCCATAATGGTGAAAGTTGCTATTAAGATTGTTGGATTGTTTAGAGCTTTCTATGAATTCTCTAATTTTTCGTTATTAGAAAAATTCACTGTATGCAAGAATTTTAGTTGGGTCGATTAAGATTTGATTTTCGATAACTTCTGAGTTTATTTGTCGTAGCCTTAAGGCGCTTTCATGTTCTTAGCCTAGTTGATATTTTTCGTCCTGCTTCTCTAGCAGTATAAGAATCGAATATTGCAAACTCCTGGTGTCTCCAATAGAATTTTGCGTTATTAGAAAAAGTCACTGTATGCAAGAATTTTAGTTGGGTCGATTAAGATTTGATTTTCGATAACTTCTGAGTTTATTTGTCGTAGCCTTAAGGCGCTTTCATGTTCTTAGCCTAGTTGATATTTTTCGTCCTGCTTCTCTAGCAGTATAAGAATCGAATATTGCAAACTCCTGGTGTCTCCAATAGAATTTTGCCTTTGTAGTAGTTAATTAGTACCCGAAAGCGTTCCAACCGATCACCGAAAAAATAATCGTAACGGTTCTAAAACATTAGGTTGGAACAAATCTTATATAATATATATGCCGTATTATTTTAAACAAATCTAGGTGGGCTGCATGGGAGCGTTCATATTGTTTCTTTAGGTGAAATTAAGATAAAATACTCCCCTACTAACTCTTTTGCTCTTTATTATTTTTTATCATTTTATAAAAAAATAAAAAATTACGCACGCTACGTTAATGTATAATTTTGTTATTTAACTATGCTACAAATGGACAAGTGTTTAGAGTAGGGAGTTATTAAATATAAAAATATAATTAATTATATGGTGCGAGGATTTATGATTTTAAACTAAAGAATGCATAACATTGAAGCGAATTTTTTTTAAATAGGCCCATATTTTCCATGTTTTCAATACAATAGGAAATTTTTACTGGACATTTTTAATCCAGACTAGGAAAACATTATTATATTTGTAGTTTGTAAACAATACCGGAACGCTTAAATAATATTTTTATATCCGCAAAGCTGTAACGATAAAATTGAATACCTTGGGATTTGTGGACTTGTCCAAATCAAAAACCCTAACAGCACTATTGCCAATAAATACAAACATTTTTTAGTTCTCAGAATTTTAGAGGTTTTTGAAAATAGGAACTTCAGAAGTGTATTAGTGAAAGTTTACCAGCCTTATAAATAAAATCGCGATATCTGACAACATTGCCAGCTTTGGCAGTTTTGGAGATATGTAAGCGTTTCGGAACAAAATTTTAAAACTATAAGACTTTACTAAATTTGATTTGCCTAACAAAAATAAATGGGATAACCCAATTAAAAAAAGAACATTTTGAGGTGTAAAGTAAAAGTTGTAAATCTGACAACATTGCTGTTAGTATTTTTGAATTCTGCAAAAATCTCCAGGACCTTGTTATTAACCCGATATGTTATTTGACCTTAAGAGAAGTGAAGAAGTAAGGGAAGAGTGTAAGAATTAAGATGTTGTAAGTGGGAAAGATTCTGGAGAAGGGAATGGAGGGACCACATAGAAAAAATGCTAAAGGATCCGTTAGTTAAGATTACAAATATACCTGGACCACCTATAAGATAGTATGAAACCTGATCAGCATACCAACTGCTCCTGACCATTGACGGAAACACAGGCCTTAGTGCTAAGAAGATGAAGAAACAGAAATATATGCATTGAAAATAAGCAACTTTACCGGTATGCATTATCCAGATAAGGCATAATTGGTAAATATGTTTCTAAATTTATCTCGTTTCTCATATTTTAATATCGATTATAAAATTTGTAGTGAATTCGGACATATCTGGAATTTTTAATTTATATATGCTAAAAACGTGTCTATAATATCATATTGAATGAATAATTTCAATTAGCGCCACATTAATCCAGAGTTTCATTTCATTCAGTGTGTTTATTAAACACAGTGTTTATTAAACAAAGTGACGGAAGAAGTTCATTAATGTGCATAGTATTTAGGTACATTTTGATAACAACACGTACTATTTACAACACTTCTGGATTTCGCCGGCTTCGGTTGTTGAAACGACTCGCTTGCTGACTAAACTTGCTGACGTTTCGCTAATCATCCTGTTGGCTTCTTCAGAGCTTAACTGAAACTGCCTCGCATTTTACTCTGTACCTGCTTATATATTGTTTGATGGGGTCGGAACTAAATGAGGGGTATAAACATCGTCTCGGATCACTGATTCCCATATTGGTGACAGGTAAAGATCTGAGTCGCAATTAAGATTGTATGGTTGCTTATAGATTTCTATAGATTCTCAGGTTTTTCATTGGTAGAAGAATTTATTTTTCAAACAAACTTCCACAGGCTACTGTAATACTTTTTACAAAACTTCTGGATTCCTCTTGAGTCGAAGTTGCTGACGTTTCGCTAATCATCCTGTTGGCTTCTTCAGAGCTTGATTGAAACTGGCTCGTATTTTACTCTTTACCTGCTTATATATTGTTTGAGGGGGGCGCAGCTAAATAAGGAGCATAAACATCGTCTCGGATGACTGATTCCCATATTGGTGACAGGTAGAGACCTGAGTCGCGGTTAAGATTGTTAGGTTGTTTATAGATTTCTATAGACTTTCGGATTTTTCGTTGGTTGAAGAACTGGATACATGCAAGAATTTTAATTTTATCGAATAAAATTTGTGTATTCTTTTTGACACAAAAGGGTCTTACGACTAAGACAAATGAACTCATCAGTTCTTATACCAACAAAAAATCCCAGACTCTATAGAAATCTATAAACATCCTAACAATCTTAACTGCGAATCAGTCATCCGAGACGGTGTTTATGCCTCTAATTTAGCTCCGCCCCCCTCAAACAATATATAAGCAGGTACAGAGTAAAATACGAGCCAGTTTCAGTCAAGCTCTGAAAAAGCCAATAAGAAGATTGGTGAAACATCAGCAAGTTCGACTGAGCAAAAACCGACGCAGGAGGAATCCAAAAGTTTTGTAAAAAGTAGAAGAATTAATTACATGCACGAATTTTAGTTTTTTCCAATAAAGTTTTATGTATGGTTTTGTTGTTTGTTTTATATTTGTTTTATGTTGCAAAGACAACTGCCGTTGAATTTATTTGTCTTAGTCATAAGGCTCTTTCATGTTCGTTGAGCCCAGTTGATGTTTTCCGTCCGGTTTTTCCAATGTATTTTTAAGAACTTTTGATATGTGGTTGTCGGTGATGTTTTGAATGTAAGGAAGAATAATAATGGGAAGTGTGGGATTGCTTTTGGGCTCATTGTCTTTGGAAGATTGTGGTGAAGTGTATTTTGTGATGGAACGCTTAATATATATGATATGTTGGCCGAATGGTGATGAGACAAAATGACGCAATGTTAGGTCGGATTTTCTGTTGATAAGAATATCTAAGAATGGGGATTATTATTAGTTTCAAATTCAATAGTAAAACGGATGTTAGGGTGTATAGAATATTCCAAAAAGGCATTAAATGACGTAATAGTTACAATCTTAATCTAGATGTACGGTAATGCAGCTAATATCGATTTGTGAGGCAAATTTTATTTAGATTGTTTTATATAATTTCGAAATTTTTGTTACAGTTTGGTTTTTTTGGAGTTTAATTATTTGTTAACGGGAACTTGACATATATTTTGACTATTTTTTATGGTGACAATTTCTTGGTATATAGAATAGCTACTAATAAATGTATGTTAATTTTAATTAATAAATATTTTTAAAGTGGCAAATTCTTCTGTTGCACATGGTTGCATTAATACGAGGTGGGTTTATAAAGTAAAGTGACTTTTATAATTAGCGAGCTACGAAGTTCGATATTTTTTTTTGATATGTTGGTACACATGTCCCCAAGACGTTTACTTTTTTTGGCCGAGAATACGCCGATAATGAACCTCGCTCTGGACGCCCTAGCACGTCAATAACAGATGAAAAGCGTTGAAGGAGTGAAATTTTTTTTTTTTAAATCGTGGAATCACTATTAGAGAAGTGGCTGAAGACGTCGGCATCTCTATTGCCTTGTGACATGCAATTTTTTCCTAAGTTTTGGGCATGAAACGCGTAGCAGCAAAATTTTCTGCTTCTTAATTTTAAACGATGTCAATGATGATCCTGATATGCTCAAAAAGGTCATAACTGCTCAGTCGTCCCAATGGACGAACACACACACAAGATCTAAAAAAGCACGAAGTTCGATCAAATGTCAAGGTTTTGCTTACTGTTTTCTTAGTATATCAAGAGTTCTTACCACATGGCCGTGGGGTCAATAAAGAGTATTACCTTGAAGTTATGTGCTGTTTGCGAGAAGCAATACGAAGAAAGCCTCCATAATGGTGGAAAAACAAGTCATGGGATTTGCATCACGATAATGCACCTGCACACTCATCGTTGCATGTGTCTAACTTTTTGGTCAAAAAACAGTACCAGAATGATACCTCAGCTACGATATTCACCGGATATGGCCTCATGCAACCTTTTCCTTTTCCCAAAACCCATGAAAGCAAGGAAGTTTGCAACGATTAAGTAGAAAAAAATCGCTGGTAGAACTCAAGGGTATACCAGAAAGTGCTTACCAAAAGTGCTTTAAAAAAGAGAAAGAACGTTGGCACAAGTGATGGGGGGATTACTTTAAAGAGTACAACATTAATTTTGTTGAAGAAATAAAGACTTTTTGATAAAACTTAAAAATCACCTTACTTCTTTTATCTATTGCATCTATTGCATATTGTATCATCTGATTTTATTTTAATAATTTTATATTATTTAAGTACTAACTCAGCGAGTTATTACAAAAATTATTAACGAAAACGGAAAACGATAAAATTAAAAACGAAAATTGTTAATTTGATTTTATAATTTGTATAATATAATATAAAAAATAAATCCGTATTTCGATATTCTTTATTTATTAACAAATATTTTTTTTCACTGTAGCTAATTAGGGAAATATGTGTTAATTTGATGTTTTTTTTAAATAATACTCCTGGAAAAATACATATTGCAATTTTTGGGCTAATAAATTTTTTGAAAACGTTAGAAAAATATTTAAAATTTATAAGTAGAGGTTTCTAAAAAAAGCTATAAATAAATAAAAAATATATAATATTATTTGATTTTTAAATAATAATACGCAAATAACTTCAATAAGAATTGTATCTGTAAATAAAGTAATTAAACATAAATCAGTAATTAAATATAAATGAGCAAATTTTGCATCATCGTCACGCTGCGCAAGCTCCAATCCAGTTTATAAAGAGTACATTGAAAAAATGTAATTTAAAAAAGGTTTAGTTGCGTTACTGATTAAAAATTTGTACTTAAAAATGTCATTTTAGTTTAATTATGTAAATTATAGATTGCATTTGTACTTCCATAGAAATTTCAGCAATGATAGATTTAAACGGATTGCGCAGAGAAAGCCACTCAAATTAATACACGGTAAAAGTAGTTTTATGGAAATCCTCTCGAAAATAGTGTTTTCGCTTGTAATCTAATAAAAGACGGTGCGGGTTTTATCTTCAGTGGCAGATGAATTTTAACTCGGTGGAATATAATTTGAACGTTAAAAATTGTGTGAGAATCTTGGCACGTTGGTACCGAACTTGGAAAAGTAACAATATTAAAATTATGCAGATGACGTTAAGAAAATTCTGAAACTTGTAAAAGGTTATATTGAATAAAGATTGGGGATTTAAAGAGAGATAAAGAGCTCTGCTTTTTTACAAAGAAAGAGGGTTTAAAATATTTACTTATTCATTTGACCAGTTAATTCAATTTTTTACCATATGATTAAAATTGTTTTGGGCAAATTGCATAGAGGGTTATTTTCACAGATACGTTATAGTTATAATCAACATGAACAAAAGTAATTGAAGACCGTGTTGTTGTTACATTAAAATCTGTATAATTATTTATATATTTGGAATATTTCGTCTCTTGTAGATAATATACTTTCATTTTAGATTTTTGTAGTTCAGACTTAGACAGATGAAATGAAACTATGATGGATTTGTGCATAAAATACTCAACATGAAAATATAAAAATTACCGTTTTTTATCTTTTTCTTTCTGACCAAAACTAATCTAAACTAACGAGAACTGTAAATATATGCGTGATTGTTTTTTTTTAACTAAATTGAACTAATATATTATACTAAAAATAAAACTAAGAAATAAATAAATGAAATGACATAAACATGAATTAACATTAATGAACATTTCGAACGTTAAAAATACCTTTTTTGGAAAATAAAACACGACAAAACTTCCGTAATCTCTTTTAAACTATTATAAGGGATATCGCAAACAGAAGCTTTATATAGGCTGCAATTTAACAATAATCCGTGTGTGCTGCTGAAAAATATTTCTTTCAATACTTTGTTATTAACAAACCACGAGTTATACCCACTGAGAAGATCCTGTATGCCTATTGATAAAAAAATCTTATTATTTAAAAAGCAACCAGGTATGATATGTGTGTGTTATTAGAAAAGAGACAATGTCGCCAAACCGTTGGCTTTATCAAAGATATTTTGAAAATTCTAATTGAAGTGAAAATGGTGTTTGTTATGTATTGTTATGTCTGTTTTTGGATCAAATTTCCCCGGTATTCTCTACGCTAACGAGGATCCACCAATAAAAGCGATTCGGACTAATACTTAATAAGTTAATATTTTCAATTTATGGGAATGTTACTGAAAAGACAAAGCATTTTTTTTTGCAGTAAAGCACAGTCAACTTTTCGAAATTTAAGCTAATTTTTGTGGAGCATGCGGTATTTATTAATTTTTTATTTCGCTGGCTGCTTCTAAATAGGTTTTATTATTAATAAATAATAAATTTGAATATTTTGATTTCTATTTGTCATTGCGATAAAGACTGAATATAATATCATAAATCTTTCATCTACGGGAAATCAAGAATAAAGTGAGACACTTTTTCAAAGATGTGGGTTAGACAATGTAACAAAATATATGCTATAAGTGAAGTATCGAATTGATTTATTCAACAAGGTGTTAGAAGGATTATTTGGAAACTAATTACATAAATGTATATTTTAAGTAAGCGTTTAGAGTTTAATGTGAATCATTAACTTCGTTTTGAGTAATTAACAAATATTGTTCTTTAACGGCTTACTTTTTGTTAGATATAAGTATGAATTATTCAATTCTCCAATTTAGGTTTACTAAAAGAATTTCTTAGTGACAAGAACGAATTTCTAAGTACACAGGTTATTATATCGATAATTTTAATTTATAACCTAACTTTTGCATTAAGGGCTCGCCATACATTAACGCATTTTTATGAATAATTAGTAAAAATGAATATTAGGAAAAAAATTGAATCGATAGGTATAGGAAAACTTTAACAAACTTGATAAAGTGGCAACTGCTAAAAATCAGAAAGTTGTTAGATACAGGGTTGTCCATTTAAAAAATCACAGAAAAATTTAAGCTTAGTACTTAGGCACTTAACTGAACTTCTAATAATGTATCAAACTAAACTAAACTAAAAAGGAGATATTGGAAAGGCATGATTTTTTAAACTATTTTATATTTTTGCAATAAGTTTTCAACGTCGCGTTAAATTTCATTAAAGAATTGCGATTTCATATACACGTTTCCTGGAAAAAAAAAATATAATATTAAAGCAAAGTATATAGAGCATTCCATTAATAATGTTTTCGTATTGTCACGCATTTGCAAAACACACTCGTTAATTTTTTTTTTCGAAATAGTCCTAAATAATTACCATGTAAATGAACACACTCGCCTGGCAATCGGAACTCTGGCTACACATAGCGTATATCGAACGTTTTAACTCACCTTGATGAAGTCAAACGTTTTAGTTAACATAACAATGCAGCTGGCCCTTTCCTGCCAAACCATACGCCAGAAATCTGTGACCGTCTCCTCTGTGGGCCCTTGAGTTACAATGTAGGCATTTGGCTTTAGTAAACTCTAAAAAAAGATAAAATATACGTTACTACAAGCTACTCAGATCAAAATGATTTCTTAATAATATAATAATATATAATCTTGACTGTTATTATCTTCAATTGACGGCATTTATTTAATTGAAACTCAACTATTCTTGTCAATGGAAATTCCATGTCTTTCAAAAGTTAGCAAGTTATTAAATTAGCGAAGAATCTGCAGTGACTGAAGTGACCTAGAATCAGAGCTCGGCTTCAAGGTAGGATTGCATTTATTCTTATGAAACTCGCCGTTATAATTATTAATAAAAATGATTCACAAATGCAAAACGTATTGATAATGCGAATATCTACTTGAATGACTTGTATAACAAGTGTAAATTGTTGTTATTTTTATAAATAGATACATTCCTATTCCTCCATTCTCTAGTTAATGTAAAAATTAAATCAATTTCTTTGTCTTCTTTAGTAAGTTTTTTTTTGAAAACCTTACCTGCGTTATTACTGAAGATATAAAACAAGAATTCTTCATTAAGGGGATCAAAGACGAAAAGTGTGTTACTACTGAACAAAAACACAAAACTATATCATGCCTATCTATCTTAAATTTGTACGCGATATCATTCTTTTTTAATACTCTAAACTCAGATTATTAGTATTGTTGAAAGTCAAATGTAAACGCAGGAAATGGTAAGTCAAAAAATATTCTTTTAACAGCAGATGGTTTTATTTCGAATTTTGAAATCTCAAATAAAAAATATTTTTGTAAAATTAGTTCCCCATAAGATTATTCTTTTTCCCGAGAGCATTTATTTATTTCTGTCAAGATTAGGTACATTAAAAAGATCATTCTTGAATCAAACTAATGATTATCTTCAGATCAGCCAATTAATATTTAATTAATAATTGAATTTAATAAGTCACAGAAGTTTTTTTCTTTATGCACGCCGCAATTATTGAATATTCTCTGTATAACTGAGTATTTAGTGGCAGCAAATAAAAAAAATAATCTCTCAATGGTGGACCGAATTTTTGTATAAAAATTTGCAGTTTCGTGTGTGCAGTTTACGAAAATTAACTCGCGAAGTTTTAATTTGATGCATAAGCCTCATAACGGGGATGTAACGTACTTTGCGTTATGATAAATTTAATTGTAGTTCGTGCTAGGCATTATATTATTGCCAGTTTTCAAATACAGCAAGAGCAATTTTTCTCGGAATTATACGCAAAAGGCTTCAGAAGCACACGGATTGATTTTTGGTGGAACCTAAATCGAACTCAAAGAGAGACTTTGAAGTATTATTATTGTTATCCCTCGTCTCTTTCAGAATTTCTTTATGGATTGAGTCTTAAAAGTCCCTCGGCAACCGCAGATCGTTAATTCTTGCGACCGTTTCTGCCTTTAATAGATTTTCTTTAATACGTTGCGATAGTCGATTGATAATCTTGCATTTCCATAAGCTAGAATACATAATAATGCCTTCCACAGCAATAATAATTAGTTGATTGTTAATTTTTGTAAGACTGATTGTGTACAATTTATATGTTAAGCAAATACAGCTGGGGTGCAATCAGGTGTAATAGGCCTACAAATTACTGGGTATAAACGAATTCTTAAATTGGGACTTTCTTGTAATATGCAAAAAAAATAATTTTGGCTTATACTCAAAAATCGGCTTGAAAAGAAAACAGTTCTTGGTAGGTATTATTTTTTAAGTTATACACAAATTGTGTATAACACTATTCTATTGGGAAATGGCTCCCACTGCCAAAACGGTTTTGTTTCCTATATAAATAAATTATTATTATATCTAAGCAAAGGTTTTAGAGGAAACTTAAGTGCATTTGATAACCGGTTTCAGATTTACGATAGAACAATTGGTTTGCGAAATATCGACGAATAACCTAAAATGGCGGTTTTCATTTTTCGAAAGAAAGAAAGAAAAAGACACTTGTATCAATCATCTTTTGTTATCTCACAACCCGCCTTAACTTTCGTTTTCTTATCGCCGTCATATTGGATTTTTCGATTTTTGAAAAGAGCGTAAAACTCCAGTTCAGTGATGTCTCAATGTACACAAAACATGTCATTACAGTTCGTAAAGTTAGTTCCTAATTATTTTATCGAATGAGGATTTTGACGGTAAATAATTCATAGTATCAAATTGTTAATTGTTGAGACCTGTTAAAAATGACCAGTATTCCCAATTCAAATAATGAAAAATTTGTCATTAGCGTTGTACTTGCAGTCACCCAGAAAGCACCGCCCTTACCTCAATACGGTATTTGAAGATGTACCCTGAACGGCGGCAGTCTCATGAAATATTATTTAAAAAAAATCGCGAGAAAAACATTTTACAAGCTATCAATAAAAACCCTATTGTATCGATAAGAACTGTAGAACGGGAAATTGGTGTATCAAAATCAACGGTACAGACATTTGCAAAGACGAATGGGCTTCTGTGTATGGTATACTAGGAAGTGAAAAGTGAAAATCCCGATTTTGTAAATCATGTGTTGTGGTCCGATGTATGTTTACGAACTGTAGAGTTTTTATTAAGCACAACATTCATCATTGGACTGTGAAAAACCCTCACGAAGTGACAGAGAGACGTCTACGAACTAGATTTGGAATTAACATTTGAAGTGGGATCATTGGTAATTTAACTTACTTGTTTTTTAATTCAACATCTATAATAAATTATCAACCATTTAAGGAAATCGACTTATAGGGCAATTTTTGTTTGACTACAGCCCATACCGACAGATTTATCTAGAACTTTTCCGAAACTAAATTGTGCCGGCTTTACGACCTACTCTAATGACTGTACACAAACCTGGTTTCAAAAGGATGGATGTCCCTCACAACACTATTCAAGTCAGGCACTTCTTAATCAATCAGTTTTCCGAAAGAACTATTTAATTAAATAGTCGAATATCTTGGTCATTTCCTCCCCTGACCTTTTCCCGTTGGATTTCTTCCTCTGAAGTCACACAAAGATGAGGTCGATTCCCAATTCAAAGAGTTTTGGAAACATTCAGAAAGAATAACGTAAATACTCTTGCTTCCAAAAATAGAAAAATCAAATATGGCGACCATAAGTAAAATGAAAGTTAAGGTTAACATTTGCTGTAGGTCTGTATAGAGAAACGAATCTGGGACGCAATGTATCTATCGATTGCAGACTTTAGATTTGCGTTTTGGGTATTTATTTTTCTGCACGTCTTATACTTTAACCTTATTTTCACATACAAATATATGCAATTATAAAATTTGACATTATATTGTTCAACTGTGACAATGTAAATGGCTTTTGTATAATAAAATGTTTATGTTCTGTTCTATTCTATTTCCATTAAATATTTTGCCGTAATATTTTTAAAGAAAATTAGAATATGACGCCTTTTTTAACTTTTAACAAATAATATTATAAAACATATATTTTTAATATCCGGCATTGAAAATATCAAAGCAACGAATTATTCACATTCTCGCCCAATTTTGCAGCTTTTTTCTTTAGTTGCCGGAGATTAAATAACCAAACATTAAAATTATATATCTCAAATGTGCTGCGAAAGGTTCAAATCATATTAAATTATAAATAAAATGTCTTTTTTTTTGTATAAAGTTAGAATATTTAAGTCGCTGAAGTGATCGAAAAGTAACATTCAGAATTTCTTATTTCAAAATTAGATCTGTGTAATATATGATCATCGACGAAATCTCTATTGGTCTGTTCCATGCGCCAATTAGGCTGATGTAATTCTGGGATGACTATATGTATACTATTCACTTTCTTTGAGGAAAAAAAGTTCAGCCTGGAAAGGGGTGTTCCTTCGAAAAATATTGTTAGAAGGTGACGTCTTATAGTTGTAATAACATAGCATAGAGTATATCCCAGTAAATTTTGAAAGCATTGTAGGGTTTCAGAATCAGACAGTCAATTCGATCTATATTTGAATGGGACGGTAATGTACTCAATATCTATTTTGTGAGTCAAATTTTATTTAGACGTACATGCGTGATAATGAGTATCCTTAACAATCAGGATTTTTGAATTTTTTATCTATGGATTTAGTTAACACGAAAATTTAAAAAGAAAACTAAACATTGTTCCCTTTCCCTAGAAGTAAAATATATTGGTTAAGTGTACATATTCAAGTAAATATTTTAAGCTTTTATTGAAATAATACTTCTGAAAAAATACGCACCACCGCTGACTAACTAATATATTTTTTGAAACATTATAAAAGATTTTCATATTTAACATTTACAATTATATAAATGTCTATGTACTTTTTTCGAAGGTTTTAATATAAATTTTATTTTTAAAAAATTTTTAAAGAAAATGTTAATGTGTAAATGATTTGAGTAAAAATTTTATCCGTAGTCATTAAACAACGAGAACACTCAACTTTTCCATTTATATAGATGAACAAAAAAAGGCCAGAAACTCCATTATTAGCTTCCTTTTTTTATTGTAAAGTTTGCCTCACTTTTCAGTCAGGCCGGTGCCACTCCAGTTTAGACCGAATTTTAAATATCTATCTATGAGTGTAAATATTTTCTATAGTTTTGTGTCCAATTTGGACTACATATAAATTTTAGAGATCTTGATTAACCATGCTCTCTCTATCAGGTGTGGACATAGACGATGATTGCCTTAGTGTAAAATTTCCTATTTCCGTGAAGTCTTGCGACGCTTGCTGACATTTACTGTAGGATAATAGGTCAAATCTAAACACGCTGTATATTTGTGTTATCGCTTTTTCGTTTATTGCCGTATTCTTAAAACATAGTCCTTGTTTTCCACAAATCATTTCCTTAGAAAATTTCCCAGCTTGATTCGATAGACATAAAATGATATCTAAAGGTATCAAGAATTGTGTATCGTACTTACATCTACGTATGAAGCATTTATATAATCACTGTCAGATGCGCCTTCTATTGCATCTAAAACTACCCTATTATAATCATCTGTAACAAAAATGATTGTCTTAACACTCAGCAGCATGTTTTCTAAGATTCTAAATCTAAACTATACAATATGAACTTACAAAAGCCAAATGTAAATATTTATTTCTTACGGTTTGTCTAGGACAAAATAAAAAATACTTACAAGGAATGCATTTTTGGTTCTGATTTTTCTCTAAATTACTTTTTTTGATGCCATGTCGACAAGAGTGAGGTTCAACCTTTTCAGCTATCTGAAACCAATCGACATATTACTTAGAGATGAATATCAAAAACTTTTGTATTTAAACTGTCTCTTATTTCATATAATAAACTTTCTAGGTAGGGTGCAAAATATTGAGCCTAATGTGCATTTCATTTGAAAATAGCTGCAACAGATTCTCTGTTGTAAATTTTATTCGAATGTAATTCTTTAAAAGCCAGAAATCGTTTGTGCTATCACCAGTGATGAAGTGTGATTAATTACCGTTTAAGTTGTATGGTTGGCCGCTCTTGAGTTCACTTATAATGCATAAATCGCGATTTATAAGGAACAATACAATTACGTGTCATGTGAAAAAACGGTTCGGTATATAATGGAGTTAATTATGTCGATCCACTTCACGATATAGAAAATGTAATTTAGCGACATGAAAGTTTCAATTTCCTTATAAAACAATATTACATGATTTATAAAAATATATCTAACAAAATTTTTGTTCTAGATATGACGTAAATATATAGGAAATAATAAACGGACTGGAGCGTATAAATGAATAACTTTAACTAAACTGCCGCGAGCCTAGGTCTGAAGCAGGAATGGAACGCATAGATTGTATTTAAATAAATAAATACTTAATGAGTTCAGTGAGTTTTTGAAGTAAGGTTTTTGAATAATATTAAAATTCTTTAAATTTTTTTTGTTTATTCATTATTTCGATCACAATGTAGATCTTTATGAAGTATCTAAAATACATACAAAAATTATATATATGAAACATTTTACAAATAAATTCTATAAAAATATTAATACAGTCTGTCCCTCTTAAGAACTGTACACCCTTGTAAAATCTTTGTTTATGGTTCGATTTTGATAAAAAAAAATTGTTGGATTGGTCTCCGAAAAATGCACTAAAACCTTGTTTTGCTTATTGCTTCAACTTAAAGTCATGGTCAACTGAGACTATTTAACAACAGAGAGAGAAGAGAGAAGTACTATTAGGGATTTAAAAAAAAATAAATTGACAACGAATTCTTATTCAGGAGTACTTAGAATCCAACTATACCAATTTTTATAATGTTTCAATACAGGGTATTTGAAATATCGTTTACACCCCGTTTAAAGCTGTACATCGTTGGAAAATTCTTGATTCCAGTTTGATTTTGATAATTTTTTTTATGTGATAGATCTCTCAAAAATGCACTAAAACCTGATGTTTCTTATTATATCAACCTGAAGTTATGGCTCAATGGGACTAATTTTTTATGTGAAATATCATGAAGGGCTATTAGGATAGCGCACACTGTACACCTTAGTCTTAATTCCAATGAATATTGTAATCTATAAATAAGTAGAAACGGGAAATAATTGATATATCTTAACTTTGATATTTATTGTAAGTATGTTCTGCTAAGCGATTATTTAATTGTTGGTGTATTTTTACCATTAAATTATTATTATATGAAAGTTGATTTGATTTTCCATTTAGATCATCTTAATAAACAAAGCTATATATCTATGACAAAACGTATTAATTATTATTAGCAATATTTCTATTTATTTATATATTGTATTATTGCTTAAAAATAAACATTTTTTTACAAAATATTTAATTTATATAAAATTTGTATGCATTTTATATATTTCTAAGGCGTTCGACCATATATTTTCAGTCGAATCTAATTGGTATCTGTTATGCAGATAAATTCAAATCCTTAGTATTTTATGTTGGCACAAAGTACAGCACGACTGAAGGCTTTGTAATAATCAAATTTGCAAAACAACGAAACTTAATAAAATCGTCTAGTTGAACAGCACAAAATACATTAAGCCCGTTAAAATTTCCATTAAGAAAAAAAGGACCCTCACCGCATCCGATTAATCCTTGATGTAAATTAGCCTGTCTGTGGATTTCGTCAACTAAATCTAATCTATGTGGGAACATTCACTCAAAATAATACAGAATATACATTTTCGTGAAATAAGTAATCAACTCGGTTCTATTTATGAATATAACAAAACGATTGATGTGGCGACAAAGGAGTTTTTTGATTCAAAACTTTAATTAAATATTCCGCTACTTAAACTGGAAAAACAGCACGTTGAAGGCCCCCAAAAAGATTATCGTCGTTTTACAACAGTCAGGGAATGTCCACTTAAAACATACTAGATATAATCAAGCACTTACTTCGAATTCTAATTTGTAGAGGACGGGAAACTTCTTTCTCTGCTCGCACAGTTTCAAAAATTCTTGGATGTCGATAGGTCGATCGTTCAGCGTATCTGTTACTGTTCCATTTTCATCTGAAACGTTGAAGATTTCCACATCAAAACATCTAAAAAAACTCTACAATAATTCTACATATAGATTTCGTGCAACAATTACTTCACTCAGTATAAGCCAACATTTATTCACAATTGTTAGTGCAGTACCAATTATATTCCTAAACAAATATTTGTTTATATTCTATCGTTATTTTAACGATGCCATCTGCAGCGCTAAAGGTCTTCCGAATAAAGGCAGATGAAGTCCTCGGCCTGATACTACACCCAAGGATAATTTTAATAAACATTATAGCACTCTAACCACCACTTGAGTAAACTGGAAAATGGTTCAACAACAAAGGCAGAAGTAATCTGGTAGGAGCAGCTAGAGTAGGCTAGAGTGTTTAATTTTAACCGAGTGCCTAAATTGTTCTGATTAATTAAATTGTGAAGAGAATATGGATTATTGTTAGTAACTAACTAATATTATGACGTCATAATAACCTTTTTTATTTTTACTCTGTTTATAGCTGCGCCATAGCAATCACGCAGTTAGAGGCGGATGTAGAAGTTTAAAAAATATTTCCAGCTATTCTTTTAATGGACTTTCTTAATAAGATCTTTTTTTTTTGAAAAACTGAAGGTGGTGTTCATATTGTATTGTTTACCTATCCTTTTTATCTTTTTGACGAGACCTTTGATGTGGAGGATGTTGTGCGTAGGGTTGGTTGTCTTTTTCTACACTTTCGACTGGTCTTGCCCGGTTCCATAACTTTTTCTACTCGGATGAATTTCGTGATTGCTTTTGTTTGTGTAATGGTGGCCATAACAGCTCACGAAAAAGACATTAATATTTTAATATCGAAACATAAATGCTCAGTAGTAGCACTAAAACCTGCTACATATTTTAACACACTAGTGATTATTAGGGTTACAAAAAAAAGTGATTTAGGGATCACAAGCATACTGTTTAAAACAAAAAAGATTATATTTAAAAGTAGAAATTTTACTTATTGGAACACATAACGTACACACTGTTTACTTCAACTGACGATCGAGAGCAGCTTAGAGTCAAAAACATAAAATAATATCATATATCCGATCCCTTCGCCGCTATCGGTTACCACTTTAGTATGTCTAGCGTTATTCGATGCGAAGTCAAATAATTGCCCCTGCTTTTAGAAAAAATGAGGAAAATACTTTTCTCTACTCCCTTCTCTAAAATACAAAATTATACACGATCTATCGTGTGAAAAGTGTCATTTTACCACGTCACTTCACGCTTACAGGATTCAGAGCAGGAATTTTCAAGAAGAATGTCATAAATACAAACCAATCCTCTAATTAAAGGTTTTCTTGAATTTGAAAGTTCCTGATTATAGTTTCTTGACCAAAAATTTTTCAGTTTTTAAATTTTAATAAGGTTTTGTACTAGTTAACATCTCCTATCTTTTATCTCTAACGAAAAACTTTCAGTTAACAATCGTAAGCTAATGGCATAATTTCTATTTCAATGCTTCAGAACTTACTTATTCCTTCTTGGACTTATTATGGAAAAGCCAAGAACGTTACCTATTTGAGAAAGCAACTGAAAGCGAGTAATAATAGCTTTCTAGGTATTTGCTAAATTGTTTGCATTTTACATTCAAATTATGAAATTTAATTTCCAGTAAAATTTAGATTCTTTTATTTTTAAATCCTGAATTCGTTGGGTCACAGTCAGCTCGAGTTTAATAACATTGCTTATGTATAATTTTTAGACAAGCAAATTTTTTAATTTAAATTTTTCTCCGAGTTTCACTATGATATTTCATATACAAAAATTTGATTTTGGGCCTTTTAGGAGAAATGTTTTATGTTTTAGTATTTAGAAGAATTGAACTTTTAAAACTTTTTAAATATAACATTAAAATAAATAACCAATAATTTCAATAATTTAATTAATTTTAGAATACTTTTTATACATCTGGTTTATTTTATTATTATTTATTTTATTAAAAAGATTTTATGAAAAATATGGTTTATTGGCCAAAATAACCAAAGCTAACTGGTATAAAATAATTTCAGTTTATTTTATGTTCTTCTGCTTATACACAAACAAAACTTGCTATTTAATGCGAGAGCATTGGAAAATACAAATAGATGAAAGATTATTTTAAGCCACACCCTCGGCTGACCAGATAAAAAAAACGTCCTAACCAGCGCCCGTTTTAAAATAATATATCGATCACTGAAACCTTTAGACATAAAGTAAATAATAATTCAGGTACTTCATCTCACAACAAAGTCAGTCTACTGAAGAAAAAAGTTTGTTGTATGGAAAACAATAGATGGTACTGTAGGCTAGTCAGATTCTTCTATCTTTGGTTTTTACGTCAGTTTCTAAGTAATTCAAAAAATGAGGTACCAATTGATTGTTGGATAAATATGCTGGGCGTCCCATGAAAAAGTACATCTTGTAAAATAAATCGGTAATGCAATGTTAAATTGTTTATCCCAGCTAAGTAACAAGCTAACTAACTAACCAACCAACAACTTTTCCAGATTACAAAAACTTTAAGAATTTAATTAGGTACAATCTTTAAAGGGTGAATCTTTGACTATTTTAAATATTATAAGTTCATATAAACATGTGTGAGCAATTGCTTGGTTCTTAAGATATAGGGCTTCCAAAATAACTGTTTTATTTGCTTTTTTGAATACATGCTTGTTCAGTAAGATGGCGACTACACGAAATTCTAGATGCTGGGTGTATTGATGACAAAAAACTGAAATATTGCCTTAATTTTTTTAATGTTAGAGGGCGCCTCATACGATATTGTTCCTGATTTAATTAAACATAACTTTTATGCGTCGCATTATATGTCATTTTTCATTCAATTTTAGATATAAAGGGTACTCTTAGTAGTTGTCGCTCATAGTAGGCGTTTTGATTTAAATTTTCTTTCAAGTTTTGAAAAATAGGTGAAACATGTATCTTTTATTGATTGTATTATCGGGTAACATGCTTAAATCATTTACTCTTCGCCATTTTCATTCAAAACATACCTTTTGTAGAATTAAATCGCCAATAATCAAAAATAACTTAGAGTGACTGACTACTTAAAGTTATGCTTAATGTAATTCAACACTGTATATGGTGCTCTCTAACATAACAAAAAACTAAGTTAGTATTTCAGTTTCCCGTCAAAATCATCTCAACAACCAAGCCGTTGCGGGTACATATTCATATGAATTTTTTATATTAAAACAAGTCAAATACTCACTTTAAAGTTTGTAAAAGTACTTAATTAACACCCTGTATTGTTCTTAAGGTTGCGATCGATGTACTAACTCATGTTTTAGAGATAGTCATGTATGCACTTGTACTTTTTGTAAATATACATTTTTCACTTTTTCTCAACATTTGATACCCTACCATCGAGCTTATCGACAGAATATTATAAACCAGTTAAATCTATTGTCCCCATCCCTTTCAAGAACTTCGCCTGCTTCTATAGTTTCAGTTGTTTTGTGTGACTATTTAACATTAGGTTAAAATAGTTTAATGTTCATTCCTTAAAACAAACATTTAGTTTTGTTATTTTTAATCTTGTAATTATTGAGTAAAAGTTTTCCATTTCCATTTTTGCCATATGCGTTAAATTTTATAATAAACAACACACACACACACACACACACACACACACACACACACACACACACACACACACACACACACACACACACACACACACACACACACACACACACACACACACCTACAACTGGTCAAGCAGAAGACCGAGGCAGTGCTAATTACCAGAAGAAAAGTATTAGATACAATCAAGCTGTCGGCGAATAAGAAACCACATCCCTACCTTATATCCGACATTTGGGAGTGATGCTTGATGCCCGACTCGGTTTCATGCTACAGGTAGAACACGTGAGTACTAAAGCATCAGCAGTGAGAGCTAGCATAGCACGACTAATGTCGAACATCGGCGGCCCGAAACAGAGCAGAAACCTACTCCTGTCATCAATAACCACATCGGTATTTACGTACGCAATATTTATATGTGCCGAAGCGCTAGGGAAACAAGATGCATGAAGAAAATCTGGACCAGTATACCGACTGAGTGCTCTACGAGTTGCAAGCGCCTTCCGCACAATATCTGAGGAGGAAGCAGTATGTATCCTTTCCGGAACTTTACCTCTTAGACCGAAATCACAGCGTCTTGGTCATGAGTTATTGAGGGTGCAGAGCACGTTTTCGAATGCCTGTGGTTTATTCCACAACGAGATGAATTGGAGACAATCCTGACACGGACAATTCGACTAGAAACAGTAGTCAGACCAGACAATAGTCATGAGAAGCTGCTTGGAACGCTATCAGCAGGTACTTAACTCAAGTCTTCACAGACTTGCGTTCCATAGAAAGAAGAAGAAGAAGTAGAGCAAACGACGCCAATTAGAAGAGAAGGAAGATAGCACCTTAGCTACCATAAGGAACAGTAGTAGCTATATCCTCTCCCACGAAGTAATGCGTGGCGGCGGATACCGTGGGGGTCAGAGAGAGGTTTTAGTCTGCCTGATCATACTTCGCAATACAATAAAACACACACACACACACACACACACACACACACACACACACACACACACACACTTCTGTGATTGTTAATAAATAGAACCACAAATCCACTCAAAAACATTTGGATATACTACTTTATATGTCAGGATTTGGTTCCTATCATGTCTAATATACTACCGCTACTTAATATACATATACGTATAACGTATACGTATAACAGGTTTCACAAGTATGCACGTTATTTATATATTTATTATGCATAGTTTGCTCCAACCGACATTTGAAACACCAATTTCAATAAAATAGGTTCATAATAATGTTATGTTAACTCATAACATATATAAAGAGAATGGAATAAGAAGCAAATACATTCAATTCAAAAAACACAATTTCTGGAAGATTACTCCCACTAATTGATCTTAATAAAAAATAATAATCAGCGTAACTTTCTTATATATCAAAAAATGCTGTTTTTCCATCATCGATTTATGATGGAAAAACGGTAGTGAACTACTCAAAGTTTAACGACAAAATTATCATAATTAAATTAATAGTGGTACATCATACATCATACTTTTAAAAGTAAAGTTATCAAATCTTAAATTTTAAAATCAATCAAATTATAGAATAGTTATTTTTACAGTTACGGAATTTTCTTTAATTACTATTGCACTTAACCTCTTTGTTCGAATATCTGTTGCTAGTGGGAAGACTTGGTGAGAATGATTATTTTGTAAAATGCTAAACGTCGCGTCGCGTTAGATTGAGAAATCCGTTTTGTGTTTCGCTGCTCCCCAACTCCTTCCCATCAAAATATAAAAACTTGTTTGTAAGTAAATAACTGAAAGAAATCTTGAATTTTGATAACCAAAAATCTAAAACAAGTTTATTTAGACGGGAAATTATTTAAGCTCTAAAGAATTTAATTAATATGGAGTTCATTTTCTGCGTGCAAAACTTAAAGAAAGTTTGCAAAAGTTATTAAAGTACCGAAAGTTTAACGTAAAAATCTCCAGCGGGAGTTCATAGTTAGGCGATTAATTCCGGGAAGAATTTTCATTTTTTATAAAGAGGAAGCTATGTCAAAAACTTTCCCTGCATTTTTTAATTTGTTCTGGAGCAACGCGATTCTTTATAATAAGTCAACTTTAGAGAATACGCAAATGTGTGATTCTTGGTGGTATAAAAATTCTAGTTAATTGATTGTTAAAAGAAAATTTAACTTTTTAACATCCTATATCATATACCATGCAATTCTTACAAATATATTTCAAATCAGGCTATAAAATGCAATCAATTGGTACATTTAGATGCAGAGCTTTTAAAATACTCCAACTTTGCTGACTCACGCTTCCCGTGAGTTCAATAATAACTATAACTAGGTCATTTGTTATGAGACACGTGGTAAAATCCTCTGCTAAAAGAAACGCTTGAATTCAGTCCGAATACTGGGAGAGTGAAATCTTGGACCGAAGAAATAAATATCGATATGAAGATTAAACAAATGGCGAGCATATCGAACGAATAAAACTCAGAAATTATAAAAAGTACAGAGGACAGAGAATAGGAGTAAAAAAAAATCAATCTAAATAACAAAAATGGAAGAACTTTTGAGATAAACAGAAAATTGATTCAACCAGAAGCAATAGTTAGCAAACAGAATTGTTAAACACAAAGCACCAAGACGGGAATGATGGAAGAATACCTCAAGAGCCGGATGAGGCAGAAAAACAATAACTAAAGAAGGTACTAGGAAAAACATTACCACTGAAATGGTAAACAGCTTCATTTGTATAAAAAAGAGATAACAGAAATTGCAATACGTCTACTACGTCTGCATTTATGTGAATAAATAATTAAAAGAAGAGTACGAGCAAAAGTAGAAAAAACCTTTGGTAGGATTGCAAAATGGTTTCCGTCAAAGCAGAAGCACAATCAAAAAAGAAGTCATACATGGATGGTTGGCATATTCCAGTTTTTATGGTATTTTTATACATAGATAGAGTCAATAGATTTTTGAAAAGTGTTAAAATAAGAAAGATGAATCAAAAAGTAGAGTTACCAAATGTCGATACAAGGAAACAAGAAATTGTATACTTGGTAAAAACATTCAATCAGATGCATTTACAACACAAGCTGGAGTAAGGCAGGGAGGTATCTTAAGTTCAGTTTTGTTTTTAAGTTATTTTTGGAAGAATTAATTGGGTACAAACTATTAGACTAAATTAAATTAACAGTTTGTGCCGTCGCAGATGATTTGACATTCATAGCAGAAATTAATAAGATCTAAAAAAGGCAAACCATTTGGAACCAATTATTAAGAGAATAGAAAAGAAAAATGAATAAATATAAAACCAAAATCATGGAAGTCTCTATGAAAAAGAAAGAATGGAAATTATAGGAAAAATGAAAAGGGATAGATTAGTAGCTTTTGGTACTTGACAATCATGATAGAAGGTGGCAAATAGAACTAAATGGAAGGAGAAATCCAATAAGGTGTATCATAATTTAATCGGATATCTGGAAATAAATAATAATTAAACAATACCAATTCTTATCTAAGGGTGTGAATGATTACTATTATCAATAAAAGGCAAAGGTAAAATTGGGGCAGCAGAGATGAAATACAATTATTTAAAGATAAATAATATAAATATGTGGGTAGAACATAGGGTATACAATTACTGCAGGATTGTCCCCATCCCTTTCATTGCATTGCATTGCATACAGAAGTCGCAATGCAGCATATAATTTCTTTATTTCAAGTGAACCAATCGGTTTGTTATTCCATTTATGTATTTTTCTGATAAATTCCTTTAGGTTTCCCAATACTTAATCCCAATAGTTTTAAAATATGTTGATTAATTTAATAATTTTGACATATTTATCTATTTATTTTATGCACTGCGCTGTTTAACCATGTTTGATTAGTGATAATCGCCCTATTCATGTTCATGTTCATCGAATTCCAGACTTTTTGTTGTGTATTTTTTGCTTCTGGTGTTCCAAGTTATTTTATGTTTCGTTGTTTATCATATTGAAATCATGGGAAAACAGTAAACGAATTCAGAATTATTCTCTAATCGACCATAAAAAAATATAAACAGAATGTCATATCTTAAAAGCAACAACAAAACTTTTAAATAACATTATCTGCCATAAAATTTTGGATACTCTGCATTCAGTGTATGGCATAAGCGTCAATCAACAGTTAATAAAACGGTAAAAAGGCACTGAGTTGTGAATAGTCAAATCAGGTGATCTAAGTGGTCACTCCTAACTCTAATAATATAATAACTAAATAATACAACACTATGTCAAACTCAAACAAAATCAGTGCTAACTATAGAAAGAACTTTAGGTTTTGATTGACTCTTGCTAGAAAATATTAAATAATATTAAAAGTAAATAAATAATAAAAGTAACGGTTGAAAATAGATATTGGGAAATTATGGACACCCTCTAAGAGATAAATCAATTATCAATATCTTAACTTACAGTTAGCTGTTTCAAAATTTTTAAAATCGGAAGAAATGCAATCTTGTGAGATACTTGTGAGATACCCTGTATAATAGTAACATAGAATGAAGCACATTCAAACAAACAAGTTTAATATTTAAAATTATTCGATAAAATCACTAAAAGCGCAGTCACTACATGTAAACGTTCTATTTATTCGATAGGTACCGCTAAATTTACTGGTGGGCAGCAGTCCACTGTTCAACATCGACAGCTTAATGGCATTAGGAATGGATACCAACGAATTGGCGGCACTGGTGTGTCTTTTCTTGTGGGGCTTCTCCACGTCATTGTAACGCGGTGTCGACCTCGATCTGTGCTTTTTTTTTATTGTGCTCGACGTGTGACCCTTGTGTTTCGTGGTCTCTGGCTCGCTCGACATGTCGACGGAAGGTTAGAGAGAAGTAGTTGCTGAACTTTCATCCAGCATGTCTCCATTTAAGCGTACAGTCAGCGGATCTGGAAAGTCATTTAAAAAAACGTTAATTAAATAAACATATTTTAATATTTACTCTGTTATAGTGACTTAATTTAACAAACATTTTCTGATTTATGTACTCAATTTTTAGTGATAAAAATCACTTAATTTTAAAATAACATAATTACATACTAATTTAAACGAATACCATTTCTATAATTTTCCTTGACTTTTTATTGCTTTGAAATGTAACAACGCTACAAGCTATTTTTCTCGAAATCAAACGATTGGCAAATTTATTGTTTATAGCGGCTAATTTTATCTGTCAAGTCAAAAACTACTTTTGACCTAAATCCAGCAATAATCAGAAAATTTAATATTCCTATAAATTGTCAGTTTATTGTTCTGTTGTTTCGTTTTCTCTGCTGAAATATGGGGTCCATTTCGCTTATAGGTCATCGGTTGACATGTGATTGGTACGCCTGCCACGTAGAATTCCACTTATCGACTAAATTCGAAACGATTCCACAAAGAATCATATGCGATTACGCCACTCGTACAAAAAATGAGGCATCTGAACCTGTCTATGTTTCTAAAACTGCTACCAGGGGAAGCAATCTAATCTAATTTTTTCTTTTAATTACCGTAGTACAATGAATAACGTCAGTTTCGTTTCCCACATCTCCCAGATACTTCGGAAATTTCCGGGATATTACCGCACAGGTGTGGGAACAATCGGATGGTTTCGGGGATATTACCGCACGGCTTGAATTCTGACTTTTGTCAATTCGGACGGTCATGTCAGTGAATGTATTAGCGTTGTTTGGCAGAAATTTACCCAAAAACTAACGGTCGTAGAAAACGTATGGTAAACTTTTTAAATATCTCGTTTATTAAGCACTTGCTCCGCTGTCCTCCACTCATGCCAAAGAAACTCATGTTGCATAATATACTATGTCCTTTGTTCGAACAACGCTTAACGCATTTTAATAAATTTAGTGTCAATTCGGAAAAAAAATTAAAGTACCCAGCAACCAGATAAAATCCGCATCTCAATATCCTATCCTATCCTGAAATCTGTATGAAGGAACTTGAAACATACAAAAAATTTTCTATTTTTTCAAGCATTTCCATTTTGCAGATAACGGGTTTTAGACTAGACTTGACCTATTTACTAGTTTTTTTCAAATTCCTAGGATCGTCCATTTCTGGGACATCCGGTATAATAAAGTATAAAGAATTAATGTAAGTTTTGATATGGTTATTTCGTCCTTATTACTTATATTATTTTATTTAATAGTTTCTTTTGTTTCTTATTTCGGTTGTTGTAATGGAAACTATTTGTAGTTTTTAAATCGAGGTGTCAATTATTGTGTATGAAAACAGTAACACGCAACTATTAATTAATTATACCCACCACATGTAAGGATTATGTTGCAATTGGTATTAGGAATATGAAGCGTTTGGAGTAAACGATGGAAATAAACTTATCGGTGCCAACCTCAGTCCTTATTCCGTCTAATAACTGACTGTAAATTATCGTCGTCCATTCCATGATCAGAACGCATTACGACAAAATATGGATTGAATCTGTGAAGTTTTAAAATGATTAAGAAAAAGATCTGAAATTTTGATGAATGATGTCACCCTTTAGCTTTTGTTCGGTGTTGATGTAGACAATTATGAATTGTGCATATAGATTATAAACTTGCCAAGAAGATGCCACAGCTGTCATCATCATCTGACTCCACGCTGGGTAAATTGTGTTAAAAGAATTACCAACTATTTTATTCAGCATAAAACAGAATATAATTTCATCTGTTGATAAGATAAACTGGATAAACGACTGTTTAAAAAACGGATGTCTAAAGAAGTTTTACTACTTCTAAATTTTTCCTGAAATAGGTTTTGACTTCTTGTTCATCAAACATGCTGCTGACTTTTTCCACTTTTTTCCACTACCAAGACATCAAACGGAGGATTGATAAATAAACTTCACCATAAAAAAGAAGATAACCGGCAAATTGATCCTCCGTTTGCATCCACAGTACTTCCGTAAGTACAAAATATCATCACAGAACCAAAACATAGCATCAGAATCAGATTTACTACTTGCCCAAAAATCTTGAAAGATGATGTGCAATCAAAGATACATTTCTCATCCAGATAACGGTCATTTAAAAGATTGTGATAAAGATTATATTAGAAAAACGGGACGAAAAATACTCACTCACTCAGACCTCAGCATATAACAGTATTAGCGGTTTCTGAATATCAGTATGACACGCTATGAGATTTTATTTGACAGAAACAAAGTACTTGTATTTATCCCTTTCCTTTATCAAATGAAAATGCGAGAAAATCGATTAAAATTGTTAAACACCCAAAGCTTCCTGCCCACCTTCCCTTGATTTGTGCCTCTCCGCTTTTTAAAGTGTGTACAAAGCATCGGCCTCTCAGTTTCAAACAGCAAAGAGGCGAATAGGATGTTTGGAGAAATATCAGCGACGAATAGTACCAATTCAAGTTTCACAGCTTGCAGAAATTTCTTCAAGATTGAGTTTCTCCTTCGTCTTCATTTTTTCAAAACTTTGATTTTCATTTTTTTTGAAATTTTCATTTTTTTGTACACTAGTATAACAATGTACAACACTTGTATCCTAAATCTACGGAAATGAAGATATATCAAAAAATCTTCATCACATCCGCCACTATGTAATTTTCAAAATCAAATAATTTTTTTTTTTTTACTAATAATAGAAGAAAATCATCCTACACGCGCACAATATTCCACTCTCGGACTCTGTTGACTCCAAAAAATGCATAGGGCAAGGGGAAATTAACGAAGTAAGAGTAGTTAAACAGAAGTCTACATGACACGCAATCCCACTGACCTCGATATCGACGATCAACCTTCGTGTTTATACTCGGTGATTTCAGTTGTCGTAAAATTATTTTTGGTTTGTGATAATTCTCTACACGCCTTTTTGATATTAATTAACTCTATAAACGACGATTTTACAACTCTTATAAATCGCCTCGACTTCGATAAAAGGCGCCCGACAAAAAATAAACTTGTTTTTGAACGCGCGGCACTTACGAAGCTTCTAGAGCTTGCCAGTTAAAAACGGTTTCAAGTGCGGACGTATGCGGACTTTTCGCCTTTACGACGATAAAATATGTAACTGGAACGCGAAAATGCCAACTATGGAAAACAAGACCGGTAAAGATCTCAGAGAGACTCCATGCATGTTCAATGAGATACGGTCCAACGCCGTGAAATGCGGATATAAAAAATTCAAGGATTTTCTATGGTTAGAAATAAAGTTTCGACTTCACTATGTTTAGATACGTGGATCGTCGCAGCCTAGGGGGCGGGTGAGCTGAAGATATTGTTATATTACCCCACACATAGAGTAATTCATGGAAGATAGGAGCATAGGTGTTATGAAAGACGAGATTAGAGACGAGTTTTAGCTATATATATATATATATATATATATATATATATATATATATATATATATATATATATATATATATATATATATATATATATATATATATATATATATATATATATATATATATATATATATATATATATATTCACGTATTGATTCACGGATGGAAAAATGTGATGACACTATATTCCGCAATATAATCTGTTCGCTTGTTGAACTCCGACTGGAATCCTGCAGACGTTTCGCCAAAATCTCACTAAATTTTATAAAATATCAATCCAGAAAATAGCTCCTTTTCTCATGATGCAAACTTCAGGCTCAGAATTACTAGTAGTAATGGTAGTAATAGTTATAATCTCGGCATTCCATATATCTTCCACCACTTATCCGGGTTTAAGATTGAAAATAAAAATGTGACATACTGTCCTTAATGGCAGGTGGTGTCCTTAATGCTGGTGCATGAATATTGGCTTCGCTCAAGGTTTGCCACATTTCCTTAAACTTTTCCTACGATTAATGCATACAATTGAACAAAAAATTTGAGAAAGTAAGTGTAGCTACGCAATTTAAGGACGGATTTGGAACTAGAGATGCCATATTTAGCCTCATAGGATTAGTACAGAATTGCCAAGACCAGCGAAAAAATGTCTTCGTGTGCTTTATTGATTTAAAAAACGCACTTGATAATGTTAGATATAATATCCTAATATCATACCTTCATTATCTGGGACTTGACGGAAAGGATATAAGGTTAACCTGTACTGAAATCAAAGAGAATAAATAATGTAGGAACAACAAAAGATTTCGAAATTAAAAAAGGAGTTGGACAGGGTAGCATTTTATCATGGATACTGTTTAACTTACATACGTTGAAAGTGCGTTCACTGAATCAAGCCTAGCCTTGGGATCAAGGTTAACGAGGTTGTCATTAACAATATCCGGTATGCGGATGACACCCTAATACTGGCAGGCAGTGCTGATGATGTCCAGATCCTATTGAATATGGTGAAAAATGCTAGTCAAGAACTGGGCTAAAAAATTAACAAAGGGAATACCAAGTTTATGGTCATTAGTAGAAATATTATTCCCAACAATAGAAGACACTTAAATGGAGAAGAAATCAAAGATGGAGCAAGATAGAAACTTGGACCTAGGTTTTAGATACAAGATGGTAAAAAGTTATGTATGGTCCGCTCTGTTATATGAGGACATTGAAGGTGGCAGCATTAAATAAAATCGAAGCCTTCAAAATGTGGACGAATACTGAGAGTGGGCCTGCGTTGATCATTTGACAAACGATGAAATCCTTAGAATAGCTAGCAGATCGAGAACTTTTCAAGGAATGAAAACAAAACTTAATACGGGGAGAACTTTTCCACCTCCAACGTCTTATCCTCCAAGGAAAAATAGAAGAAGGAAAACAGGGAATAAGGAACTTCCAAGAACTGAAAATTAAATCCTCTAGTATCAATCCGATCATAACTTTCTCCACAATTTCAATTAGCAATTTTTTTGTAAAATATCGTCTTTTCATGCTTCTATAATTCAGATAAATCAACAACGGCAAATAAATCCTA